TCTGGTCTCAAGTCCTTAGAGACGCTGTACATCTAGCTCGTCACAACATGCAATGGACACAACAAACTACGATGGCTAGCGTCACCGAGCTCGTGCTCATACTACATACTGGGCTCGTATCCCAACTACACAAACCTGCTGTCATCAAGTTACCGGATGAAATGATATCGACACAGGCATGAATCGGGAGTGATTATAACGGGAGGGGTCTCCTGGCGTTGTAATTCTGCAAGCGCTAATCATTGAGAGATGAATTGGGTGGATCACGCATAGAGCTGGTTAAGTACCTAATTAAAGGACTTGATAGTTACTTGGGAAGGATGATTCTAGGCTCGGTTAGATGCACCGCCTCACAGAACATTGATACCACATTACACATTCCCCAATAAAACTACTACGCTCATTAAAATATTCAATTCTCCACGTGAAACAAACACCTTGACAACGCATTGAACAAAATTAAAGCCCGGTTTTGGATTCCGTGATGGTACCGGTGAATTATCCTGGAGACTAGCATCAACTAAATAAACGTCATAAATGATTCTAGACTAATCCATCCTTGCGATACGAGCGAAGTCAATGGTAATTACAATGTAACAGGAACATTCCATACTCTTCTGCCCCGAGCATCTAGAGACTTCTCTTCAGCCTCGGTTCCATTCACAACCACAGTCCTTTCTTCTCCCACGGGCAACAACACATCAACGCCCTTCTCGAGCCACAGAGGACTCCACTTCTCCTTGGAGCCTTCGGTAACAACAGCCTTGACCTCGACCGAGATGCGCTCATCGATAATCTCATATCGGATAGTGAACTTGAACTCAGCAGGCACCTCGCGGCTGATACCATCATCCTCGTACCAACTACTCTCGAAAACCACACCCTTCACATCGTCGCCGCCCAACTCCGTCTCATAGCCCTGGGCAGCAGCTCCGCGCAGCGAAGGTGGAGGGAAGATCTCCACGCCGCGCCAGTCGTCCTTGGCTTGGTTCGGGAACTCCGGATCCGTCTCCTTTACCGAGGTCGTGTCGAGCGGCTTGCCAACAGGGACGGCCGACCCGATCTTTGCGATGACAGGGATAGAGTTGTACCAAGGCGAGAGCACGGTGTGCCACTTGCCCGCCTCAAAGTGCTCATATGGTGCATTCGTGTTGAGGAAGCCAAAATCGCTGCCATCGCCCTTCTTCGGGAGGTACACCTTCGCGGTATCGACACCGGGCTCGTACACGCCGCCGATGATGAAGGCATCGCCGAACCAGAACTGCGTGTCGCCGTCCTTGATCGCCTTGGTCCAGACCTCCGGATCAGCCTCGTAGTCCGAACCGGTCCAGCGCTGCGGCGGGATGGCGGTGTGGTGGGCGCGGAGGTTCTGGGAGTACGTGTAGGGGACGAGCTCGTAGCGGCGCTTGATAGTGGCGCGGATGATGGGCGTCGCGGTAGGGTACATCCAGGGCTCGATGACGCCGCCGATGAGATTATCTGCCTCGCTGGTCTTGAAGCAGTTGATGGCGAAGCGCGGGGAGTGGACACCGAGCTGGATCCAGCGAACAAGATGCTCTGGAGTAGGTTGGGGGCCTTCGAAGCCACCGATATCGTGGCCGTAGCACTGAGAGCTGTTAGTCTGGGTTTTGGGTGAACGTGGTTCGAAAATACTTACGTGGAGGAGGGAGAAGCTGGCGTTGAGGGCCAAAGAGTTTCCGCCTCTCATGGACTCCCAGGCGGTCACGTTGTCGCCACTCCACGAAGCACCGCAGTACTTCATGGTTCCAGCTGTGGCACTACGCGTGAGAACGAAAGGTCGCTCTTCAGGCTTGCCCTCGATTGTGGCATCATGAGAAGCCTTGCCCATAAGCTCGGTGTGAATAGCGCGGCCCCAAATACCAACATCCTTGCGGCTGAGCCCCTCGGGAATCGGGATTATGTCCGTCTTCTCAAGGGCGCACTGCCACTCGTCGTCGGGTACAGTGTACTCGTTGTTATCGTTCCACATGACATCAATGCCAACCTTCTTCAGTCCAACCACACCATCATACCACCACTGGTAGCCAGCGTTACTGGTGAAGTCGAGGTGACTGCCCTCTCCGCTCTCGCCTCCACCAGCACTCCAAAGTCTTGTCACTGCAGTCTTTCCAGTGGCAGGGTCCTTGAAGAAGGCGCCGTCTTCAGACAACTTCTTGTACGCGGGATGCGTGGCAAGCACGTATGGCTTAACATTGGCCAACAGGCGGAGGCCGTGTGAGTGCGCCGCGCGAGTAAAAGCTCGCGGGTCAGGAAAACGGTGATAGTTCCACGTAAAGACGTTACGAGTCTTGGGCTCCTGCTCAGCGACGGTGTACCCGGAGCTCATCTGGAACGCAGAGAATGGGATATCGTGCTTCTCGCAGTTCTTGATCCATCCCATGATGGCGTCGTGGGCTCGCGGGGTGTCCATGGCACTGTACTTCATGCCACCGCCAATGTAACCCATCATGTAGCGCGGTACACGTAAGGGGAAGCCAACGAGCTCAGCGTACGAGTGTACAACTTCGGCGACAGTCTTGCCGACGATGATGTACTCCTCGAGACCGCCGTGAGATTGGCGATGCACCTTGTAGGCACCCCACATGCCGTCGAGCTCGGATCCGATGGACCACGTCGAGCGGGAGTGAGCCGTGGAGAAGATACCGACGGCGCCCTCGGGCGTGACGTTGATGAGGAGCGGGATATGCTTGTACAGCGGATCCGTGCGGTAGGCGTCGTATCCGAATGTGTCACTTGCGGATATGATGAAGCCGCGGCCCGCGAGGTCCATGGGCGCCGCCTTCTCTCCGAGTCCCACGTGGAGCGTGTGCTTCTTGTAAGAAGAGTAGTGGGCAATGCCGGGGCCATCCGCGGCGTAGGAGCGGAAGGGCAGATCGGCGTGAATGGGCTTTCCGGAGTCATCTTGGCCCACGTAGAGGGAGACTATGGGAGTGTTTGACCATTCGACGATGGCCTTGACATCTGCAGTTGTAAATGATTGTGACTTCTCTGATGTCTTGACCTGGATGTCTTTCGGTGCCAGGTCTGCGCTTGGCTTATGTGCGCTGGGGAAGGGAGGGATAGGGCGCGTCTCGGAGGTGACGGTTGTGCGGAAGACATTTGACCTCACGATCTCGAATGTGAAAGTGAAGTCCTCAGGATGGCCTTCTGAGGACTTGAGTTGTATGGAGGATGCAGCAGCAGCGCCCTTGATTTCTTGAGGCGCATAGCCGGTGGGAATCTTTTCGTTTTGGAGAAGCATCTTGAATATTCTTGTTGTTGCCGGCTTGACGTTCCCAAACTTTATGAGTTAAATTGTTGGCCTGAGTTGGGTTCTAGGTACCCTTCTTAGTAGAATGAGGGGAAATGAGGGCGGACCTGTGATGTTGCTTGCGTAGAAAATGAGGGGAGGGACTCTAAGCTCTGGGATGGTAGTGCAGGCGAACGTATTCTTAAAGTCTGAGGCTTTCCGATGTCGCAGTATCCCTCACTTTCTGGCTAAATGAAAGATATCTGACAGCTTTGTCTACGCCTGGCAACGCGAATTGCATCGTGAGAAAGACTCGGACTCGGCATCCGAGTCAACGGCTACAACATTGAACCCACTGACCTCGTACGAATGGTGTCCCGAGTTGCGTGTAGCACAAGCATGTCATTGGAGAATTGAGAATAGTGTTCCCCGAGGCCACCCCGAAATCCACATCCCCCAGACGGGACCAAGGATACGGACGGGGAAAAGCTGGATTACTCCTGTCATCTCAAGGCATGAGACCAATGGAGTTGTAGTATTCTGACTCGTAGTGGATTATCACTGCGGTGCGTTGTGTCATGAGCCGACCCAAAAGCAGTTAGAAGCCGACAACAATGCCGCCCCAAAAGAGGAAATACAACCGCCGAGCCGCTGCGGGGGACGGCAACAAGCCAGAGAAGAGTTGAGAGACGGACTTCTTGCGGCCAATGGGCGGCAGTGTCGGCCAACCTCCGAATCAGTTGCCGCGTTATCGGTCCCAGTTCTCGTCTGATTGTCTTAGTCTCCTCTAGGTGTTCTGACCTCCTCTTTCTCGTTCAGTAACTCCGCGTTGTCCCCCCCTCTCTTCCTCCGCATTATTCACGCGATTCAACTCATAATCTGGAGACTCTGGGGCACAACCTGGGGCAGTTCGTTACGCCGATATGCCCGTACTCTCCAATGTTCCCCCCAACAAATCCCCAACTTCCCCCGCGCGGAGCATGATTCCGTCTCCATGTGTGGAGTTGAGCTAGTAACCTCCACACGGAGACTAGACAACCACCCCTTCCAGCCACTCGTGATGCTTCAATCCTCGGGTTTCTCCCCGCTACTCGCTCTCGCAAAGTCTCCATATCATCTTTATGACACGCCACTCGTTGACCGCCCCCATCTGAAGAGATGCGCGGAACGCGTGGGGGTCTAGTGTTTGTACCATTGTGCCGTAGTCCGACGGCGAAATTCCGCGAGCTGAAATTTCCGAGTTAAAGGACACGATGTACGACGTCAACCTTGAGCCCATCATGTCAACAGTCACAATGTGAAGTCGACCTAGCAGAGTCTTGGGTCGTCGTATCAAACTCTTGTGCAATACGAAAAAGAAAAAGGCCAATAGGGGAATTAAATCACAGCGTTGCCTGCGAAAACAAGCCTTTGGCGGCTCTAAGACGGCATGCTAGCCACCTTGGCTGAGTTCCCCTGCCATTATTACCAAGGCCGTGTCCTGATGCCTGAAGAAAATCGCACTAACTACTAGTACCCTTGTCAAACCCCCTTCTCGGCGACCGACTCGCAGCCAGTACATCAGCCGACATGTTTTGGGACAAATGCCGCTCATATCTATAATCACCGGGTTCTCTTTCCAATTCTGTCCGTATCATTCTCATGTTCCATCGACCTTCTGCGTTCTCGTTGTACCTTGCCTTCGTGCCTGAAGGGGAATCATTCCATCACTTAACAGCCAGAGATACTTTGCGACAGAAGTCTTATTAACATGGCAACCAACGAAGACCAGAACAAGGCCCCGGTAGACCAAGTCGAACACGCACCCGCCCACCAGGAAACCACAATTCACCGCCGCGATGCCGCCGCAGAGCTCTTGGGCAAATCAGGCGCCTCGCCAGAGGACCGCGTCGTCGTCACGCCCGCAGACAACGCCCGCGTCTTGCGCAAGATCGACCTCGTCATCCTCCCCCTGATGCTCTTCGTCTACTTTCTCCAGGGCATCGACAAGTCCACCCTCGCCTACGCCTCCGTCTTTGGCCTCATTGAGGATACGGGGCTCGTCGGGGACCAGTACTCGTGGCTCGGATCCGTCGTCTACCTCGCTCAGCTGGTGATGCAGTTCCCACTCGCGTGGCTGCTGGTTAAGTTGCCCGTTGGCAAGTTTACCAGTTGCATGGTTGCCTTCTGGGGTATCACTCTGTCTTGCATGGCGGCGGCGCACAACTTTGGTGGGCTCTTGGCTGCGAGGCTCTTTCTTGGGGCGTTCGAGTCTAGTGTTGCGCCGGCGTTCGTGGGAATTACGCAGATGTGGTGGCGACGACGTGAGCAGACGCTGAGGATAAGTTACTGGTACGCCATGAACGGCTTCACCAACATGGTAAGTGATGTCGATCTTCATCCCCTTCTAGGCTTTTCTAACACCCCCTAGTTTGGTAGTCTCATTACCTATGGCCTCGGACACATCTCTTCTCCCCTCAAGGAGTACCAGGTAAGCATTGAACTTGAATGGTACATGTCCAGTTATACACTCAAAGTTCTGATTAGTATGGATAGATCATCTTCATCTTCTTCGGTATCATCACTGTGGTCTTCTCCGTCATCATGTTCCTCTACATGCCCGATTCCCCCGTCGAAGCCAAGTTCCTCAACGACCATGATAAGCTTATCGCCATTGAGCGTCTTCGCATGAACCAACAGGGTGTCATGTCCCGCGAGTGGCGCTGGGATCATTTCAAGGAGAGCATGTTGGACATCAAGACGTGGTGCTGGTTTTCCCTCGTCTTTTCCATCTCGTGAGTGTCTTCGCCCTCTGTATAAGATATCACGTAGACTAATATCTGGTAGAATCCCGTCTGGTGGAATCTCCACGTTCGGCCCGCTGATTATCAAGTCCTTTGGCTTCGACTCCTTCCAGACCATCCTTTTCAACATCCCCTTTGGTTTCGTCCAGCTCGTCGCCACTGTCGGCGGCTCTTGGATCGCTACTAAGATCCATAAGAAGGGCCCAGTCATTGCCGGGCTCTGCATCCCACCCATTGCTGGCTGCGTTATGTTGATGGTCCTTCCCACCAGCGGCCAGCAAGCCGCACGACTAGTGGGATACTATCTCATCTCTGTCTACCCAGGAATCAGTAAGCCTTTCCAACCCGCACTCACTCAACTTGATGCCGTTTGACTAACACATGTCCAGCACCCCTTATCTACTCCTGGTCCGCCGCCAACACAGCCGGCGATACCAAGCGAAAGTGCACATCCGCGGTCCTCTTCATTGGCCAATCAGTCGGCAACGTTGTCGGTCCATTACTCTACAAGCCTGCCGAAGCACCCAGATACACCCGTGGCCTGACGTCAAACCTCGTTCTCTACTGCGTCATTGTCGTTCTTGTCGTCCTCGTCAGCCTGTACCTCGCCTTCCTCAACCGTTCGCACAGCAAGCGCCGCGTGGCTATGGGTAAGAGCGCCGTCATCATCGACACGAGTTTGTTCTCCGCGGCCGAGGCTGAGAAGGCCAAGCAGGAGCAGGCTGCGCAGGCAGCTGGGGATAATGGGCATGAGATGGCTGCCGCCGGGGAGGAGCAGGCTGAGGAGAACGTGGGTGCAAGAGCGTTCGACAACTTGACGGATTTGGAGAATGAAGAGTTTGTGTTTGTATTCTAGCAATATGTCTTGAGTTGAAAGCAAAATTTTGTAGTCAACGGAATGATACATATGCCTCAACAGAAACAAAGCCAAAGTAGGGAAGCAAAACGACTTGCGCGCATACAAACAAGTACAAGCACCATATGTAATTACATGTAGCTTCAACCCGGCTTCAACCCGAATAAACATGCCCATAGATGAATCTTTTCATGAGTCACTAAATAGCTTCACCATAGTTTTGTAGACTCAAGAGTCAGTTGTACTATCCCGTCAGCTATCGAGTAGTGGTGTGGCATGTTCGCCTGCTCCGGGTATCACGAGAAACGCCACTTCCCCTGTCATTTTCGCCCGTTGTGGCGCCCAACACCGATCCTACCATCAGTTGAGTTATTGTCGCTTTAGGAAGCTGCCATAATGGAGTGGAAAATCCACTAACGAGGTCTCACAAGCACTACGTATACAGACTCGAAGTTGTTTTTCGTCGTGACAAAAAGCTGGGGTCTGACCCAACTGCGCATTCCCGAATACTATCGGAATGCCTCTCGCAGTGGCTGGCTGAAAAGGTAGGCAGAAACAATAGCTTAATTCAGTATACGAAAGGGTTGCCGAGACCGTAATAGCCGCGAAAGGAACTGCACTGATATCGCCGACAACCGTATGGCAGATTCTTCAACGGGCCGACTTCCGAAAATCGAAGCCGACGAGAGAGCCAGGCCTACCGAAGAGATTGAGGGCAGTGTACCTGCAGTAGTGTCTCACCCACTGTGACTGAACACTCGAAAACTGGAAAAGGGTTGTGTGGGATGATAAGACTGATACTGTACTCAACCACCGCCGTGGAGGTTACCGACTCCGGCGACAATTTTCTGAAGTGCATACGTATAGCCACTCTTGCATACGTGAGAAGTGGGAGTTTTACTCCCAATACATCTTTCGGGCTGGCTCTTCTTGCACGACCAGGGTTTCTTGTCATTGATTGTTGGCTTCCGCAGACTGCGAGCGAGAGGAAGGCGGCCCATAAAATTATTGTGGTACTTGAGGCAAAAGAAGAGCCAATCCAACAGGCTAAATGGGATCTCGAAACGGAAAATACATGTACTTTCAGCTCCATGATCGTGGCAGGGGGTTGGCTTGGCATTTCGAGCCTAGACTTTTGAGGCGCACCTGTCAGACTGTTACGGATAGTCAGTCAGATATCGCCCGCTCCTGCATAAAGCCCCCAACACTGCCACCCAGACTGAGACGTCTCTTTTGGACCTTTGGCTGAATGGTATGACTACCGTAGGAATCCCATGGTACGATAGCAATAACCCTCCCGCCGCAATGTCTTCTTGCTTACACCTCGGACAAGAGTCCGATCCCCACTCCTAGCCACCACCCCCATGAATTCGATGCTTACGTAGTACCTGATAAAGACTTCGGTGACACTAAACACGGGATCGGCCGACATAGGATTCCAAGGTGGATACTGGAATGGAGACCGTCAGCAGCGCCAAGTCTGTACGAAATCTACGCAGCGAACCAGAAACCCTCCAGGGCTGCGTTGTGTCCGCATCAATACAGCAGCCGCGCGACTCATACACCCAAAGTTCTTATGAGACATAAACCAACAGACCGAGACCATTTTGACCTACCTTCCTTTGGAATGATTGATCTCCACTTTGATGTTGTAATGGTCTGAGATGATTGTCAATATCTGATGCAGGCAGACACCAAGCAATATTGAAAAGATGTCAACCGTGCCGCACGGCGGTACCAAGTCAACCACGCCGCACACGCGTAACACACAGCATCATTACGGGCTATTAACTTTAAGTATTGAATGTTTGTCTCCGATTTTACGAGGCTGAATACCCACCAAGTGGTAAATTTCTTTTTGCTTCTTTTTTTTCCCCCCTCGATTATGAGGCGCCTTCCAATGGCGAATGACGCCAAGCTCCGAAGCGCCTGTGACCGGTGTCACGATATGAAAAACCGCTGCACCCGGTCCGGCGGGATTGAGAGCCGTTGTGATAGGTGCGAGAGGCTAGATGCAGATTGCGTGTATAGCAAAAAGTCGCAGGTCGGTCGTCCAAGGACCCGGAAACAAGATGCAACGTCGGCTGGAGGTGAACGCACGAGCCGGAGCCGGAGTCCCGGGACACCCACCTCATCTCGGCTTGTCCCGCTCGAAGACGTTCGATTGGAAACAACACCGACAGACGGCACCTTGCAGTTTGATTTCGACAACTCCGCTTCGTCGTCGTCGGCTTCTAGCCATGCAGCGGCCCACTTCAACCAGCATTTCTGGGACGTCGATCTTTCTGTCAACCAGACGGAGGCCACGCAGTGTCATGGTATGAACGGAACCCCCGTCTTCCTTCCCCCATCAGTTTCTCAAGTGAAGAATCATTGGCTGATTAGTTCCCATCATCAAAGATACCGAGTGGCAGTTGGACGCAGCTGTCTTTATGGCCAACAGTCCCCCGTATGGTGACAATATCGTTGCCGCCACGTCCGCACAGGAAGACCCTGTTAGACTTTCACCTCAAAATAGAAATGATGCCGTGTCTTTAAATAGCGTCAAGGAGGGCGTTAATGGGACAACTGACACCCTTATAAGGATGCAGAGTCAATTGCAACAACTCTTGTTCGAATCCAGCCATGAGGCCTCTCCGGCTGTGGACGAGATCCTGGGTCTTACGAATCACCTTCTCGAAATTGTGCAGATTCAAATCCAGATCAACTCCAATAATGAACAACCGGCACGGCAAACAAACCGCATCACAACGCTACAAATAATGACATGTTACAGCTACGTCGTACAATTACTCCACCCTATCATAAATACGACAACACGGCAACAGAGCAACGTCAGCGGCAGCAATCTCAAAATCCACATGGCGCCACAGTGTCAGTCATCATTACAGCACATGTTCCCAGCTTCCGGGCCGGCCAATGGACCTCCAAGGGGCGGCAACCGGTACCCGGCCCTTCACCTGGGTGGGTTCAACCTCGCGTCCCAGCCAGTGCTCAATGAGGATGTGGTCCAGCATATGGTCCGGCTGATGATGCGACAGCTTCACACGTCGATCCGATCATTTGCCTCACTTGCGGGAAGTGGTAAAATTGCCGATGCCGTGGAAGCACACATCACTGCGGGAGTACTGTCGCCTGCCTCAACACCCACTGCTGGCGACGAGGCTGGGGAACGGTTATAACACAAGCCTTACATGACGACATAAAATTTGGATTTTAAGTGGGAAAGAAGGGCGTATGTGGCGATAGACAAGTTGTAGAGATGGATGATTGTAGGCAGCTTTTGGCTCGCAATCTATTATACTAACATTTAATGGAGTGCTTCGATCATATCAAGACTCGACGAAATTGAGACAAGCCCCGCTGCCGGCCCATCGAGGCGATTAACTAGAAAAACCCAATCCAACGGGCAGTAAGAGCATACATTAATTTAGTTTGGACATATAGGTATTACCCTCCACGACTTATGGCCTTAGTGATGATCCGAGCGTAGCTTAAACGTCGAAACATAGCACAACAACAATCACAGCATCTCTCCAATACGATGCCATTGCACTTTTGATACAGAAAATTTCGAGCTAAATCGTAAATGCACCAGGGTCTGCAAGAGCTTCAAGTGCCAAGTGCACACACCTAGGTGATGACATGCAACCTTTCATATTCCGCCGCTTATTTACTTCGTTTCGTGCCGTGCCGTCGGGTTGATTCGTGTGACACATCCGATCCTTACATGTAAATCAATGATCTACAATTCAAGGAACGCCATCAGCCTCTAGACCTATTTAGGCATCCCGGGAAGTGTTTTTGTTGACAAGGGTAGCTTCCGTTCCGCAAGTGTGTGTGTGTGTCGTATAGAAGGATTTGAGAACAATTTAGCCAAGACATCCTGAATCCTCACCTCAACCGGCGGGTTTCATCACCAGCCGGTGGGTGTTTTTAAACGCCGTGCATGCAGCGAGGCGGATGATTCGATATGAGCTTCTGGATATCGAAATTCACCGGTGTGGTAAGCAGCTCGGCAGGAGGAACGATGCCCAGGACGGTGCAGGAATGAATTCTTAGAACCCTTGCTGCCATAGAAGTGAATGCCCAAAAGCCTTTTTGCGGTAGACTTTCTCCCAATACTGGCACGTTGGTAGCCTTCGAACCAATTGTTCATTGCAAAACCATGTCGGACGCGAAGGCATCTCCATCACTATGCACACCAGCCGCAAAAACCAGCCGCCTCCCCGCGATCCTCTGCCTCCACGGCCAAGGCACCAACGGCGTCATCTTCTCCCACCAGTCCCGGGCCCTGGTCAAGTCCCTCAGCGACCGGTTCCGCTTTGTCTTCATCGACTCGCCCTTCACGTCGTGGCAGCCCGGCCCCGGCGTCGTCCCCACCTACGCGAATCAGAAACCGTACCGTCGCTGGCACTACGATAAGGCGCAGGTCGAGACGGGCGTTTCGGCCGAGGCCGTGGACGTCGAGAGGGCGCGCGTCAGGGCGCTCATCGTGCGCCATATCGAGACCGAGGTGGAGGAGACGGGGGAGGGCATCGTGGGCATTATGGCGTTTAGTCACGGCACGCGGGTGGCGACAGGATTGTGCTTGGATGGCGAGTTCGGGCCGCGTATCAAGATCGCCATTCTGATCAGCCCCGTCTTCCCGAGCCTTTCGGTTGGGGGCATATCGACGGACTCTTCGGAGAAGGAGAAAGTTCGTCGGAATCTCGACGTGCGGCTGGTCCAAGTACACGGTGCGTCTGACCCCTGGGCGCATGGAGGTAAACGTCTGGTGAAGACGCATTTCAGTGCGCCCTTAACGCGAACCGTCATCTTTCCGGGTGGTCACCAGGTTCCGTCTGCTGCCAAGGACGTTGCGGCGGTTACACATGAGGTTATATCTGCGTGGGAGTTGCGGCAGGTGTCATGATGGGAAGTAGAACAGGTACAAGTTGATACACCGTCACTCAACCTCTCTAGGGCGCTGTGAAGATATGCCTGGCAACAAAATGGATAAGGCCAAAAATGGGGTTTCTGTATTGGCTCGAATAGATAGACAAACCTCGGCATTTGTAAATAGCCGGCAAAGGTTCCATGAACTACTTGAAAACTGTCTCCTTCTTGCCCTTGTTGACTGGTGTCAATTAAGTGATCCATGGGTTCAGATTGTGATATTTCGTATGCTTTCACATCATATATCAAAGTGGAATTCACCTGTCCTCTTACATTATCTGATAGATTCTATTTGGTTCAGGTTTTGATCCTGGACGTTGACTGTGGCATTAGCAAGGCAAATTCTAGCTTTTGCCCTGAACAGAGAACTTGTACGTCGCAAAGCTAGTATAGAGTCCATCCGCGCCCCAAATGGTTTTCCTATTCTGCCACTCGGGATGATTAACACTATCCGGCCAATTCTGCATTTCGAGGGATATTGCGGCATGCTGAAGTATCTCGCCCCCGCCTTGGCCAAGCTTTAGTTTCTTCACTTCTGGGGGCACCATCACTTAGTCAGTGATAGTTACGCAAGATATCCCAAGGGGGAGAATTCTGTTTTGCTTACCATTGCTCCCACCCCATGTTTGCACGCGCAATGCGTCCTGGTCCGTATAGAGCGACAGGCTGATCCCGGAATGTGTCGATGAGAGGATGGCGGCGGGGTTGTTCATCTTGTGCTCTGGATACGGGTGGGAAATGGCAAAAACGTCATTCAACCCACGCCATCCGTCCAGCATCGTCTTTGCGGACGACCAAAAGTCGAATTCTCCCCCTTTTCTGTTGCTCAGGAGATCCCCCGTGGGGATTCCCTGCGGGTCCATTGCGAACCGCATTCCCGACGAGGGCAGCTGAAGCTGGTGGCTCGGCGGTCTCCGGGCTTGCGTCGAAGACGTGTTGCTGTTTGACTCCCTGGACGTCGTGGAAACAGGTTTCGGAGGGTAGCGAAAGCCGTCGAGGTTGAAAAACACCTGCTGGCTCAGGTTGATGGGCCCGGCGAAGAGGAGGGGAGTAACTCCAAAGGCGATACGCCACTCGTAAGGCGTGACGGTGTGGGTGAGGCATGAGGCGAAGACGCCCGGGAAGCCATTCCATTGGCGGTCGAACATCAGGAAGGTGATGCTGTTGTTGATGTGTACGGCAACGTCCCACGTCTGTCGTCCCCACCCTTCGTCGCCGCCGTTGAAGGTCGAGGTGCGGTTGTGTGCGTTCGGCCAGACCTTTCGCTGGACGTTGTTTACTTCATAGCTGGCGTTGCTCAAGTAGCCGGCGTACCGTCCTGACGGCTTTCATCAGCAACTTGATTCTGCCTTTCTTTTTCGAACCATAAGGAATAGATGAAGCCATCCGGCATTGTAGTTCAGTACCTATAACGCCGTTCAGGTATGGATTGGATGTGAGCTTAGCGTAGTCGTCACCATTATCAAGACCCAATACAATATCGATTTCCTCTCCATGGGTATTGTTGATCCATAGGTTTGTCACAGCCGCCCCGTGATTGGTGAACGCCAAACGGATACCCTCGGACTCGATGATATACTTGCCCTCGTGGTTAGTCGCCCACAAAGCCGACAGTACGGCAAATGGACTCCCACGGGTCCACACAGACTTGGCCGCGGCAAAGATGGTTGTTGTCAAGGCGAGGAACTTCATCTTGGGCGGGAGATGGGACCGCAAAGTTGAGGAAATAAGGGATAGATGGTTGAACCGAACTAGTAAAAGGTGTACAAGGTGGTTGGGTGACCAAAGATTTCCCCAGCAGTGCATACTACCAACACATGTGTATATGCATGTGGTACCTTACTCGGCGTTCAAGCAGGCTTTTCAACCGGCGAATTATGTGTGGTGAGACGAGTGAACGGGATTAATTGTCCGTTTATTCAACCTGGGTATGCATAGCTAAAAACAGAAAGAAAAAAAAAACGAAGTAAGTCCCTATGATACTGTGCCGCAAATCACTACTTGATACGGCATATGAGCTTCTGCCCAGAGACCTGCTTTTTTCTCAATATCGCCAAGCCCTCCTCCACGGCCGCAAACCCCTCGCCTCCCCGCTCGTTCACAATCCTCAGCGGATGCATCCTCAGGGTCCCCTCATCCAGGAGCCTCTGCGCAATGGCGAACCACCAGCGCGCAAACTCGCGATCCTTGGGATCCCCGGCACGCGCAAATGGCTCGGGCCAGCCAAGCGGCTTGCCCAGCAGCGTCGGGCCCAGGACCCAGCCGGCCGCGACGGTGTGCTTGCGCGACTCGGCCAGGAAGGCAGGGAAGGGCTCCAGGGCCGTGTATCTGCCGCCCGCGCGACCCAGACACCGGTAACAGAACTGCATTGTATCAGGCTCCGAGATGCAGTCGAGCACGTACCGGAGAGAGCCGCGGGTGTGACGTTTGATGGCGGCTTCGGGGGTGTCAGCATGATCCGCCGAGTCCGAGGAGTCGGGTGCGGGACGGGCGTGATAGTCGAAAACCGCCGAAGCGCCGTACGACTTGACCAGTTTGAAGTTATGCGGCGAACATGTGGCGATGGGGTCCAGACCGGACAGTTTGAGCAGTTGGATGGCCAGCGTGCCCGTCGCCGTGCTTCCACCATACACGAGAACCTGAACAGGCTTCTCGCAGGGCTTGTCAGGAGTGCCAGGAACCTGCAGCGACTGGAAGAGTGCCTGTCCGATGGTGCCGATGCCGCTTCCCAGGGATGCACCCGCCTCGAACGAGAGGTGGTTCGGTATCTTCATGGTGACAACGTCGGAGACGCCCACATACTGGGCAAAAGCGCCCACGGTCGGAGTGAGAGCGTGCATGCCCGGCACGGCGCCGCAGACGCGGTCCCCGATCTGGATGGGAACGCTTGTCTGCACCTTGGAGCCTATGGATACCACTTCGCCGGCGAAGTCCATGCCGGCTACAGCCCCAGGAGTGGCGAGTTTGCCCACCATCTTTACGTCGATGGGGTTTAGTGCCACGGCCATGTTCTTGACCAGGATCATATCATCTCCCAGTTCCGGCACTTTGACGTGGTGTCCAAGTCCCAAGTTGCCGTCTTCCCGGCCAATGAGGGCGGTCTGTTCTGTTGGTATAATCGTCATTGTGGCTTTGATGTGATTGGAAAATGGAAGAGGTCAAGAAGAGTGGGTGTTAGTCCGTAAATTCGTAGATGAAAGTGAAGTCTGAAGAGTACCCAAGAAAGGCGAAGGAGTTGAGACTTTCAGTTTAGCACGAGATGGTGAACATGGCGATGCTTTCAGGTGGTGCCATCTTTCGTCAAGTTAATTCAATACAAGTTACTTTATAAGCAAGTAAACTTGAATTATGCCGCGGTATCTGGATACCGGTCAGTATAATCTTTACTGAAATCAAGGCTGAATGCCTTTTAGCAGCCAAGGCGCTTATACGGCCGTCAGAATTCGCCGGTCATCGGCCCCGATCACCGGTCACTAAACCCCCGACACACAATGGAACGGACGTGAATTACCTATCGAGAGTTTCTGTCCACAGGTATCCATCATAATTCCAAGTCTTTACCCTGGGTCTTGGTCGAGTCAGCTCAACCAACTTTCATCTCTCTTTTCCACAAAATCAAACTTTGGTTTTACACTTCCGATTGCAACTTTGGAACAATTACGCAACCCCATCAACTTGAAAACTTAACGAACCATGTCGGTCACTTTAAACGCGTGGTATCTGGCCGTGCTTTGCACTTGCATTACGCTCCTCTACCAGCTCATCACCGGCAGCGATGGCGTCAGCTCCGTGTTCGGTCTATTGGGCCTTGAGGTACTGTTCTTGGCACTCTGGGTCGGATACTGGATCGTTCTGTATCCGACCTACTTCACGCCTCTGCGCCATCTTCCAACTCCGCCAAAGAGAAAATACCTCACGGGAAACAAGGACATCTACTTCCTCGACAACCCCTGGACCGACTTCCCCAACGTCGTCAAGTCGATTCCCAACAATGGCTTGATCCGGTACTATGGCGCCTTCAGCCGCGAGCTGGTCCTCGTGACCAAGCCGCACGCGCTGCGCGAGATGCTGGGCGTCAAGGCGTACGACTTTGGCCACTCGAGCCTCGTCAAGCTGGCCATGAAGCGCTTCACGGGCAGCAACTTGGGCTTCATTTCCGACGAGGAGACGAAGCGCCACCGCAAGAGCCTGCTGCCTGCCTTCACGACGGCGCACATCCGTGCCCTCGTCCCGCTCTTCTGGAGCAAGGCCGAGGAGATGACGGCGTGTTTCGACGACGAGCAGACGGCACGGGGCCCCGATGCCGTTATTTCACTGGGCGAGTACGGGTCGAGAGCCACGCTCGACGGGATCGGTCTGGCGGGAATGTCGTACGATTTTGACACGCTGCATAAGCCCGACAACGAGCTGCGAAGGCGCTACAAGAAGATGATCATGGAGCCCACCCGCGCCTTCTACTGGATCGAGCTGCTGAGTCACCACATTGACTTCCGTCTGCTGCTCAAACTACCCTTTAAGAAGAACCTTGAGGTGGTAGAGGCCAGTAACTACCTCCGTGGCGTCGCCCGAACCGTCATTGACGAGCGTAAGAAGGCGCTGCTCGAGACGAAGAAGGGAGGGGATAGTGGGGATGTTGTTGGCTCGGTGGATGGCAAGGACATCATCACGGTCGCGCTGGCCAGCGGCTCGTTCCAAGGCGAGCAGCTCGTTGACCACGTCATGACGTTCCTCACAGCCGGTCACGAGTCGACTGCCACGGCCTTTGAGTGGACCATGTACGAGCTGGGCCGAAACCCCGAAATCCAACAGCGCCTGCGTTCTGAGATCAGACAAGCCCTCAACTCCAATGATTCTTGCGATGATGCCGGCAACCCGAGATCGAACCCGGGCACCATCGTGCAAGATCTGCCATACCTCCACGCCGTGCTGAGCGAGGTGCTCCGGCACTACCCCTTCATCCCGCTGCTCGTCCGCGTCACGCAAAAGGACACGTCCCTCGTCGGTCAGCCCATTCCCAAGGGCACTCCCGTGTTGTACTCGGCCATGGCCATCAACCACGACGAGCAAGTCTGGGGCCCGGACGCTCACCAGTTCCGTCCGGACAGATGGCTTTCGTCATCTCCTGACAACAACCATAACAACTCACAGCACCTTGGCACCATGGGCAATTTCTCGATGCTGACGTTTGGCGCCGGTAGTAAATCGTGCATAGGTCACGCTTTTGCGCGCGCCGAGCTGGCGTGTTTGGTGGCGGCTGTGGTACAGAGATTCGAGATTGAGCTGGTCAATGCCGACACAGCTGGCGGCATCAAGTTTGGGTTGACGAACAAGTCGGCCGAAGGAATGCTTGCGAGATTGAGGCCTGTAAGCCAATGAAGACTCAGTCTGCCCAGTCATGTTACTGAGAAGTTGTTAATGATGATGGGTGGCTGTTCGCGCCGTGGTATTTGTTGCCTTTATTGATGCTAATGTTCACATTGAGATTAAATTACATTGACAAGGCAACCTTATGAGAATAGCCAGGTAGTTTTGGAAAGTCTTATGACGGCCTTAAGTTGGGATTAGTTCCAGTGACTTGTAGTAGTTGTCAAGAAGATTGCATATTCATAGATATACGACCTTCTTTCTTGTGCACACAATGCCATCCGAACACAAGTCACCGAAATTACGGTTTTGAGAAGAGAACTTGAATATTACATCTGAACTCAGGTAGGGGAACTACGGCTATCTGGGTAATTATTTTACCTCTGAGTCAAGTAAGGATTTTGACAATTAGTCAAGGTGGACTCACATGCTGTAATTGGCAACGATGCACGGTTAGGACTGAGTCATTGTATCTAATAGCTTCCCTCACCCAGGTTAGAGCAGGCCCAAGTTAATTCCAAAGTACAAGGACAACCGATATCGCATTTGCAACACCGTGCAGAATCCTCATTGTATGAGCCGCCGTTGAATTATTCCAAAGTTCTTACGATGGCTGGCGAAGGATTCCGGTTAACTGCGCCTCAGGACCGGGATAATGATACAAACGGGATGCGGTGAATTTGAATATTCGCCGCGCGGCGGTGCAATAGGTCTGGTGTCAACAACGGAATGGGTATCTCTCTTGTTTTGTCGTATGTGTGAATACATCTGTCTGTTTTACGATTCTCGCTTCTTCTCTGCCTACAGTCCTAGGTATATTCCCTGTTTACATATGTAAAGTGTCTAACAACCTATTTAACAACCTAAACCTTGCCTCTTGTGTCTTGAACAACATCACATCACATTATACCCCATCTCATTCCGTCCCATTCCGTCCCATCTCATTCTATTCAACATTTCCCACCATCCCACCATGTCCAAAATTGCCAACGAGCCCATCGCCATCGTCGGCATGGGCTGCCGCTTCGCTGGCGACGCCACCAGCCCGTCGAAACTCTGGGGCCTCCTATCTTCTCCCCATGAGGTGGCGCAGGACATACCACCTACACGCTTCAACATCGACCGCTTCTATCACCCCAACCCCACGCATCATGGCACCACGGCTACCAAGCAGGCATACCTCCTCAGCGAGGATGTGCGCCTCTTCGACACAAAATTCTTCGCCATCCCACCCGCCGAGAGCGAGGTCATCGACCCCCAACAGCGCCAGTTGCTCGAGGTCGTCTACGAGGCCCTCGAGTCGGCTGGCCTGGCGTCCGACAGACTCGCCGGCAGCGACACGGCGTGTTTCGTGGGCCTCATGTCACAGGAGTACTTTGCCCTTCAGGGCCAGGATGTGAACATGGTGCGCACGTATGCTGGGACAGGCACAGCCGCCAGCAACGCATCGAGTCGCGTGTCGTACTTCTTCGACTGGCACGGGCCGTGTATGACTATCGACACGGCGTGCTCATCGAGCATGGTCGGCGTGAATGAGGCCGTGCAGGCTCTCCGTAACGGCTCCAGCCGCGTCGCCGTCGCCTGCGGGACAAACTTGGTCCTGTCCCCGTTGTCCTTCATCACTCTCAGCAAGCTCAACATGCTCTCGCCTACCGGCCGCTGTCGCATGTGGGACGCCGATGCCGATGGGTATGCGCGTGGCGAGGGCGTCGCCGCTATCGTGCTCAAGACTTTGAGCTCAGCTTTGGAGGATGGTGATGAGGTCCTTAGCGTCATCCGCGAGATTGGCGTCAATCACGACGGGAGGACCAAGGGTCTTACTATGCCGAGCTCAGCTGCCCAGGCGGCTTTGATCCGGCAGACGTACGCCAAGGCCGGACTGGACTTGACCAAGCGGTCCGATCGCTGTCAGTTCTTCGAGGCGCACGGCACCGGTACCGCCGTCGGTGATCCACAAGAGGCCGAGGCCATTTGCTCGGCCATGTTCTCCTCCAAATCGGATCCGGATCTGGAAGAGATTCTGGTCGGGTCCATTAAGACCGTCGTCGGCCACACCGAGGGAACCGCGGGCGTGGCCGGGCTCATCAAAACAACACTGGCCCTCCGTGAGGGCATAGTGCCCCCGAACCTTCTTTTCAACCGCTTGAACCCGGCCTTGGAACCCTTTGTCGACCACCTGCGCATTCCCACCTCGTGTGAGCCGTGGCCCGAAGTGCTCGAAGGAGGCGTGCGCAGAGCTAGTGTCAACAGTTTCGGCTTTGGCGGATCCAACGCTCATGTTATCCTGGAAAGCTTCACTGGAAACAACGACAGGAAAGGTGGCAAAGACCAAAACTCGTCGACTTTTTCGGTCCCCGTTCCGTTCATCTTCTCGGCGGCGTCGAAAACCTCGCTCTCAACACTACTTCGAGGCGCCGTGGGCTACCTCGAGAAGCACACCGCCGATGACGAAGTGGTCGACATGTCGGCACTCGCGTACACCCTCAGCACCAAACGGTCAGCACTCTCCCAACGTGTCGCCATCCCTGCCGTCTCGGCGGACCAACTCCTCCAGAAGATAAAAGCAGCTCTCGAGGCAGATGATGACTACGCCGTGCAGGCCATCTCCTCAAGCACCACAGAGTCAGACGCACCAGGCCTCCTAGGCGTCTTCACAGGCCAGGGTGCGCAGTGGCCCGCCATGGGCGCAAACCTGATTGCCACAGTCCCCATGGCGCGTGAGATACTGCGTCAACTGGACTCATCACTCGCTGCCCTTCCTGCCGACCACAGGCCTGATTGGACTTTGCTCCACGCCCTCTCGCCGAAGAACGACGAGAACGACGGCAACGGTGATATCTGGCAATCCCGCGTCAACGAAGCCGCCTTTTCGCAGCCCCTCTGTACCGCCGTGCAAATTGTACTCGTCGACCTCCTCCACGCCGCCGGGGTCAAGTTCCGCGCTGTGGTGGGCCACTCGTCGGGCGAGATCGCCGCAGCGTATGCCGCCGGCTTCCTGACCGCCACAGATGCAATTCGTATAGCCTACTATCGCGGCTTCTTCGCCACGAAGCTCGCCGTGGGGCTGGGAGGCAAGATGGTGGCCGTTGGCACGAGCCTCGAAGATGCCGAGGAGCTGTGTCAGCTAGACGATTTTGCCGGCAAGCTTTCGGTGGCTGCCCATAACGCTCCCAGCAGTGTCACGCTTTCGGGTGACGCTGAGGCCGTGATTCAAGCCGAGTCGGTTTTCCTCGAGGAGAAGAAGTTTGCGAGGGTACTGAGGGTGAATACGGCGTATCACTCGCATCACATGATGGTTTGCGCAGATGCCTACCTGGCGGCTCTGACCGAGTGTGGAGTGAAAGTCCAGCAGCCGGCCGAAGGAAATGCAATGTGGTTCTCGAGTGTCTTTGACGGACAACAGGTCAGCAGCAGTACGAAGCTGGGACAGAGCCTGAGCGGGCAGTATTGGGTTGACAACATGACCAAGCCTGTACTCTTTTACACGGCCATCGAGTCGTGTCTGACGGCGGCGACGTTTGATACGAATGCTATTATGGGGGTGTTGGAAGTTGGACCACACCCAGCTCTCCAGGCGCCCGCCACCGAGTCCATTCTCCAAGTATGCGGCAAGGAATTGCCTTACTCGGGCACCCTGAGGCGCGGTCAGGACGACGTCGAGTCCTTTTCCCAAGCCCTGGGATATCTCTGGACGCGCTTCGGCCCCGGCTGCGTCAACCTGGGACGGTTCCAGGAAGCATGCCAACAACAATCTTCGTCATCAGTACTCCACGACCTCCCGTCCTACCCTTGGAACCACGACCGCGTGCTCTGGGCCGAATCCCGCCTCGCCAAGCTCTTCAGCAAGAATCCCGGCCGTCCCCACGACCTTCTGGGGCTCGACATGGCCGAGGGCACCGTCGAGGAGATGCGTTGGCGTAACGTGCTCAAGATCAACGAGCTCAAGTGGCTCGCCGGCCACTCGTTGCAGGGCCAAATCGTCTTCCCGGCCACTGCGTATATTGCCATTGCCATGGAGGCCGCCATGCAAATGGTGGGGATGACTGGAGGAGCGGAAACCTCGGTACAGTCAATTGATCTCCTGGACCTGCGGATTCCCAAGGCAATTGCTTTGAACGATTCAGGGACAGAGCTGGTGACGTCCATGACGCATATCAAGCGCAGCGAGAATGTTATCACGGCCGAGTTCAACGCCTTTTCTACCACGGGCACGGCATCCATGGCGTTGAACTGCACCGGTCATGTCCGGATCATGCTTGGAGCCAACAGCAGCACCAACGGCCTCGACCAAAAAGAAGCCGACCAAGAACAACAAGGGAAAGAAGAAGAAGAAGCAGAGGCAGAGACAACAACAGGGCCATCGCGCTTCGCAGCCCGAGACGCACCTCAAGGCCACCTCTCCACCATCGACGTCGACAGGTTTTACCAAGTCCTCCGCGACGACTTTGGCTTCGGCTACGACGGCGCCTTCCACGGCCTCACGAGCATTCAGCGCAAGACAAACTACGCCACGGCCACCATTCGCAACCCGGTCTTCGAGAAGGGCGAGACCCGGCTGCTGTTCCACCCCGGCATGCTCGACAGCGCACTGCAGGGTCTCAACGCCGCTTACAGTGCCCCTGGAGACGGTCGGCTGTGGTCCATCGTGGCTCCCACCGCGGTACGGCGCATCACCTTGGTTCCTGAGTTGTGCGGTGAGGAGATGACGGACGAGGTGCTCATCGACTGCACCATCACCGACCCGCGGCCCAACTGTGTCACGGGCGATGTTAACGTGTTCTTGTCGTACCCATGCCAAGAATCTGAAGAAGGTGTCAGCGATAAGAAGATCACAAAGCAATGCATCGAGGTCGAGGGCATCACCTTTTCCCCCTTCGCCGCCGCCACCAAGGACGATGACCGCCTCCTATTCCAGGAAGCCTTCCTCACCCTTGACAAGCCCGATGCCACGCTCATCTACGGTGACCGAAAGGCCACACCACGGGAGGCCCAAAAGGCCCTTGACGCCGAAAGGGCCGCCTTCTTCTATCTCAAGAACTTGCACCTCACCATTGACGCCGAGAAGCGCACCGAACTGCCATCCTACCGACAGGCCCTCCTTTCCAACGCCGAGCGCATCTACAACCGTGTCAAGGACGGCCAGCACCCATTCGTTCCCGCCGAGTGGATATCCGACACGAAAGAGGATATCGTGGAGCTGATGGACTCATACGGGAGCGATGACGCTGACTTCAACCTCACGCGCGCCGTGGGCGATAATCTAACCCTGCCCACCATCCTGAGCGGCGAGTCGAGCATCCTGGAGCACATGACGCAGAACAACCGCCTGGACAAGTACTACACAGACGCCATCGGGTTCGAAATGCTCAACGGACTCATCTCGGGCGTTGCCGAACAGCTGTGCAATAAGTACCCGCACATGCGCATGCTCGAGGTCGGCGGCGGCACCGGAGGCGCCACGCAGGCGATCTTCGGACGCATCGGCAGCGCCTTTGCATCGTACACGTACACGGACATCTCAAGTGCCTTCTTCGGCTATGCGGCGCAGAGGTTCGCAGCGCAAGCCCATAAGATGCTGTTCAAGACGCTCGACATCAGCCAGGACCCGACGAAGCAGGGGTTCAAGAAGCACAGCTACGACATCGTGTTCGCGAGTAACGTGCTGCACGCGACCGAGTCGTTGAAGACGTCGGTCGAGCACGCGAGGCAGCTGCTGAGGCCGGGAGGATACTTGGTCATGGTTGAGATCATCCGGAATGATGTGTTGAGACATGGCCTCGTCATGGGCGGCCTCCCGGGCTGGTGGGTAGGTGAGAAGGATGGCCGAATCGGAGGGCCCAGTATCACGCTTGAGGAGTGGGATGCCGTCCTCCGGGAGACTGGATTCGATGGCATTGAGACGAACTCGCCCATGCTGGATCCCGTCGGCGTTCCTGGTGCCGTCATCGTCGCTCAGGCATCCACCGAGCAGGTTCAGATTTTGAAGAATTCTCTCACGGCCATTGACGGGAGCTCCGAGGTTGCTACTGCTACTCGTACTGGTCCTACACTGGTTCTGCTGGGATCAGGCAAGGAATCGTCCTCATCATCCGCATTTTTATCCAATCTCTGCGACCAGCTCTCCTCTTTGATCCAGGCTCACTTCTCCCAAATCATCCACCTAACGCGGCTCGAGGATCACGACAGCATTGTCTCCCAGTTGCCAAAGGAAGACGTCCACGTCATCAGTCTTGTCGAGCTCGAGGGTTCTAACATCTTCGAGGATGCGTCGGAGCCCGCCTTTCTCGGCCTCAAAGCCATTCTCTCCTCGGCCCAAACGGTGCTGTGGCTGCTGACGGGCGATGGTGGTAACAACCCGTACGCCGGCATCACCGTGGGCTTGTTCCGGACGCTTTTCTTCGAGCTGCCGGGCACACTCTTGCAGACACTGGATCTGGGCAAGAAGGTCGACCGAAGTGGTGACATTGATGAAGTTGACAAGCTATCCTCCATGGTGGCCGAGTTGTCACTGCGCCTCCGCACACTGGGAGACACGGCCAGACGCGGAGGAACGGCACATGAAGGACGCGTAGAGGACGGTGGTGCGATTGGCGACCAGGTCCTCTGGAATTTTGAGCCGGAGCTGGTGCTTGATGAGAGCGGACGACTGCGTGTACCACGCGTGCGTCCCCATGACGAACAAAACGCTCGCTACAACTCGGCCAAGAGACAGATAACCAAGATGGTCGACTTGAACGACCATGATACCGTCCTCGAGGTGCGCCGGACTGAGACGTCGTACGCGCTGCAGGAGCTCCACGAGGTCGACCGCCTCGGCAAATTTGATGACATCTGCACCGTCCGCGTCTCGTGCTCGCTCCTGTCAACCGTCAAGACGCCGGCCGGCTTCGTCTTCGTCAGTTACGGCACCGACGTGAAGACTGGTGAGAAGAGGCTCTGCTTCTCCGACAAGAACGCATCTACACTTACGATGCCACTATCGTGGACAGTAGCGGTCGAGAACAACGATGAAGTGGACGTAGAAGGTCTCGACGTGCAGTTGATGATGTTCGTCACTGCGGATCTCCTGGCACAGCAGTTGCTAGTCATGTTGCCGCCGATCGGCACCGTTCTCGCGTACGAGCCCGATCCCATCATCTCGAACCTGTTGACCAGCGAGCTGGGTCGTAGGGGGCGCAAGGCCGTCTTCGTCACGTCAAACCCCGACCTCCACGCACAGCGGCCGGACTGGGTGTATCTTCACCCTCACAGCTCCAAGCGCGACATTGATCAGGTCATGCCGCCTGATGTGACGCTTTATGTCGACGCTTCTTCCATGGGCCACAGGGATGACAATAGCGACAACGGCTTGGGGCCCCAGATCGCCCACTCCCTGCCTCGCGTCTGCGACCGCATCAGCTTTTCGAGCCTCATGGCCGACGAGGCCTCCCCGCTACTCTGTTCTCCTGCCGTGACTGACAGCAATATTGACAACACGGCCCCCGAATCCATCCAACGTCTCCTGAAGACCGCCTCCTCCAACGCTTTGCGGCGTCTAGGCTCCATCTACGACTGGGAGCCTCTCGATATCCTGGGTCTCCCACAGGTTGTGTCCCCTCTTGCCCGCCCCAAGCCAAACTCGCTCGTCTACTGGTCGTCGGACCGCCCCGTGGCTGTGTCGGTGGCCCCTATACTAGAGTGGCGAAAAGATCTGTTCCGGTCCGATCGAACGTACTGGCTCGCGGGGCTTTCGGGCGATGTGGGAAGGAGCATGGCAGACTTCATGGTGGAGAATGGCGCGCGGTATATTGCATTGAGTAGCCGGACACCCAAGGTGGAAGAAGGGTGGGTGGCGTGGCACAAGAAGAGGGGTTCTACGATTTCGTATTTCTCCGGGTGGGTTTATCTCTTTATCTCTCTCTTCCTCTCTCTCCAGCTAACATGATCAATGTAGTGACGTTACCAACTGGGAATCCATGAATCAGACCTACGATGCCATCACAACAAGTATGCCCCCCATCAGCGGCGTGGCCAACGGTGCCATGGTTCTCCGCGATGTATCCCTCATCACCATGACCTTTGAAGACTTCATCACTGTGCTTCGACCCAAGGTCCAAGGCACCCTGAACCTCGACCGGCTTTTCTCCTCGCCGGAGCGCGAGCTCGACTTCTTCATTTGCTTCAGCTCTATCGCCGGCACCCTCGGCAACCCGGGACAGTCCGCCTACAGCGCCGGCAACTGCTTCATGAAGTCCCTCGTCCGCTGTCGACGCAACAGAGGTCTTCCGGGCGCCGCCATCGATATTGGCCGCCTCGTCGGCGTCGGCTACATTGAGCGTGAGAGCTCGGGTCGATTGACCAAGGAGCATCAGACAAGACTCCAGACGAGGTCCGGTGCCGTGCCCATGAGCGAGACGGACCTGCACCAGCTGTTTGCCGAGGCCATCATTGCCGGCCGCCCACCTTCCCCTTCCTCTGCTCCCTGTTCCTACAGCGACAGCTCGGAGCTCATTTCCAGCATCGTACCCATCACCACCGAGCAGGCCAAGCAAGCCTACTGGTCCAGCAACCCGCGCCTCGGCTTGCTGATCCGAGAGATGGGACAGCAGCTCTCCGGCAGCGGCGGCGGCGGCAACGGCAACGCCGTGCCCGTGCGACAGCTGCTCGAGGCGGCCAAGACCATGGGCCAGGTCGAGAGCATCCTGCTGGCCACCTTCAAGGTCAAGCTACAGGCGCTCAAGTTCCTGCCTGACGCCGACAGCATCTACGACGCGACGCCTCTCGTGGAGATGGGCGTCGACAGCCTGGTGGCCGTCGAGATGCGCTCGTGGTTCCTCAAGGAGCTGGGCGTAGATGTGCCGGTCATGACGATCCTGGGTGGTGCGTCGATCGCGGACCTGGTGCGTCTCGTGGTCGACAAGCTGCCGGCGGAGCTGCTTGAGCGCGTCGGTGGCCGTCCTGCCCCGACTACCCCGAGCGTGACGTCGTCCAGCAACGAGAGTACGAGCGGGAGTGTTGATGGGCTGGATGCAGGTGGCAAAGCTGACACGGATGTCTCGTCGGTGGCTAGTGTTGATGAGAAGGATGAGAAGAAACCTGGTGTGTCTGAGATTAATGTCGCATCTGTTAAAGAGATCAGTACCCAGTAGGTATAGGTGGGGGGGGGGGGGTTAGTCACACTGCTGGGAATATAATAAGGATAGCTAGGTTTACTGGGTTAGAACTAGGGGTAACACATTACATAGTACCGTTAACAAATTGTTTGATTTTTCCAGAAACTCTCGGCATGAAAGTATGCCTCGCTCTGCGATTGTCCATTTACAAGTGTGTTTGTGAATATCACGAATTCTGTCGTGCCTTTGTCATTGACATTGATGACAGTTGCTTCTATGAACTCAAGTTGATCAATTTCTATTGATTCGAGATTCAGGGTAGTACACTGGCTCCTCTTTGACGTCATGCCGAGATTGCGAGTCTACAGTAGCTGAGAGCTCAACTAACATCGCTTCTTCCCAAAGATCTCCTCTATATCCCGGACAAGTATCGACGTCTAAGGTCATCTTCTCCGCAATTTTCCGACCCTCTAGAGTCTGAGATTGACGTTCACACCATGGTAGGCCTCAAAAGTATTCAGGCTCCCTCGACATCTTCTGGCCATACATGTTGCCACCAGATCTAGTCACTTTCCGTGCCGGCTTCAGGCTCGTTTCCCTCCGGGCGGGGGTGACTTAGTTCATTGAGGCTTCCAATGGTATTTCTCACTTCCAAAGGCTCCGTCATCTCCATTCAAGTAAACGACGATGGCATCCTCGGCTGCATTAATAGTCCGAACTTTCAGTACCCTCTATATCTCAATTCAAAAAAGCACGAAGTCGGTTTCCACGGATGGCATTGTTGTTCTACGACATCTAGCAAGGAGGGAATTCACAATTTAATCCGCAGAAGATTCTACTGCCCCCTCACTAAGCTAGGTCTCACCTTTCGGGACTTTATGACAAGTTTTTAATCTTTGATACTGGTACCTGTAATTCTATTAAGACCGTTTAGAAACTTATTTGATTCTTATAGAATATATTCATAAATCTTCTATTTTATGAGATTTAGATTTTCACTTCATTCTATGTCTCTATGTATGTATGGTATGTAATACGCCGTAAGCGCCGCGATCCTGTGGGGCAGCCTTTGGTCTTGGCTATGCATGTTGGGTCTTACACAGAGTACCTCTTGTAATTTGCCGTACCAATGGAAGTATAAGCAGAGGACAAACACGGAGCAAACGCCCGGGCAATTACGGGCGGCACCTCATGAACGGCTGAACGCCGGAGTGCTGTGCCACTTACAACCTGAAAGGCCAGGCAGATAAAGGATGGGTAAATAGGTGTGTTCCTGAACCGGCGAATTTCAATCGGGCTGTCCCACCTCATTCGAAATATTCCGTGCCTTGATCAAGATTTATTTTTTTTCCTCGACGTCGGAATCACTACAGCTTTTTTCGCTCCTCCCCTTTTGAGTTTTAATCTTCCTTTTTCGCTGCTGACGCTATTCTTTTTATTGACCATATCCCATTCTTTTCTCTGTGCCCCATACACAACCACTGCTCGGGGCTGAAGACAAGGATGACAGCAACAGCATCAGCATCAGCATCAGCACCAAAAGATGGCCAAAACAGGAATGGCGAGGCTAGCGAGGGCATGGTAGAGTCCGCGCCAGTGTCCACGGCGGATGCCGCAGGCAACACCAAGCAGTTCAGCCTTACCTCCTCAGAGCTGCACGGCTTCAAGCTATACATGGTTCTTATCGGCGTCTGCTTCGGCGCCTTTGTCATGGCTCTAGATGTCTATATCATCGGAACAGTTTGTCACCCCGCCAATAAACATACTCGCTCTCTTTCTCTTCCGATTCGAGGAAATATCTGACTTTGCTCTTGCCAGGCCATTCCCTCCATTACGTCCGACTTTCAGAACACATCACATATATCATGGTATCCAGCGGCCTACACTTTGGCGGTCTGCTCGCTTACCCCCTTGGCGGGTAAAATGGCCAGTGTGTTCTCGCTCCGTTGGGTCTACCAAGGCTTCTTTTTCGTCTTCCTCGTCGGCAGTGCCATATGTGGCTGGGCCTCCACAAGTGAAGTCTTCATCGTCGGCCGTGCCGTCTCGGGTATTGGCGCAGCTGCAGTTACCAGCGGAGGTCTCACCGTCGTCTTGACCATATCGTCACCCCAACGTAGGCCGTTGTACATCGGCCTGTGCAGCAGCTGCTTTGCCCTGGGTCTGATTCTCGCCCCCATCATTGGCGGCGCCTTCGCCGAGAAGGTCACCTGGCGCTGGTGTTTCTGGATCAATCTACCCGGTGGCGCCATCACCCTGCTCGCCATGTTCTTCTTTTTCAAATTGCCACAACGAGAAGGCGAGCCCTCGACCACCATGAAGAAAATCTTGAGCCTGGATCTCGTTGGCTCTTTCGTTTTCGTCCCCGGTATTTTCATGGTGATCCTCGCCCTGCAATGGGGCGGAAATTCGTACCCTTGGAAATCGGCAACCATTATTGGCCTTTTGGTTGGTTCAATCGTCATGCTGTGTCTCTTCGGCGTCTGGGAATCGCGTTTGGGGGACTCGGCCATGATTCCTGGTGTTCTGGTCACAAGACGCACCATCCTGCTCAGTGTCATCTTCTCCTTCTGTCATCTTGGTGCTCTATCCGTCTCGTCTTACTACCTCCCGGAGTGGTTCCAGGCAGTACAGGGCGCTAGTCCCTTTGAGAGCGGCATAAGGGTGCTGCCGTCCGTCATTTCACAGATCGTGGGAACGATTTGCGCTGGTGCCATCGGTGCGTACATTTTCAATCCCCTCGCTCGTGTTCCGGCCTCTAATTCGTGCACCCAGCCCTCAAAATCCGTTTCTACAACCCTTGGTTCTATATTGGGCCAGTCTTGATGTGCACCGCGGCCGCTCTGTACACCCAGTTCACCGTCTCCAATACCCCATCAAGCCAATGGATCGGGTTCCAGGTCATACAGGGCCTGGGCGTTGGCTTCTCCATGCAGATGCCCTCTCTCATGGTCCAGCTAGCGCTCAAGGACCGTGCCGACCTCTTGCCCATCGGCGTCTCGCTCAACATCTTCGCCCAGTTTCTCGGGGCTACCGTCGCACAGGTCATTGCCGGTGCCATTTTCCACGCACGTCTAGAGAGCCAGCTCGCCTCGCGGGCTGCGCTGAGTCACGACCAGATACAACTACTTTACCGGAGTGGTATCGCAAACGTGCGAGCCATTGTGGACAAATACTTCCCTACGCTGTTCGACCCCATCATGGAGTCGTACAACTCTGCCATCGCCCAGACACATGTGAGTCACCCTATCTCTATGGCCCGACTTCGCGTTTCTATGCTCGCTAACATGTCGCTGGAAAGTTCGTCGCTGTTGCCTCAGCCGGCGTGGCTTTTTTCCTGGCCTTCGGGATTGAGTGGATCAGGATAGAGGGGTCGGCTATCAAGTTGGGCAACCAGGACAATGTTGAATCGGCAAACCCGAGAAGCGAAGAGAAGCCATCAGGAGCAACGGAGCATTGAAGCCCGCTTCTCTGTCTTCGGGTCTCTCTTTTACACGTTCTTTGTTCGGGGGAAACAAAGGTTGCTCAGATATCCTGGTGGTGCAGCTTACCAATGGTTCTTTGTCAATGCTGGGTGGATAGAAGCTGGCTGGAGGTTGCAATTATCATTAGACGCGTGATACTCCTGATGTACTAAATAACATAGAAGCCCTTTAACAAGGCACATCTCCCCATAGAAATGTTACATACCGGCTCTCCCTAGTACTATTAGACTTACTAGGAAAAGTGTCTTCATAAAAGTTGTCCGTCCAAGTAAGTAAGGCAGGTTGCGTGTTATCTCCAGCATTCAGCCTTTCTTCAATTTTACTATGATCCTATGGCATGACGACAACATAACAAACAGCCACGTATCCTTGGGCATGATGTATAAACATGACAACCATCAGTCGCGCTTTGAATCATTCGCGATTCTCTCGTCCTCGACAATTCTCTGCAATTTCGCCAGCCCAAACATTTGCCAAGTCTGCCAATCAATGACCCATTCCCCAAACAGTTTCAACGCCCACCATATCTTCCTCGACATACCACCGCACCACAACCAGTCCGGCCGCCCAAGGAACCCGCCCTCAGACTTCAGCGCATTACCAACCAGCTCCTCCGCAAACACCTCCGTATCCGTTGCCCCCTCCTCCTGGCTCAGGTGGACGTATCGCGCGTACAGACCGCCCATCTTGGCGTAAAGCGACCCCGGCGCGAGACTAGGCTGCGGCTTCTCAGCGATCCTAGACTTGACAGTGCCCGCCATGGCGACCATGACGCGGACCCCAAAGGGCCGCAGCTCCTGTCGCAGGGTGCGGCTGTAGCTCGCGATGGCGCCCTTGCTGGCGCAGTAGACCGACGCGAACATATACGGCGTCACGGCCGCGCAGGAGGAGATGTTGATGATTAGGCCCCGCGCCGCGATTAGGTGGTCTGCGAAGGCCTTGACCATGGCCATGACGCCAAAGACGTTTGTCTCAAAGGTGGCGCGGACGTCTGATATGGATAAATCTGTGGCCGGGGAGATGTGAATCCGTCCACTGCGCGAGCAGCAGCGTTAATGAAGTCATCAAGAAAACAAGATGTTGAGGTTGCGCTTGCTGTGTATAACTCACGCGTTGTTAACGAGGATATCCAGCCTGCCTCCTGTTCTATCTTGAACTTGTTTGTGGCAAGCAGCTATGCTTTCCTCGCTTGCCACGTCTAACTGCAGCGCGTCAAAGCCTTCGGCAACTAGTTCGGCGATTACATCCTCTCTGCGAGCGGTTGCGATGACATGGAGCCCTGATACACGTCAACGGCTTTCTCAACTACAGAATTTTTAGTTTTCTGAGAATAATACCTTGTTTTCGGAACGTCTGACACAACGCATGGCCGATACCGCCGAGGGAACAGCTAATGCTTGTGTTGGTTGATCTGTCAGGGCTATCGGGGTCGTGCTTTTCTCTTACCCTGTTACGAGGACTGTCTTCTGGCGAGGGCGTGGACATGGACTCATTATCTTTTGTACACGCTGTGATCGCGTACTAGAAACGAGTGATGAACCTAAGGGTTTTGATGTTTGCCAAAATCGTGCTCTCGAGCTTATCTTCTTCTGAGAACGACGTTCCTTGACTGAGTTTTGCACTTTCAATGCCCGGTGTACATGGTTTTCGATATTACTGAATAGTCAGGTAGTCGTACACTTCTGCATTTTGATGCCAGGATATGGGGTGCAGATCATCGGAAGCCAAAGCCGGCGCATTTATCATTGGCGGGATGTTGACAGGGATGTAGAAATTCGCCGGACCGGCGTTGACAATGCAGCAAAGCATGGAAATTGCTCGGGGGCACCATGCTTGTAAGCTCGCATGGCGGGCATGGATTAGCAAGCGGGCCGATTCTGCCTACATATATCATTCAATACTTTGGTCGTTCTTAAGTAGATCATTCATCTTTTGAAAGTAGGAAGAATAATAGTTAAGATATTCCACCCTTACAGCACCAGACTTACTCAAGATTGAAAAGCTTCCTTAACATCATACCTTTAATCACTTGCATAACCTCGACTAGACTATTTATCCTGGACCTCAACTTAAGCCTCAACGTTCGATTCGTCACCGTAGCTCGTTTCGCAGACAGCGTACAGTGGCAGTTTAGAAAGAGTATTACGCTCTTAGCCAGATGCACTAGCCACGCCGCGGAGTGTCAGGATAACATCTTTGTCAATAGTCGCGACATCTGGGTGATCTTAGGCGTATCTGAAAACAAGGCACAACTCTGTATATAAAACATAAGTTTATGACTCTAATAGTGCGTTGCATATTTGTGGTCGTCGATTACGTTGCGGAGGACTCAATTTTATCCCCATATCAGGTGTTGTTATTGATGCGGTTGTGGAAGAGTATGGGTAGAATATGTAGAAGTGAATAGAAAAAGGAGTTGACAAAGCTAACGAGTTTACTGCGCTTGAAAACGAGAGGTTCAGCTTCAACCTCTCCGAACCACGGCAGCATAGCTATTGTTTCATGTGGCAAGTAGCGACTAATCGCGATCACGTAATGGTTATGGAGAGGATAAATATTAGCTATTAATTACAGGTAGGAAGCCCTAAGCCATGAGATTGGGGATGTGGCCGTAGCACTGCATCCTCTAGGTTCGTATGTCCATCTTCATCCTCTTTGAACTGCATGAGGTATCAGTAACTCTCCACAAGTATATCAACCGGGGCTTACTCATGTATGGGTCAGCTTGGGGGATGCGAGCGCTGCGTGGTGTTAAGCTTCGGCGACAATGCTTTTTTTTTTTTTTTTTTTTTTTTTTTTTGGAATGCGTCTCATACAGACGGTTTGTGTATACAGCAAGAGGCTTTTGCTGCCTGTAAAAACATGTTTCTGATGGAAGATAATCTGCATATACTTGTGGTACTGACTCTTTGAGCTGAATAATACTGGCAGTGAAGTCTATCATATCGTAGGTCTAACAACACTGCATACCCCGTATTTTCATTTGACAGCTAAGAGTAAATCAGGATCAGGTTGCAAGATCTCACAGAACAGAATGGAACAGAAGAACAGACACCCACTTATATCAGGAATCACTGGTTTTCAATCTGTGACAGGCCCCGTATCTAAGAATAGAAGTCAGTGTAGCCAGAAAAATGTCGGGTCTTGTCGAGACTTCTTTGTCGAGAGTTTATGTCTCATGAAGTTGGGCGTCATATCAACCTTGATGGGCCAGCTTATCATTGCTAGGCAATGGCCACTGAATATGCCAGAAGGCCTATGCCGGAAGAGATTTTGTTGAAAATCATGGAATAGATAGAAAGTTATTCTGTCCTTTACTACCTCAGTCTATTATGAAGCCATTGTTTCTTATCATCTCTCCTTCATCCTGCTCGTTCCTAATCCTTTGGACATAGAACGAATTACGTCATTAACTAGATTACAAACCTCTATCGTAAGAAAACACCCGAAGCCGTATCAGTCACGTAGGTTTTGCACAGAGTGGTAGGCGAATATGCTGCAAGATCCTGAAAGGGTCCCTATGGGTGATGATGCGAAAACCTGCCCCTTCTGGTTCCTGCGCACTAGCGGGGCCGGGGCTGTGTGTGAGCTGGGTGGTGCCTTTTGAAAAATTACCGATAGCCCGAGGACCAAATTTTGGACTTCCCTTCGTGTCAAGCAAACCTCGTAGTAGTGTGACGGAAATAAGAGCGCTCGCCACTGTGCCCAGAGTAAGGGAGGAGGCAAATATTGAGCGGGTTCGAGTCAAAAGGTGAGTTTTCATCTTCGTTCTTTCGGATGACTAGAACAGCTTTGAGATGACAATCTGTCGAGTTGCTGTCCTCAGTACAAGCGACACTAGCACCGGTTATGGTAGAAAGTTACCTAGGATTCACCTTCGGGATGCAGTGGAGGTATTAGTAAGGAACTGGGGCCTTCGTCTTGTAGTACTCTCATAAACAACGGACTCGTTATGCTACATCACTATTTCTCACAGGATGTGAGCTTTATAGGCTCTTTTGCAGTGAGGAAGAAGGTCGGCACAGTCTGTTTTGTGACAGACAGGGAGCCCGGAGCCATGTAGTTATCCGCTACCGTCAATATTTTCCGCCTGGGCTAGATGAGAATAAAATTCCAAAATCGACGGTGTACACATCATTTTTCCTGGAGTGGCGGCAGGAAATGGTGTATTAATCAGAGGGGCATTTCGCGACTGAAGTCATTGCCGTACCAACTTGAGTTTCTTGCAGTGTACTCTCCGTCACATACGACCATACCCATTGGAAAACTCGGGATCCCGTCCGCTCTCCCATAGATAAGCCAATTAGGGCCGGATTAGTAGTTGGGTCGGTGACGACCAGCGAATACCTGGTGTTGTATGTTTTTGTTGCCATCGAGAACTTTTCGAAGTTTTTACCGATTTTTCACGATGTGGCCGAGTAAGTGAGAAGTGCTCTCTTCGACTAGGCTTCGACTAGGTTGATAAGTTGACTACTAACTTATTACTAATGCACCCCAGCCTATGGTGAGCGTGCACGGATAGCACCGCCTCATCAGCCAGACAAGCCCTTCGCCACGCATCCAATCTCGGCTTGCCCGGGGCCGTTGTGGAAGACTTCCCGAGTCTCATGACCACGCATCTAGCGCGGCGTGGCCGGCCTTATGGTTTAACTTCGTCTAGCAACTCATGTAACTCTTCGCGAGGCAAGTTGTCTCGCTGGGTAGTTCTGAAGCCAACTGTGTTGCTTCCCTTTGAGAAGCAATCTGTATTGACTCAAGCCAGTTTGCCCCATGTCCTCATAAATTTGGTGCAAAGCAGCTGAAATAAACGTCCCAAATTTCTTCACGTCGTTGCTAGAACTCCCACTACTCCGTACACTACTCCGTGGACAAGCCTTGCTCGGTGCCTCTGTCAAATTGCTTCTTAAACGCGTTTAATTCCTGGCATTGTCGTCGGCTATCAAGCACAGAGATTTTAACGTGGGGCCCCGTGGGCTATTAATATGACTTTAGTATGGAGTAGCTCCATCCACTTTATCCTAATCACAATCTTAACCCGTTTATGCTTCCGCGCCCAAGTGGGCTCTCAACAGGGAGAAGAACGGCAAAACACGAACTGACCAAGTTTTCGGGTTAAGAAACCGAAGCCAGTGCCATCGGTTAGTCTCCTTGAGGAGTCCTCATAGGCGAACACGAACGTGCCAAGGCGTCAAAAAAGGGGCCGACTGATACTAGCGCGGGGGAATAGAGGGACATCCCGGAAATCTACTTGGGTTGACGAGCCGCATCTTGAACACGAACATGCTAAGAGCGTAGAACGGACCACCATGTGACATCAGAGCCGGATCGCATGGGTCAACACGGTAAGTTAGATCAACGGCCTCCATATCATCCACTACGAAGGGACCAAGACTTGACGGGGGGACCCATTCCAACGCAGGGCATCTCGTATGATGGCGGACTTAAGAGGTGGCCATGGCCACGATACCGGCTTCTCCTCCACCTCCTGACCAGTTTTCAAACAAAGTCGCTTCAACGTCATCCTCGTACTCCCAATCAAGCTCGTAGCTTGGGCCGTCCTTCGTTACTGACCAACCCATCCGTCACTCGTTCAGCCACCCGTCCGCTCCACGATGCTGTCTAGCTCGCTCCTCACCCTCTTCTCCCTCGCAGCAACGGCTGCCGCAACCGCAATCCCTCGCGCCGACACCACCTGCACAAACCCAGAGGTCCGCAAAGAATGGCGTGAACTCACCACAGCTGAGAAGGCAGAGTACATCCGCGCCGCCGTCTGCCTACGCAACCTCCCCAAAGCAAAATATGCCGCCATCGACGCCGTCACAACGCGTATGGATGACCTCGTCTACACCCACTTCGCCCTCAACACCGACATCCACTTTGTCGCAAACTTCCTCCCCTGGCACCGCTGGTACGTCAAGCTCCACGAGGACCTCCTCCGGTCGGAGTGCGGCTTCAAGGGAACGCAGCCCTACTGGGACTGGAGCATCGACGCCGACGCCCTCGATACGCAGCACTCCCCCGTCTTTGACCCCGTCACTGGCTTTGGTGGCGATGGCAAGCGCACGGGTAGCAACGTGCCGGGCTTCCAGCGGTGCGTGGTCGACGGTCCGTTTGCCAACACGAACTTGACGTTGGCTATGGGTTGGCCTGATATGAACACGCCCGGAAACCGGCTGCACTGCTTCACGCGCGAGTTCAACGGCGGCGAGGGCAACGACGCGAATGGCGATCCTATTATTGGCGATATGCAGGCGGGAGCGTACAACTCGAGGACCATGAACACCATCTACGGCTTTGACAGATTCCCCGATATGGTCTCCATGCTTGAGGGGCTGCCGCACGCGCAGAGTACGTTATCCTTATTCTTCCTTAATGTCGATTATGCTGACAGGCTTGCAGTTCACAGCATCATCTTTGGCGACATGGGTCCCGCCACCTCGCCCAACGAGCCTCTCTTTTTCCTCCACCACGGCAATGTCGACCGTGCCTGGGCCAAGGTAAGTCTCACGCACGATTGAGTGTAAAAGCACGAGATGCAATCTCTAACTTCCTTCGCAGTGGCAAGGGCGTAATGCTACCCGCCTCGCCGATTACGCAGGCTTTAACAACCCCGACAAGACCGTCTCCGCCTCCATCACAGATACCATGCCTGTCTTGGAACTCGTCGACGTCGAGCCCGTTGTCAAGGACTACATGGACACCCTGAGTGGCCCTCTGTGTTACACCTATTCATCAATGTAAGAAATATGTCCGTTTCCGGCTTGGATTCATCTATGACAGTTTGGAAGTCAGCAGAGGCATGTAGATGGCTCCAAGTTGGCAAAAAGCCATGAGAGGTGCACCGCACCCGGGTTGCGTATGTGATCATAATATTTGGCCGATTCGGAAAACTCTGCCGCTTAGATATACCCCTTCGAATTCAATAATGTCTATACGAATTGTCACTCATTGTTACTCTTGATGAATCGGCAGGCTTTGCCTGACATCCTTGGCATTGTAGCTCTCTCATGTCGTTGTTGAGACCCAACTCTTGGAACCCTGCCCAGATGTGTAAGTCGGCCGTTCGGCCCGGGCCGACGCCTTGTCCACTCTAACTTCGACTTCAACCTGTTTCTGAATCTTTGATACCTTGCCATCCGTGGTCTGTATGTTGTCCATTTCTGTGCCGTCGTCCTCCTTGTGTTGTGGTACGAGACCCCGTTCGCTATGATTATCGGCGGCATCGAAACCACTACCATTGCGAATGTAACCGGCCTTGCTTCTGGGCACGCTCAACCACGGCGTTGTCTTGGAACGCATACCGCCACCACCAGTACCAGATGGCCCTTCTCCTCCGTAACTTTGTAGCTTGCTCCGGAAACCGAGCTTGAATGACACGATGCGTATGAGCGGTTGAAGCGCTGGGAAGGACGCGACCCAGAGGCCGACGTGGCCCTCGAGGTTGGTCCAGACACCAATTGTTGACATGTTGAATGTCCTAAAGACTATTGTTAGCTGTGTAGCTTGGTGTTCCTAGCAGAATGTCTGCACGGGTCAGACTTACGGGTCAGAGAGAAATTGACTCTTCTTCATCATTGCCAGACGAACACAGCCGGTAGCCACGACAAAGATGCCGACACTGAAGACACATATCACCTGAAACGCCCTCCTTGACCAGAGCATCTTGGTGTAGATGACCCAGATAGGTAAGCCCATCAGACAGAAGTCCAGGACCAGGCCGACAATTTGGTGTACCACCATCATGGTGTTCTGGTACTCAGACGGGACGCAGTTCTTTCCAGGAAAAAAGGGCGGTTTCCACAAATGCCTATCGAAGAACAACTGTCAGAGATTGGCGACATTATGGTAGGTGACTTGGGATCGACGTACGATAGAGGGCTGCACTGAGTTAAGCGGTAGATGACGCATCCCAGTGTCTGCGCTATGACGAAGAATCCCGTCGTATAAGAAAGAATAAGGAAGGTTCCTGTGCATGATATCAGGTTTCAAGTGATATTGGTAGTGAGATTGTATGGGATACATACTGTCTTGGCTCAGGCGTGGCAGGAAGGCAACGATCGAGAGTCTCATCAAGCCAGTACCGATGAGGTAGAGCAGGCCGTTGGTGACAATTCCCTATGACCAAAAGATCTATGAGCACCTTTGGAGGGATGAAGGAAGGCTCGCCAATTTCAACTCACCTCGAACCATATTGTGAAGTCCGCCTTCGGGATATACTTGAGATGAGCGCCACTTCCATACTGCACCACTGAAGTGGGATTAGTTATGAATCGTCTTTTCCGAAATCGCATGAACTCACGCCAGATATCCATCGCAGACTCTGAAGTCAGTACTGCCTAGAGGTATGCAAGTTTCAGTCAGAGACCTAAGGGACTCATCGCTATATGACGGTGAGGTAGCTACTAACCCACGCGAGGAATGCTAGGACGTCGTCCAAGCCCAAGGCTTTCGCGATGAATGCTCGCACATATTGCCTCAATGCTACTATGATAGAAGTGCAAACTATGAGCGCAACATTGAGTTGCAATATCTTGGGCCCAGCATATCCTGGAGATTCCGTGAAGTGGAATGGGGGAGTTTCTACCGTCGCTGCCATCTTACGGATCTTGTAGCCGCAGGCAATTTGAAAAGCGAGAGAAGAAGATGTAAAGAAACACCAGGGAAAAATCCAAGGGACAAAAGAGAAGGGGATATGACACTGAAACTATGAGGGCCATGTCTGGGCCCCGAAACAATAAAGGAAAAGCTGTATCAAGCAGGTTCGTAGACTTCAGTGCGCCCTAGAACCGGGGTTATGGGATTTCCCTCATGCACAAGGGCTAAGCCAAGTCTCTTCATCATGGCCGTGCCGCACACATACCTCGCGAGGGGAGACTTGATTACTTTCGTTGCAGGATTCACCAGGGAATGGCCTTCGTACATGGATTTCAGTGTACCCGACTCATCCGGTGTATCCGTACCTGCGTCGGTGAATTATCACATGCACTTTTGTGTCTAGACTGGCACATGGTTAAATATGAAAACATCCAGCGTGCCATTTGATGACGCGAGCTCAAGCGCATGACGCCCTCTTCTTCTTCTATCATTTTTCTTCCTTCACAGTATCTCGATAAAGGATTTGGCTATCAGAAGATCTCATCGAAATCATGCCGAATTGACTTGCCTCCATCAGGGTTTAGAGAGCGATGGGGGGTGTGAGGACGGTCCATGTCTGAATTGTAGTGCTATTGAGATCACGATCAAAACTAATGACTTATCAGTTGATGTACTCATTCCAGGGTTGTGGGACTTGCCGAGATTATATTCAGTGGTGCCCATTGAATAAAATCGTGGCAATAAACCAACAGACATAGGCAGAAAGATCTCAACCCATGGAGGACGCTTCCCAGAGCGCGTCTGTTTCTCCCACATTCCGGATGGCCGCCATCTAGAACGCAGTTGGTTCCAACACGAAAGCGCATCTGCCAAGTGGTGCTCCGAAATCCTTTCAATCGGCCAGCTCAGCCGGCCGTTTTACGTTGGGCTCCCAAGAAAGAAGCGGAGATGATGACTGAAGTTGGAAGGCCAATTTACAAACCCATGCCAACGACGACCAACAGTCACCAACCAACAAGCGGCAGACATTTTCTTCCTCCCTTTGCATACATCTTACGATTGCCTACATGTCGTGATTTCGTGATTTTGATAAGGTCGCTTGTACTTCCCCTAGAGGACAACTCCACCAACGCAACGAAACCAACACAGCGGCACTTCATGCCACGTCTGCGCATATGCACCCAGAGAATCTGACTTCTGGCACGAGAGTCTCGGTAGCTCACTGACAAGAAGTTCCTTGATATTTTCGCAGTCGCTATGTGAGAGGTTCGAGCTCTGTTAAAGATCAGGCACGCGAGCATCATTAACGTCAGATTTCTAGCTGTCAGCAACACGGAGTTGGTCAGAGAGATTGAGGGCTCGCAAGATTGGACGAGGAACCAACCACGAGCGTCCCCTGAGACCTTGACAGGGACAGGGTACCAACCTTTTTTCGACGCCGCACGCTAAGGCAAACTTCCTGCAGCTCGTGTCCTTTACCTGCAGATTGCAAGGATGTTCATCTTTTCCAGCGTTCGGCGCTGTCCTCCCCTCTTCTCCCCGAGGAGCCGCCAACAAACCAGCAAATTATTCCCGCCGGTTCATGTTCATCTTGCTGAAGAGTCGCGACTTAAGAACTTTTCTTCAAAATCATTTGGAAAGAAGGTGAGTGGGGTATGCGACCAAGTACAGTGGAAAGGCCCATAGCACTATGGGTGGGTTGCGGCACAGCCCGAGCGATCCTTCGAGGATCGCATCTGTGATAGATATTGATGGTGGGCCGACCGACTCGTAAGTTGCAACTCAACCGCTTCCCGAAAGCTCCATTGCCACATCCACTAATTAGTCGATGGCAAGGTTACATCCCACAACCCGGTGTCCTGCAACCGGGGTCGCGATGCATGGCCAGACCAGACAAGACCGGCATCTCTCGGGCTCAAAGTTGATATCCGGTTCCTGTCAACCTAGGGCTTTGCTACCAAAAGACAGCATATATCCGTCCCAGAAGCTCACTTCGAAGTCTATTCTACCTTTTCCACCTGATCGGACGAGTGTTAGGATTGGTCGCTCGTGAAGATAGCCTCATATCTGACAAGTCTCTCGCAACGGCCTCTTCCCTAAATCCAGGCTTTCGTCATGTGGTCTCTCTCGTCACTGGCCTTGGCCGCCGCGTCTCTTGTAGGTCTACAACTTCACGGAGCTACTGCCGCCCCCACGAATGGAACACACTCAGGATGTTGCCGCAACCCTCTCATCAGACATGAGTGGCGGCAGCTGTCCCTGAACCAACGCCTGGATTACATTCGATCTGTCAAGTGCCTGATGGCTTTACCGTCAGAGGGTAACGACCTTTGGCCTGGCGCAAAGTCTCGATTCGATGATTTCCAGGGTATGCACATTTACATGACGCAGAAGGTGCATTTCAACGTAAGTTCTACCCTGACTACTTTAGTCCTAGTGAGACCATATCTGGATTGGAAAGTCTAACGCTGGATTATGACAGGGTCCATTCCTCCCGTGAGTGAAATACGTGCAATGCTAGGATCAAGTTTCCCGTCCGTTCTAACTGACAGTATACAGATGGCATCGTTGGATGCTTTACCTGTACGAGTCCGAGCTACGCAACAAATGCTCATACGACGGCGCACTTCCTTACTGGGATGTTAGCCTAGACAACACTGCCGAAACCTTCGTCAACTCGCCTGTATTTGACAATCTTTACGGCGTCGGAGGCAATGGACCATACATCGAAGACGTAAGCGATAAAGACGAGTTTCCGGTTCAAAAGCCGATCACGATCCCTGGCAGAAGCGGCGGTGGTAAGTCCATCGCTTAAAACTTGAATACAGTGGCACCTGTCTAACATGAGCGACCAGGCTGCATCATGGAGGGACCTTTCGCTAATCATACCGTCCCCATGGGCCTTGGTAAGTTGCGCTGTTTAGGCTCAGACGACGATTGAGTATAAAACTCGCCATGCTGACGGACCAAGGATTATCTGTTACCTCAACACCCCACTGCCTGCGCCGCGATTTCAGTCTACCTATCATCACGAGCGCTCTTAGCGATGAGGTCGTCGACAAGACTCTCTCAGCAGCCACATTTTCCGACTTCAACCTGGCAATTCAGGGGTATAGCATGCAGGTCAGCGGCATGACTTTGCATGCTGGCTTGCACATTGGCATTGGCGGTGCAGTTGGCGATGTAAGCAAACGTGACGAACTGCCAGACTAATGGTTTCTCGTTGACAACTTGGCTGACTCGTGATCATCCGTTAGTGTGCTGATATGTACTCTTCCCCCGGAGATCCCGTCTTCTACTTCATCCATGGCGCTTTGGATAAGGTTTGGAATGACTGGCAGCGTAGAGGTGCGTATACTTCCTTTATTTTCTTGTTGGATAGTCACATTTCTGTTGATGGCTAGTTGCAAGTACTAATAAATCCTTGCAACGTTGCAGACTGGCCTGCGCGCAAGACGGACATCGGCGGCCCGGACGTGATATTTGGCTATCCGTTCAACTACACCACAAATCCCGCCTACGAGAATATCACTCTGCAGTATCCCTTGTCTTACCCTAATTTCGGCAAGGACATGATTGTTGCTGATATGATGGACATTCACGGAGGTCCTTTCTGCTACGAGTACAAATGAGGACGGCTAGGGGCGGCCTGCATACGATGAAAACTGCTAGTGTTGTAGCGAGGGCATCACTCAGGCACCTCGCTAAGATGAATTACTGAGAGTACCTGAGTAATAACGTAATGTAACATTCGACATTGAACTCTCGTCCCTGAAGAAGTGGGAACATTTTGTCGCAGCGTACGACGCTAGATGGGATTCAGTGACACGTCGAGAACATATTATCCCATCTCGATGGAGCAAGACTGCCACCCACAGACAGCTATGACCATGGTAACGTGCTTCTTTGCTTTACTCACATATTAACTCGGCTGACCAAGTAATCTACATTTAGATCTTTTTGATTTCCAGGCTAAATAGCGTCAAGCGAGCAGAACTCTTGGCAATTTCCTTCTCGGGCTTAAGAAGCTCCCCCAACAGCGGCAGGATACGTGCAAGTGATCAGCCTCCTTTCTCCTCTACTCCTCTTCTAAACAGTGATTCTATAGCTCAGGTTCGGCGGCCGGCATGACTCCCGAGCTTGCGTCTGTCCAGCCCCGACTTCGGCTCGGGGAGAGCCAGGAATGGCTGGACGGCCACGTACCTTAGGTTCTGTCTCGTCTACAAATAGGATCCCAGAGGCAGCCATTTAGAGTCACGGTAGCTTCCAGGATCAAAATACTACAGGCTGAAATTCACGGTTCAACCGGTTCCAGCCATATCAAATGAGGAGGAACGTGTAAGTTTCACCGGCCGGGGACAGATGCCGTCCCACCACCTCAGCCCAACGTGCATGAACCCCCTCATCCCATCCGCCACACTGAGACAACACACCAAGCTTTTCCTTGTCGACAAGCAAGGCGTGCGCTAGGCGCCCCAAGCTCCAAGCTGGGAACGCCACGCTCATATCCTCTTCTACGGTCTCACCTCAGCCGCAGAGGCCTAGCCCCACGGCACCCTCACTTAGCGTGACAACTACCTGGAGCCTGGAACGCAGCGTGTAAGCACTGTCATGCCGCAGAAACACCTGCCGCTTCACCTCCAGAATGCTCTGGCCTGTTAGTGTCGTGCTCCCATTCCCCATTGCTGGGTCGCGTGGCTGATCCAGCGTGGTGGTTCGCTTAGTTAGTGCAGGAGCCCACCGGCAGCTCTAGTCTCCAAGATGGCGCGGACTAGGAAAGCTTGAATCTCCGTATCCATACGAAATACCGCTCTGAATTCGCTCAACCGCTTGGAAGTAGACTTGTCAGCTTATCGCTTTATTCCACAGACCTATCCCAATTGTGATGTTAGCTTCAGACAGCCACTTTCAGCCCTCACCACGCCGTTGGCGCCACTAAACCCCAAGTCCTCAGTTTTGCCGGGCAGGGCTGACAGTCTAAACTCAGTTGGGCGTATATGGTAAACAATGTGACAGTGTTCATGGTAGAGTTCAGGAGATGAGCGATGCCCAAACTCTCCCGGCTGGTCGGGGGATACGCCGCTCCCGCCGTGTTTCCCGTTGGAGATTATTAGGTGGCGCGTGGCACGCTGCCATCAAATTAGTACTCGTAACTTAAATGGCAATCATCTCCCCTCCTCTCAGTTCTTTTGTCGATCTTCATGATTCCCATATTTTCAAGTCGTGAATCGCATCTTCGGATATCATGGCGCCCACAATCGATACCCTGATCATTGGCGCCGGTCCCAGCGGACTCTGCGCCGCAAAGACACTCCTTCAACATGACCCGGCCGCCGGGATACTCATCCTTGACGGCCGCGCCTCGGTCGGCGGTGTGTGGTCAAAAGAGCAGATTTACCCGAACCTGAAGACGAACAACCTTGTCTCAGCCATCGACTTCTCAGACTTCCCCATGGACCCCAAGCGCTTTGGCGTCAAGATCGGCGAGCATGTTCCTGGCAAGGTCATGCACGAGTATCTCGTCGCCTACGCGAAGCACTTTGGCGTCTGGGACAAGATCCAGTTGAACACAAAGGTTGTGCGGGTGACTCGCCCAGGAGATGAGGGGCAGTGGAATGTCGACGTAGAGGAGAACGGCGACGCAAAGACTGTGACCTGCACACGACTCATCGTCGCCACAGGCGTCCTCACCGTACCGCACATCCCCGACATCACCGGCTCCGAAGATTTCAACGCCCCCATCATCCACTCTTCCGATCTTGGTCCCAAAGCAGACCTATTTTCCTCTCCAGACATCACCACGGTCGCCGTCTTGGGCGGGAGCAAGTCTGCCTACGACGCCGTCCATCTAGCCGCCTCTACAGGCCACAAGGTCCGGTGGCTCATCCGTCGCTCCGGCCGCGGACCTGTGTGGGTTGCACCGGCCTTCACACAACTCGGACCCTTCAAGGTCTGGCGCGAAAGACTTGTAACTAGGAGAATCTGCGCGTTCATGTCGCCGTGCGTGTTCCCTGATTTCTCGGGTCTCGCATGGGTAAGACGGTTTCTTCATGAGAGTGCTGTCGGCCGGGTGCTGAGCAAGACGTTTTGGAAATTGATCCGTCACGACACGATCAATGATTGCGGGTATCAGACGGATGAGAAGACGAAAGTGCTACAGCCGGAGCAGAACATGTTCTGGTAAGCCCAATTTCTTCACGAAAATGTGCAGGGCTTCTTGACTGACCCCTTGGTCTCACAGGTATGGGACTGCCTCTGGTATCCTCAGCTTCGACGACGATTTCTTCGAGTACGTCCGCAACGGAACAGTCCAAATCCTCCGCGAAGATATCGACCGCCTATCAGACCATAACATCCACTTCACCGACGGCTCGAGCATCTCCGCCGACCTCTTGGTTACATCAACCGGCTTCTCAGCAAAACCAACCATCAACTTCGAGCCTGCATCTCTCCACTCTGACCTCGGTATCCCTTCCACGTCTCTAGGACCTAAACAGGAAGCATTCTGGAAAGACGCAAATGCAAAAGCAGACGCCGCCATAGGCACCCGCTTCCCGCGCCTCCTAGACGGTCCCTTCCAAAGCCCCACATCCTCAAAGACAAAGTCCTTCAACCCCGGTGCGTCAGCAGAGGTCTCCTACACCCCCTGGCGCCTCTACCGCGGCATCGCCCCTCCCGGCCTCGCCGCGCGCGATGACCGCTCCCTCGTCTTCCTCGGCGCCTTCAGCAACCTCGCCAACATCATGCGCCTCGAGGTGCAGTGCCTCTGGATGCTGGCGTACTTTGAAAACAGGATCCCCAACTTTGACGTCGACCGCCGCGCGGGCCGCGTCTTTGAAGAGACAGCGTTGTTCCAGCGATGGGCGCAGCACCGGGCGCCGTACGGGCACGGTCGGTTTTATCCGGACCTGGTTTTCGATCAGTTGCCGTATTGGGATATGTTGCTCGGCGATGTCGGGGTGGAGACGACGCGGAAGGATGGCATGTGGGCCGAATTGTTTGAGAGCTACACGCCGATGGATTACCGGGGTATGGTGCAGGATTGGATTGACCAGAACCGATAGACATCTACATGACTCTGTAACGACAATGATACCCGCAGGTGTAATGATCAATGAACATGCATTAGTCAGAGCTATGTTGTCTTTGCTCACCCAATGGGGATTTCCGTGATGGTTTGATATCACCAAACAGCTCGTATTTTGTAGTATGAGTCAAGCCTAAATCTAATCAACATGTCTTTAGCGTCAGCATGAGCATTTGGCAATGTTTTCTGCGTCGTAGAGACTGAACTGCGACGGGAGCAAGCTGCGTACCACTTTCCTTTCGTCTGCGCTCTGTTCTGGAGCATGTGTCAAAGTCTCTCGCCAGGCATCTGTCTCCGATATTGGCCGTATCATTCGATTCTCAAGTCGGTACGAGACTGCCGGGAAACGATCCGCTCGCAATTAGACTTTCACCATGTGATGAACCTTGGCCTGAACGTCGGTGCTTCTTATCTCTATCATGCGTAGCTTTGCTGCATACTAATCCCAGCTTACCCAAAGTACCGTTGCAAATGAAACCCCTATGAACGTCATGACTTCTGCTACCTCGAAGTACCGAAAGGGAGTTCAGCCAATTGAAGCATGAAGTTAACAGACTGCTGAGAGCATTTAACTGACACAATGCATCTTGGAAGCTTGGGGTACGCCGGGACTCTCATTGGTACAATCCTACAGAAACGGGCTTCCCACATTGCTCGCCAAAATACCGTTTAGCCTTATCCCCTCACTATCCCATCAGGAGAAAGGTTTAATCTCATGTTCATATATAAACTTTTTCATGTGATATTAGCTCAAGAGGCGTAGCAAAGGATGCAATAACCGGTATAAGAAGGCCTTAGATATCTGGAATCACTAGGCTTGGTTGATGGTCTGCAAGGTGGAAGGAGTTGAGGTTGTGGAAATTGATTGGAGAAGTTTGCGATTATGAATTCCTTTGAAGACGGGAAAGACCAAGGCAAGATGCCCTACGCTCCAGAACTCAGCTACAAGCATCATTCATTGACAGTCGCCAGTACTTGATGAGATGGCCTTCGCCGAAGGCCAGGAGTTTGAGTTGCTCACTACACTCTCCGAAGACGATGATCCCAAACAGGAGACCATGTCTGACTGTCAACCCGAGCCCGCTCAGCTCGTGAACCTCAATGCTGATGCGCTCTCTGCCGGCCAAGTCTACTATCAGATGTGCCCAGAATTGCCCACGGGCGGTTCGGTCAGTCCACAGGCGGGCTGCGGCATTCCCAGTGCATCCAATGCTCTTTAGAGCGGAAGCTCGGGACGTAGCCAGTACCCCCTGTTTGGAGCTGAACCGGAACGTTCGCGAGTGATTGACGATGAAAACACATCGAAACATTCGTTCATTGGCTTGGTGCGCCCAAAAGGCGAGGTTGACTTTCCCATCGTTGAGGAAGGGCAATGGTCCATACAGACGGAGTTTGAAGAGGAGGATATACCCGTTGGACACGATGAAAACTTCTGGTACGGAGTCTATTTCTGTACTTGGCCTGGGTGTGCTCTCCTGTTTTCCACACCTGGAGCCAGAAGGTGAGCTCTACTAAAGATAATGAATACCACCCAGATCGACTGACGAACTTGTTAGGAAGCATTTCAGGATCCATTGCACGCCTGTGATCTGTCCTGTGTGCCCAAAGCGGATGGCCTGGCAGAGAGATATGAGAAAGCACTACGATACTCATTTCAAGCGACCGCGTTACCAGTGCCGGTGTCGAAAGGATTACTCCAAGATGGATAATCTGAATAAGCACATCAAGTCCAAGACGGTACGGTCGAAATTCCTGCGGTCGAAGCTGTAAGCATGCACCATGGTTTTTGTTTTGCAGATCACGCTTCGTTGTGTAATGGAACATTTGATTTGATTCGAAGCTCGGGAAAAGAAATGAAAAACATGAAAAAATTTGAAAATTCAAGTAGGGAAAAAAAATCAAACACAGACAATAAGTGCGGAAGAGAATAGTGAGAATATAAACACACTCGTTTAGCGTCAAATTGCCAGTCCCTACTACATCAAAAGCTGAGCACCGCCATTATCATCATCACTTTCACTGACATCTCCGAGCTTATCATCGTCTTCAGGATTGTCACCGTTCTCGAAGTTTTCACCTTCACCTTCCCCAGAGCCATGTTCCGTCTGGACCTCCCCTTGATGGTCCGTTGAAAGATTCAGTAGATCAATGGCGCTGTCCAAGCTGGAAACTATTGATAAAGCGACGTACCATGTCAGCCGAACGGACTCCTACTTTGCATCGCATAGAATATCCAAGGCGCTTACCTTCACTAGATGGACCGGCATCGCTATCATCTACTCCCTCTGTCTCCGACCCCGATTCACTCTCATCAACCAAAGACGCAGTGATCTCCGTAAGCGAGTCCGGACGTTGCATCGTCGTCGCATGTAGCTCTCCCAGCCGATCAATCACCATAGCCTTCAAGTCTCCAATTACATCGTTGATGATCTTTCGCTGATTGATCCAGCCAGGGTTCTGCTTTCCGCCCACCAAACTCACGATCCCCCAGTTCGGGTAGACCTTCTGATGGGCGTCAAGCAAAGTGACCCTCGCGGGATGGTGTCGAGCATAGGACTCGCAGCCAACGCATGCTGGCTTGCTGCAGGCAATGTACCGGTCATTCGAGATGTACCTCCTTTCGCTGTCGTAGAAGTGATGAAGCATCTGGATCTCTGCATGAACGCATGGCTGAAGCTCGCCGATCTTGAACCTATCCTGGAGTTGGCCTTCAACCCTGACTTGTGGATCCATCCGCTGAAGAAAGCCAAGGTAGGAGTTAAACCTGTCGTCTGTTTCTGGTAGAATGCGGTTCAGGATACGCGGCAACGTAGTGTGCGCGTCTGCTTCCGGCACCAACGCGCTGATGGGACGTTGGACCGCCGCAACTTGGTAAGCTTTAAGAAGTGCCTCCACACGGCTGGAGTCATCAAGAAGTTGATTGATACTGCGTATGCGGGCTGCTAGACGTCCGATCATGTGTCTGACTGTACGAAAGGCTTTGATGAGATCTTCCGGACGAGGACCATCTTCGGTCCCTCGGCCAAGCTGCTCGATGTACCGCATCTCCTCGTCGTTTCGCGAGCGGTATGCTGTCCGACACAGAGTAGTATCGGGAGATTTACTCTCAAATTGTCGAAGCCACTCGACAAGCCGGGCATCTAGTATTCGTATAACATCAGTTTCTGTGGGTATTATTGCCTGCGACGAAAAATTCATGACCTACCGATCTCTTCATCGCCGTTTCCCAGAGAAAGACGGCACTTTCTAGCAGAGTTACGCAGGATCCTGGCCTCCTGTCGAAGTCGATCAGAGGCAAATGCAGTACATCGAACTAACAATACCTCCTCCGCCGTGGCGCGATCCAATTCGTTGATCGGTTCACAAAACATGCGCAAGCTATTGAGGACATCTTTCAGGAAGTCCACAACTTTATCTCCAGCGCCCTCGTTTGAAGCAACCCAGAAGACGTAGCAGTCGTAGCAGTTCTCGACGGCGATGGCAGTGGCTGTACTTCCCCCTTTCTTGTAGTCGCAGAGGAATGCCAAATTCTTCAGAAAGCGTCTTCGAACGTCTTGCGTGGTGTAATTTCCGAGCTGGGAGACGACGTGTGGGCCACCAATAGGACGAATGATGAAGAGAAGACTCAGAGCTTCGTAGAGCCGGAATAGGAGACGCGTATAGGGTTCCATTCGAGGTTTGAGAGCCATTTTTGCGACTTTTCTTCCTGGGTTGACAGTTGTGATCCGGGAAATGGAGTCGTGGAGTGTGGTACGATCAATATGATTGCAGTGATGGAGTCTTTGGGGAGTAAGCCGAGGATAGTTCAAATCTTTGCACACGCAGAATGGCGAAAGCCTGAGAGGACGAAGGGAAGTTGGCCACGCATGAGGATCCTCACCAATGAAGACACTCGCCAATGAAGGCCTCCACGAATGAGGATTCTCATCCGTGGGCCAACTTTCCTTCGTTCCCTGGGGGGTTCCGAAGATCTGGCGTGATGTGTAATGATGAGAGTTGCGCTTCTGATAACGCAGGAGGCCCTCCAACGTCGGGAGTTTAAATCAAATGCCGGATTCGAATTGCCTTTGAGTCTGCAGACGAAGTCTGGCTCAGAGTTTTGGTCGGGATCCTACGAGGCCAAACTTTCCTCTGCCTCTCGACGTCATCATTCTAGAGAAGCCGAGCTAACAGTGATCGAATCACATGGTGGCATGAGATAAGGCTGTGCAGTTTAGAGTTGCGGGCATCCGATTCGAGATTGGACAATTGCTTGATGTTGCATCGACAGCTCCGCAGGGGCTACATATGGTCGATGAATATATCAATCCGTCGTGCACTCAACTTTACACAGTTTGTTTCCTCGAAATCAACACAATAGCAGATTATTTGAACTTCGTCACCACGAACATCGTTGGATTCAGTCCACCTATTTTGTTAGAGGTACTAACATTTAGCATAAAAGCTAACTCCTTACCCCAGGTGCCCTAGAAAGTCGGACCAAGTACTTTAGAATGAATAAGCCCACATCCTACTTGGTAAAAACTACTCACGCCGCCTCTAGTATGAAGTCACACCGATGCGAAGCAAAAAGGATGGACGATCTGGGAATCGAACCCAGGACCTACCGCATGCTAAGCGGTCATTATACCACTAAACCAATCGCCCATGGTATGATCTAGCCCGGACTTGAACCGGAGACCTTCAGTGTGGCAGACGGGAGAACGAATCTCTCGAACTGTTAGACTGACGTGATAACCAACTACACCACCAGACCTTGTTGAAAGAGCGGCCGAAATTTGCAAATATGCATGCAGCGGCAGAAAATTGTGCGCGTGAGAGGTGGTGAATGTGTGTAGTGGAGCTGGCTGAAGCGAAAGTAGATAGACGCAGAGGGCGGGCCGAGATGCAGGGTGGGATCCAATGGCCGACTGCCGTTGTGTTGGCGTTGACATGGGTCCAGGAGTGGGAATGTGGCCTGCACGTAGATGCGAGAACCGAGAAAACAACATTCGCGTCTTACTGTGAGATGCTATTCTGGAGCTAGCTTTGCCATCGCTATTAGTATAAAGGAAAGCGATAGTTATGATGGCAAAGCTCGCCATGGCAACAAGTCAGTGATCCAATATTTCCAGGCAGATGCCCCTCTCTGGCAGTGAAGAGCGTTGTCATACAAGAACAGACAGGCCATAGCTGGATGGTGTGGCCAATGATCGCGTCAGAAAGTTAGCAATCGCGACTTTAGAAGCCCAGGGGCATCACCGACCGCGTGAGTCGCGACTTGAGCATTGCTGAAAGGGATGCGAACAATGAGAATAAGGAACGCCGCCAGACACGCGAGACGGTCGCAGGCCTGGCCGAGAATTGTTTGGGACGACCGCGGCTGGGACGGGAACGATTGGCTGAACGCGCGGGTGCGGAGCGCGGGGCGGGCGGGGCCGGTAAAGGTGGGTCCAAAGGCCGGGGGTTGGGCTCCAGCCGCTAGTCTCGAACAGGAAGTGTGTAAACAACAGCTCCCTCTGGGCATCAACAACAGGCTCATCGAGTACCAGGTATGAAAAGAAGGGAGTGGATTGACAAACAAGACACACGATATACAGTCCAACGATACCTTGTTCGTGCTGAAGTGAGTGTTCATTCGTATTTATCTCCAGTCTCGTTCTGCCACAGGAACATTGTGCCTTTGCCTGCTTCCGCGTGGGATCAAATCCTCCTTTAAACCCGTATCATCAAGGTATTCTGTGCTCAGTCTCACGGAGGACGTCCATTCGCTTCACGATGACCAACGACGACCTTCCCATCGCGTTACGGCGCACACGCCGGAGCATGCCCGCATCCGCTCATGAACCTTCACCACCTCCGGCTCCAGCACAATCCCAAACACCACGCAAAGCACCAAAACGCCGAGTCCGCTTCTCAGACCCAGGGCCATCAGGATCAACAACACCACGAACAACCCGCACCCTCTCAACAGGTCTCACACCAATGATCAACCGCACATCTCTATCCCGAGGAGGAGCACCCACCCCATCATCATCATCATCCTCCTCCTCACGCCGCCGCCACTCCATGCCAAACCCACCCTCCGGCGCGGCAACAGACCTGCCCCCAAGCGGCGAAGTCCACTTCCTCCCCCTCCGCCAAGTCCTCTCAGGCCGCGTCCAGCGCCGCATCCGCCGCAACGGCCTCAGCGAGGAAATGAACACCATCACAGCCGAGAAGCGCGCCAGCGCAAAGCAAGCAAAGGAACAACTGCAAACTCTCCGCGACCAACTCCGCCAAAAGGACGCGGAAATCTACGAGCTGCAGAATGCTACCATCATCCTCGACACGGAGCGCATCTGGGCTCTGGAAAAGGAGGTGGACGACCTCAGAACCCAGCTCGCGGACAGGTCTTCGGCGGCGAACGCTTCCGCTGCTAGGCAGAAGAGCTGCTTTGACTGGACGCTCGCGGCGCGGGACCCGTTCGCCGACGACTTTATGGAGACGGATACCGTCGAGGCGGAGTCGGTGTGCGGGGAGAGGGTGCAGTATGCCGATGAGACGGTGTTTGGGGAGGCGACGATGGCGGAGATGGAGTGTAGCACGCCCACGCGGGTGAGGTCTTCGTTCCTTACGCCGCCGCTAACGAGTCCTGTTGCGGCCGGTCCTGCTACGCCTTCTTTGCACCGGGCGAAGCAGAGGACTATGGTCCCTGCGCTTTTCGATGCTGGTGTGCAGGCTGACTTCCCCGATCCCGATAAGGAACGGCTCAAAGAGGAATTAGCTTCTCTGAGGCTGGAGATGTCGAAGCTTACTGGGACGTTGGAGTCGTACTCTGCTCTCACCGAGCGACTCTCACAGAAACTTTCCGCCGTTCCGCCGGAAGACACAGCATCGGATTATTCCATCGCTACAATCGAGACGCAAATCACAAGCCTCCTACGCACCATCTCCGACCGCACCGCCGCGCTGCAAGACCTCAACGCATCCCTCTTCGCCCTAGGCTTTCCCGGCTCCGACGGCGGCGAGATCGTGACTTCACTCTCAGCCGCACTGCGTACCGCCCGTTTGGAGCTGGAGTACCTCACCCCGGGCGAAATCACCCTCCCTCTCTCCTCCCGCGGCGCAGAGGTCCTTGACCTTCTCCTCACGCGCCTGCGCGACCTCGCGAAGCGCGCAAAGGAGGATGAGGCGTCGATTGACGAGTATCATGAGCTAGAGCTTTCTCTCCGCCAACAGCTCGGTGCGCGTGTCGCCGTGATGGGTGAGCTCGAAGGCGAGCTTAAGCGCGCGAGGGAAGCACTTGAAGAAAAGGAGGGCCGCGTGAGCGAGCTTGAAGTCAGCGTCGAGAGGCTCAAGGGCGCGGTGGCGGGGTACGTGCGTGACATCAACGAGTTGGAAGGCGTCGTAGGCAAAATGGAGAGCGAGAACCGCGACGCCATGGCGACCAAGGACGCGCAGGTTGAGGTCGGCAGACGGGTCCTGCGCGCCAAGGAGGACGTGATCGCGAAGCTGGAGACGAAGCTTGCGGACGCGGTGGCGCAGGGCCGGTCGTTGCGGAAGAGGCTTACCGAGGCAGAGGAAGCGAGGACGAAGGAGGTTGCGGAGGTGACGAGGCGGGGTGGAGCGGCGCTCGCGGTGCGGGATGCGAGAGTGAGGGAGTTGAGGGAGGAGTTGGAGAGGGTGAATGCCGGGTTGAGGGCTGCGCATGAGGGGATTAAGGATTTGAGGGTTGAGAAGAGGGGTTTGGAGGGAGAGATGGTGAGGGAGAGGGAAGCGGCGAAGGGAGTCATTGAGGGGATGAGGGCGGAGCTGGAGAGGGTTGTTGGGATGAGCCGGGAGTTTTTGGGCCCCGGGGCGGAGGCGGAGGCCGGTACGGAGGATGCGGGACCGGAAGGTGGAGTCAGAAGCGGTCCGGAGTCCGGGGTAAAGAGGGGCCTGCTTGCGGGGAATTTGGCACGGCGGTCATCGGGAAGAAAGAGGAGAAGGTATGACAGCGGGCTGGGATTCCTGGAGGAGGACGAAGTTGATGCATAAAGTTAGCTGTGCGAGCTGTGGATTCAGGCATTGCATGCGTGTATGGCGCTTGGGAACCACTCACACAAGATTTAGAGGAGGGCGTTTTAGCGCATGTTCCAATCGTTTGCCGGTAGTCGCGGCGGTATTTCTTTTGTCGGTTGTAGATTTTATCTTCGCTTTCGCCGGGTTTGGGTAGACGAACGGGCGGGGCGTTGGAATGTAACGGGATTCAATTTGAACTCTTTAGCTCGACGCATGCGCATACACGTGGACCACTTTCGCTGAACACAGCATTAAGCTTGATTTAGCCTTGGTAACTGACAGTTGAAGCTCGCTAAAGCGGGAATAATCTTACCAGAAATTGACAAGGGCGTTACGCTTCGTCATCGAAGTGAGGTCAATCCGTATTGTTCAATTGAGGGCATATAATCTGAAAGGCGTGTATCATAATCTACTACTTACTATAGGAACGCAATCTGCTTTCTTACCTTCGTCGAGGCACTGTACAAGATCCCGACTTAAATCAATGCTTCAAACGCAGCTAATAGAGTTATTGACGTGATTCAGTAAATTTCCTACCCGCTTTCATTCTCATGAACAAGCCGCATCCGCATCATTCCACAGTCAACACCAAAACCCACGCCATCTGCCGCACCCACCCGCAACACCATCGCATAATCACATCTTCACGAGCGGTAACACAAAAACGGCCGCATGCGTGCAACACCAGCCCGCAACCCGCCAACATGTCCTACACGAACATCAAAAAAAAACAGGCCCTCCCAGCCCCTTTTTCTTCTCTCAATCCAGTCAACTTTCAATCCAAAATCAAAAGATCTAATTTCCCGGCCAAATTCCTCCATGTCTTCTTCAGATTCTTTACCAACATCCCAAATCACTCCTCCCAACGATCCTCCTTACGCTAAGCACGACCATCACGATTCCGCAGAAATGTTACCCCCCAAAGCCAAATTCGTCCGCGAATTCGAGCGCAACAACACCAACAACCTCACACGCAAATCTACATCCACATCCACAACCCCATCCTCCAAAATCTTCACCCACAACCTAAACTACACCTTCACGGCCCCCTCCGTCCCAGACATGACCTACTTCGCCCGCATCCTGCACTACCAACGCTACGGCCACGACGGCCTCGCCTGCTCCGGCGCGTGCTCCAGTAATTTCACGCTGCCCATGTACGAGAAGCAGGGGTACATGTCGCCTTACCAAGTACGATACACGGAGCGCCCTGGCTCGCGGGGCTCGCTGAAGAGTGATAAGTCCTTTGACGTAGCGGGCTACCGAAGGCATCTGGCGGCTGCGGGGGTGAGGAAGAGAAAGTGGAATACATTTTGGGCTGTTATACTTGCGTTGTTGATTATTATTTTCGGGGCGGGTGTTTTGTCGTTTGTTCTATTGTCGATTCATTTGGGATGACTGAAGCTGCGTGTTAGTTTTCCGACGCAAAAAGTTGGGTTTGAGGCGAGCGTCTGTTAATTTTTATTTTTTTTGGTTGGAGGTTCTCAAAAGTTCTACTTGTTGTTTAGCAAGCGCTCCGTGTCTCTCGACGACGAGAAGCCCCAATGAGTTTCTCGGTCTATTAATCAAGGGGTTCGGAGTTTCCGGCAGGCTTGCTTGAATGTATTAATGGATTCAATTTTTCATATATCTGTTTTTGACATCTTTAGTGGCTCTTTGTTTGGCATCTTTCAAGTCCTTACGCCCTTGCTGACTAAAATTATGTCGATAGTGCCCCTCCACCCCGCTTTTCCAAACCATCACGACTTAGACTTCGACATCACCATACGAAGAGTTCTAAGTCTAAGTGCCTATAAAGCCCAATCATTCACTCACCTCAAATCGGATACATCAACGCCAATCAAACCACTCCATCAAGCCTCAAAATGACGACTCCAATCGGCGAAACCTCCCTTCAAACCCTTCTCTCAACCCTAACAACCGTCCTCCACCCGGAAACCTACGTCTTCGTCACCCGTCCCGCGGACGCCCCACTACCGCCCCTCTCCGAGATCCAACTACTGTTTAGAGAGTCCGAGGGCGTTACGATCATCACCACTCTCGATACCGCGACAGCCCACGGATGGGACTACGCGTTCCCGTCAAAGATGATTACGCTCAACGTGCACTCGAGCCTCGAGGCCGTGGGGTTCATGGCTGTTATTGCGACGAGGTTGGCGGCCAAAGGGATGGGAGTAAATCCTGTCAGCGGGTACTATCATGATCATCTGTTTGTTCCTGTTGGCAGGGAGGAGGAAGCGGTGGCAGAGTTGAAACAGCTCGCACTGGAGTCCGGGAAAGGGAACTGAGAGCTAGCACTTACGGATTAATTAAATGAGTTGTTTTGATGGTCGGCAAGAAGTCTTCACTTCGACATGAACACGGGCAAGTAGCGCAACCCAGCGATGTCTCTGAGATCGAAACTTGCACCTGGACTAAGAAATCTCAACTGAATCTTGCAGCTAATTATATCGAGAACACGCCCGCGACCCCTTCGTCGACAAATTGGACATCAATGGTCTGCCACAGTCTGGGGTACATAAGTCAAACGATGAACGAAGGTAAGGCTTCGTCACATCAAGCTAACTGACATGGTGCCAGCACCCAAGAAGCCCCCAGAACGAAGTAGCCTCTTCCAGCAGCCCCCGGCTCTGGACACCATACTTCACTTTACCTGTGTGATATCCTCCCGACAGCGAAAGAAAACTCTTGCAGGTTCTTGTGTCGCTGTGAACCTTTACAACGGCTGACCCCACGCTGCGGGACGGGGCGCCAAGGAAATAGAGATAGGCAGCAAGGCAGTATCGGTACTGGTCCAGGCTGGGCTATCCAAGAGAAGCTTAGCTTGAACATGGGGAACTGCAAGTCCAACTCCAGAGGCGGACTATCAGCGTATCAATCCGCTCAATCTTGCCGCCGCCTTTCAGCTTGCCGTGATCATGCAGGGTTCAGAATACAAGCGGGAAGATTAACCAAAGAAATGTGACCTAGCAATTCAGCTAAATCATATGATAACATTGACCAAGTGCACTGGCTCCCCCGCAGCTCCAGAGCAGCTAGACTTGGATTTTCTAATCCACCGGGTCACCACCTTCGTCTCTGGACTCCGACTTTGAGTCAATTCTTCATTTCTGAGACCTTCCTCTAGAACATCTTATGACAGTCAGCAAAATCTTACTTTCCACAGGAGTCCCACATGGAGCAACCGGGGCCTGGGCTTCGACAGCCTAAGACTAAGCAGTCTAAATACAAACCTACGCCATTTACGAATTTTTACACACCTGAAAACTCAGACTTCTACGCCAATTTCAAGTACCAACCCTTGGACAGGAAATATGAAGAAATTCGCCTTCTCGATGTTGATCTCACTGGGGGCAACAACCACCGAATGATCCATTCAATTTCTCTAGCAAAAGCTGGTAAATATTGCGCCATCTCGTATTACTCGGGCAATCCCAAGGACACCGTGCCGGTCTGGATCGAGGGCGTAAAGATGAACATATTTTCCAACCTCGCCAAAGGAATCGAGAACGCTGCCAGTTTCTGGAAGAAAGGATCACCGAATCAGCCCCTGCGACTCTGGGTGGACCAAATTTGCATCAACCAGAGCGATTTACCAGAAAAGTCGCACCAAGTCAACTTTATGCGCGAAATCTACCGGCACGCCACGCATGTATACGTGTCAATGCCGATTAAAAGGAACCTTCGTCCCGTTTTCGAATGGCTGACGGGTCTTGCGGCGGCGAGGATGACGAAGGGATATGAGCCATCACCAAACATGCTCTATGAAAATCCACCCCCTGAGCCAAACGTCCCAGGAAGATGGCGAGATAAGGTAAATCCAGAATGGCCAGCAGATTCCTGGGAAGACATTTACCGTGTGATCAATCATTCTTGGTGGAGTCGCTCGTGGGTTTATCAGGAATTCATCGTCGCGTCCGATGTCTTCTTTCTATTTTCTGGCGAGGTCTCGATGCCATGGAACCAGCTCCATCCCATGCTGTCTCTTTTCATGGAACTGGACACCGTCAATGCTTGTAAGGAGGCGCTACAGGAACGGGACCAGGCTGATGGCACCATGCACCGGTACAAAATCTTTGCCAGCATCAAGCCCATGAAAGACCATCTTCGCAACGCATTTAAGGCTGCCTGTGAGTGCTGTCCTATCTGCTTCTACGATGATCGATTCTCTTATAAACCCTGGAATCCGTTTCGCTGTTGCATCTCTTCATGCGTTTGCACAGCCCATGTACTAAAAGTTGCTGCGTATGCTGTACCTTGGGCCCTCGGCTGTTGCTTCTTTCGCTACCCTTGCTGTCCCGGGTACGAGGCAAGGACGACGCAAAAGCTAAGAAGTAGAACAAGTTTAGTGGGAATGGGACACCATGTCCAGCGATTGAGAACAACGAACGCTAGTCGAGCACTCGTTAACAGGGTTATCGAGGGTCGAGAGCTATGGGAAAGGCAACAGCATCAGATTAACTTGTCTTATCTTCTCCAACACGCAAGAAACACCGAAACGTCACAGCCGAAAGACAAGTTCTATGCCTTTGTCGGACTGGCCAACCTCGGGAACGAGGTGCCGATCCGGTACGAGTCAAGTTACAGCATTCAGGCAGTGCTCATCGACGTAGCTCGCGCGATTGTGGTGCACGAGGACGCAGGCCTCGACATCTTGGCGCAAGCAGGGACGGCGGCACACAGTCGAGACCTCCCCGAAGGCAAAGATGCACTACCATCGTGGGTTCCAGATTGGGATAAGCGGGAGGATATCGAGAGGCAAAAGTTCATCGACGCCTTGAAGCTGCCGCCCGCATGCAGCGCAGGCACAATTCACAGCTCCAAAGTCTCTCTGGACTTTTTGGAAGACAGACATGGGAATGAGAGGAGAGTGCTCGTCGCCGCGGGATCCCAGGTTGATGTTCTTGGAAGCGCCATCGACAGAGGCTATGACGGGTTTCTGCCGTGGAAGTCCTTTTCAAGTTCAGATGGGCAAAGAGTGATTACGACAACGAGTATTGCGCATTTTGGGGATGAGGTTTGGGTTCTTGATGGCATGAGTTGGCCGGTCGTATTGCGGAGAAGTTCGGCTGACAATTCCACTACGCTCCTCGCCATCGCTATGGTGCGTGAGAATGACCAACCTCATCAGCTCATGTTCGGAGACAAGAATCTTTCACGAGAGTCAGGTAGAGTGGTAATAGTCTGAACTTTAGTTTATCTTGGTTGAAAGTCAGCTAAATAACAGGTGCATGGAGCTTGAAGTATAAAGAAACTCTAATTTGACTTCAGTCTGTCTCTTCCCCCTCCATACAGCTCACCATTCGGCATGTCGAGACTTGAAGCACCTGATTCAGTTGGCTACAACCGAATATCATTCTCTAATTGCGACACGCGTGTCAAACGCCACCTTTTTGCGCGATTACGACCATCTCATCCGCCATTCTAAGCTCGTACGGCGCAGATGCGTCAGATGGCATCAGAAACAAGGTTGAGGTATTCCGGCTCGCCATCAGTCAAGAAATCAAAATTGAAGCCTGCAAAGTCGGAGGCTAGAGCTGATGAGATGTCTTCAAATGGATGGCCATGAGATTGACACGTTAGTGGAGCATTTGTGGAACTCAGACCTTCGTATGCCCCGGTACTGTGAAATTGTGGTGTGTGAGGTTGCGTTCGAGCATTGTGCGTCAAGTTCGGGGAGTTGCATCTCTCGACAAACGTGTCTCTCGCCGACTCGGTCTTGTTCCATTCGTCGTTGCTCTCGAACAGCACTGGGGGTTTATACTGTTGTAAAAGAGAAATCTGGGCTTCTCTGACAATGTCCACGAGTTGGTTCGTTATTCTGTCGCCTAGCAGACCGAAACCGGAATCTAATCTTTGGTCGAGTTCGCGTCGAATTCTCCGAGGGAGTTCTCTATCCAAGTATTCCGAGTATCTTTGAACTGCTGGATCTTTCCATTCAGCTGCCGAGTCGTTCCATCTCCCATGGTTCTTCGATTCGCCATGGTCTGTATCATATGAGTAACCATAACGGATCCTTCGGTTGAGATAACTCACAAGGACTTGGTATTTCCACGGCGCCTGGAAATAGTATCAAGTACATTTCTCTCCACTTGTCAGCTTCATTCGTCTCCGTAGATCTTTGCTGTAGTCGTTGCTTCTGATTCTTATGGAGCCATTCCATCTCAGGAGACTCTTCTCTGATGATGCATATCTTCTCTGCTTTCAAATGTTCAACTTGATCCATTATCGAATCAAATGGTTCCCGGCATCGAGGGCAGGTTAAGAGCGGCGCCGCATGACACCTGTAAATGTGCTCCCTTGATGAACAATCAGCGAGATTTGACACTTGTGATTGGGCATGTACGAGCTTACTTCAAAAGATCCACCGTGGGCCATACAGGCTCAGAGCAGCTCCGCCATTTTGACGAGCAAAACCTCTGGGGAAACCTCGTGTAGTAGGGACATGGAAGTTTAGGTTCCTCCTTAGGTAAGCCTCTGCTTACGTTCCTTTTGTTGGGCGACAGTTTGAATCTTTTGTTGATTCTGGGTGCATTGAATTGCGCTGAAACGTATCCGGGTTGGGATTGTGTCAAGACTTCTTCGTCCATGAATGGTGAGGATGGATAGGGGAGGTCAGGGAATAATATCGTCCACAGTTCAAACCATTGTTTCTCTTTAGATGAACCTCTTTTGGCTCTCCAAGAAAGAAGTACATCTTTCAGGTCTGGATCGATTCCTTCCAGCTCAAGCTTTGATGAGTCATCGCGCACGCATGACATTCGCCGCAAGTGAAATGTATAATCCTCCTTGCCCTCAAAGATTTCCCAACAGGTTGAACAGTGAATCGGCTGCACATGACGTCGAAGTATATGCTGCTTGACGTATCTGATCTCTGAGAGTGTGGCACTGGAACACGACCGATGCTTGTTCGGATCCAGTTTCCAGAAAGGACAGGCAAATTGAAGTGGCGTGCTCTCGAACTTTGCTCTCTTTTTGTTGACGGGTCTATGCTCTTTATCATCGTAGTCAGAGTCTTCTTCGTTGCAGTTCAATCTCTTGCTGAGTATTGTTGTGTGGACAGATGGCACTGCCCTCATGGATGAAGAGAGTTCTGAAGCCCCTCTGCTTGAAGCAACGCCTGGTGAAGATGCATGTGGGCTTGTGGAAACATGGCCTATGATGTGTGTCTTCTCAATAGACGGAACTCCAGGGTCTGCTATACAGGATAGCCTGGGGCTCCGCGATAGACGGGACCTGTCGAACCGTTAGTACTTTGCTCGTCCTTCGTGATTAGCCGATGATTCGGACTTGGATCGGAAGTCGGGCCTACCTGATGTAAGCCGTAATCTTAGGAAGTTGTGTCGAGAGGTCACATGACGCTTTCCACGTGCTTGGCTCGGCTTTACCCAGTGGGGGAGTGGAAAGTGTATCCACGGTCATTTGGCTGTTGTACTGGGGGATAGCGAGCTGATTGCGCCGAAGCCATGTGTGTTGAGTGTTAAAACCGTGGTCTTCACGCTGCTGTTGTGCTTGATTTGCGGCCCTGTCATCAATCATGATGGCTAGACACGGAAGAGCCATGTTTGATCAAGTGCGGAACAGAGCCGTGATGAATGGGCTAGCCTGGTAGCTATGTAGAATAAGAATTGTTGCCAGCCGATTTGAGCCGAGCAGGCTTTCTCTTGTGGCCGGCCAAGCAAGGCTTTGGGCTCAAGTACCCACGAAGGAGCGGTATTGGCCTCGCGTAAAGTAGTACTTGCTTGTGATCTGGAGTAGAGTGTAGGCGACAAATTACGTAGAGCACATCGACCGTTGGGCCATTAGACGAGGTCTCTGATCAAACACGAAAAACAAACACATTCCCAGATGACGACGAAAAGAGGGGGAATCAAAGTATTAGGGAAACTGGGCTACCCGTGAAAGATTGGGGAGCGGTAAGCCCCAGACTAGCGTGTCGTGTGGCGTATGTTGAGGGACATCACTGGACGAACCAGTCGTAGCCTCAACCTATCACAAGATGATGCCTCTTCCCACCGCATATTCTGGCTTGTAGTCTGACGCTCAATAGATACGGAGAGATACAATCAAGTCTTTGGACTGAGACATGTCAACGCTGTTCCTCGTACACCAGCGAATGACATTGCAGCAAGGCGTCCCCACATCATTGACTGAATCGTCCGCCGATATCATCAAACCATGGCGTCATGTACCGGGTCGAGGCTCGGGCGAGTTACCCCTCCTTTCCTTAGCTTGGTCACCTCGGGTTTCTATAGGTGTGCGCAGGCTGGTGGCCTCTGTAAAGACCAATCGGCGATGACGGCGAGTTAGGGAGTTGTTGTACTGCGGCTTCGACCGCCCAATTGGACCAATGATGCCGTCACCTGTGATTCTTGGTCAATTGGTAACCTGGCAAAGGAGCAGAGGGTGGTGACGAGGGGTTAGTGAGCCCCTTCGCGGTTGGGCCTGACACCCGCGGATAGGAGAGAAACGACGGTAGTCTGCGTCGAAATGCAGAACGGGGGATGACCAGGCGTATGTCGTCGAGCGAGCTGAAGTACTGTCCGAAAATTTGGGGGTCTCTGGGACTCCCCTCTTCGTAAGTCTGATATATGTTTCGTCATCACTCCCTATTCCTTGCATTCAGTGTTCCTCACTCAATATTCCATTCTTCACCAATCATATCCAGCACAACAGAACTCCAACTCGATTAGGACGTGAATGCAACATATTCAAATCGTGAACATTCAAAATCTAAGGTAAGTGTTTTGTTCTCGACCCTTCCTTGGTGGGAGTTGTCGACATTCCGTGTCTTGGGCCGAAGCTGGAAGCCACCGAGTGGTGCCGACAAAGCGGGCCAGAGGCATGATGATGGACCGAGTCCTACGATGCCATCATGCAGAACACGAGTTGTAACGGTGCGCCAACTCGACAGGCAGCGCTAGATGATAGGGGTGGAACAGCATTTTGATCAAGCTCTGAGAATGGCGGCTTGACGAAGAATTGATGAAGCTGATGATGATACACTAGTACCATCCGCCATTCTCGACTTCATCAACACGGTTCAACACGGTTACCAACAACTGTATCAAAAGGATATAGCGGAATGCCGGTTCGGTTCTTCAGAGACGCCGGCGCCAACTTGGCCGCGTGCTCTAGAGGAGTGCGGAGATACTTTCGTCGTCTGTACCGTCACATCCTTGAGCAAGACAATTCTTCTCAGCAGGATGAGGATGTTCAGCAGAGGGGTCGCATGGCAAACCCGCTCGTTATCCTCGTCGTGGAAATTCTCACGACTGACTTCTCCATTTCTCGAGCAACGGTTGCTCAACTCGGCTTCGGCCTCGTGTACGGCGTTGCCATCAGCGGCCTCCATCTGCCACTGAAACGCCGAACTCGCTTGAGAACGGTCGTCACACTGGCGGGCGTGGTGCCCGCGGCCGTATACCTCATCCCGGGCGGCCCGACGCTTCATGTGATTCCCATGATCATCATCTCCGCTGCGGCGGGGACTGAGATCCAACACTGTCTTGTTTTTCGGAGTCGCGACAGGACCGCCGACTCGGTCCTGCGACCTCAGAGCTCGGTCGAGTGCCTCTTGGTGGCTTGGTTGATTGCCGCTGGAGGCAACGCCAAAGGAGTCAGCCACTTTGTCCAAGCTGGCGCGGTGCTTTGCTTGGACGTCCTCTCCTCGTCTATCAAGACCAGGCCTTTGATGAGGTTCTTCCTCCGAGTGGTCTTGGTGACGATGGGGTTGGCGTGTTTGGTTCAGGTAGGTTGACCTCGTCGGACTGAGGCGAATATGGCTGACCGATGTCTAAGCAATTCCTCCCTTCTTCGACACCCAAGAATCTGGACCGCCGAGGTGAGGTCGCATGCTCTTCTCAAGGACAGAAAGGTATGTCGACAATTGTCATCTCATATGCGTCTTCATCCGAAGTATTCTGATCGTTGAAATAGGTTGGCCCAGGCCTGAAGTCCTGACGGTGGTCGGCTTTTTTGTGACACCCGGCATGGCTGTTTTGTACAAGGATGTTCGAGAGTTCATCATCCCTAGAGTGTACCGCTGGGTATTTCGTAGACAAAGGGTACAGGAGGACGAGGAGGATCCCGCGGCAAATGGCGTTCTGCCTGTTCAGAATAACGAGCTCCCAGCGTGGGGTGATATCGAAGCAGAACTTTTTGCCGGAGTCGAGCAGTGGATGGACTGATGTCGCTGTCGTGAGTACTGTACAAGCTGCCGCGGCCGAGGTTGAATCGGGAGTAAAGGATATCTGCGGGGGTTTGGTCTCGGCGTTACTGGAAGGGTTCTTTATGGGATGGGTGTTTAATGGCAAAGAGAGTACAAACGCATCTTAGAGGATAGGGCATGAAATAAAAACGAAAATTAGAATGGGCATTGAGAACATGATATGGAGCGTGGTTGTTTCGTGTAAGCCAGTGTAGTACTTATTCGTCTGAGGAACTATAGGTGCGTACTAGAGAAGATGAAGGAGCGAAGAGGTAATAGGAAGTAGGAAGAGGATTGGAATAATTTGGGAACAAGAATAACTAATTCCACAAATATCCTGCATTCAATCATCCCACGTATAGCCAGGCATCAATCGCCATCATTTTGCGCAGTCTCCTTGAGGCAGACAGGCCAAATGTGGAGAGGTCAGAGGACGCGAAGCGCACAGTTGTGCGCTTAGAGCTGTGCGCTTGGAATGCGCACAGTTGTGCGGTTGCTGTGCGCAAAAGGCGCTGCACCTTTGTGGATGGAGAGAACCCCGAGGGAAACTTAGTGTCTTACATAAGGCAATCTAAATGCCGGTTGCTGGGATCAGTGAGACGATCTGGGACCACACCACCCCTTCGTGCAACTTAGGTTGCCAACTGTGAAAAGCATCATGCGACGCGCGCTGTCTCCTGTCTGGTACAGAAAGCACTGAAACCAGTAAGATCCTGTAGTTACCGTCAATCTCCAAAGGTATCCGGAGGTTCTCCCCTCGCTCAATTGTCGACCCCAGCAGCTTGAGGGTCACGGAAATGGTGAGGTATGAAAAGGCACTACGGCACTGATGCAAGCGGATATGGTGTGGAAGCCACCTTGGAGCGCCAGGGTGCCCCCAAGATAAGCTGGTACGTGGCTGGGACGGACCCCCGAGCTTCTCGGCTTGGTCGGATGCCGCGTTCGGTTACTCGCGAAGCCAGAGGAACGTTTGATGGCGAGAGGCAGACACACCCGGAGCCGAAATGTGGGGCAATGCCGGTCGGGGCCCGGCAACGACCATTTCCTTCGGCTTGGGATGTTATGCTGCTACTTTGTATACTGGATACGAAGCTCGATGTGACATTTGCACTTGAGTATGGGCCTAAGGTAGTCTTGGAGATGAATCCATCGTGAGCGAGATTCATGTTTCGCACTGCGAGATCGTGTTACCAACGACGCGCAAAGACGGATGTGGTTAACATGATCTGTGACATTGATACCAGCACGACCTCGATGAAGTGCATCAAAACTGGCTTTTTCGTGAATTCCTCATAATTAGCTTGCATGCAAAATATTCTACATCATCTGAGCAGCAGACACCTCATGGATAAAGTGCTCCTTCGACTCCAAATGCGGCAACACAGAGCCATAATACGTGTACTGGCCATCCGGCAGCCGTATAATCGAACTCCGCAAGTCATCTCTTGCATGAACCCTCGCCGTAGCCTCCCAGGCTTTCACAATATCATCATCAACGACAACATCGTCCTGCGTACTCTTCCAAGTAATCTCAGCGAGCCCACTGTCGACCTTGTAGCGAAATATACTAACCTGCCCGTTCCGGCCATTCCAAATCTCCAAGAGCTCAAGCCTTGGCATCCGGCAAGCCGCCAACGCAGCCAACAAAAGAAGCGTCTTGATCTTCATGCGCCTCTCAACAGCTTCATCGCTATTGCCGCCCACGCCAAGAAATATCTCGGCAGTCAGAGTGAGCGTCTTCAGTTCCGGGAAGTTAGGTGCGTTGTTCAGGAAATCGTCCGCATCTACGATGAAGCAGAGCGCCAGGTGCTCCTGAAGAAGACAACCTTGTACCACAGAGCTTACTAGTTCTTCTACTTTGGCTCCTCTATAGAAAGTACGCGCAAAATAGCGTGTGCTCGACGCTTCGTGTAAGATTGCAACCTTCTTCAGCGAAGATGGAAAGCCATGCCGGCACATATCACGGAGAGCTAGATATGATCATGAATCATTAGTCATCCCATGAAAAAAGAAAAAGAGTGTGTCAGAGGTGGCATCCGTAGAAAAGGCATCCTACCTTGTAGCCAACGTCTCTCCGCTCCCACGCTGCAGAGCCGCCACCTCTCAAAATGGATCTCCTTTAAGCGAGGAAGACTCTTGATGATATGGTTCAACGAATCTGGGTAAAGGTTGCGCGTATTTGCCCTCCGCATGAGAAACTTGGTGACGACTTGTACGGATGGTAACCGTATACGGCTTAGCCTGAGATCGTACGAGTATAGGGCCTTGATAGCTCCGGAGTGCATCGAGATACTTTGACCTTGACCCATGTGGGCAATCCAGAGTAGGCTCGTGTGACTAAAGGGTTCAACCTCATCGTACGGCGCAAGAGATCCCGTCTCAAGATACTTCAAATAGTGATCGATGTCGTCCTTTGGCGTATAGTTGTTGTACCTGATGAGCCCAGCCTGTGTATGGGAGCTTATCTCGAGCGTCAATTCTTCTCCGGCCTGATCAACTTCCCATGACGCCAATGTATTCCATAGATATAGCGTAGCGGTAGCAAATGGGCTCCGCGATTGATTCCAGGGTAAAGCCGGGTCATCCTCTTCGGGGTGAGGCTCCTCGAGACGAAGCCAGATGTGCCGGACGTAGCCACGTCTTCTGGGACTTTGCGTGTGCTCCCTGAACGGAATGAGATCTTGCAGCCGCAGAACGAAGTTCTTGAACGTCATTTCCTCGAAGAAATCCTGCCATTCTTTGGATACGCTGGCGTAGCGAGCTATTCCGCGACTGGGCGAGGCCGGTGAGCTGTGCGCATTCGCGACGTGTTCTAGGATGTGGAGGTGCAGCTCCCGCGGTAAAGACGCCCAACATGGCTTCGCGCCATCCATGTTCGAGATCTGGCTTAGGACAGGCGCGATAGGAGGAAGTGAGATGTTGCTTTTGGGAGAGGATTGTTGGATGAGGAGAAGTTGGTGATGTTGCGAGCCCGTTGGGCTTCCATCAATCACTCCGCATGACAAATGTGACCCCACAATTTCCACTTTGTAATGTATGCCAGGGGGTGAGAAACAGCAACCAACATGAACTTTGCCAAACCCCAAAGCCCTGCAATCAAGGCGCCACAAGATAGCCTAAAAGAATCGAGGTTGGTCTGTTGGTTTCTGAAATAAGGGGTACCTGTGGACAAAAGCACAGGGAACTTGAAAATAAGTGTAATCGACTACCTATTTGCAGAACACGTAATTAAGTACAGGATATTTTCAAAGAAATTGAGACAACACTTGACAAGCCCTCACTTTTCATTGATAATGTTTCGCTCGAAGCTCACAACCTAAGAAGCAACCTTGCTCCAGAATAGCTACTCATGGATTCAGAGTATAAGTGATGTTGTGGCCAGGAACCCTGGGGTAAAACTCAAAGGTGAACGTCGTCGCCTTGCCAGCGGAAATGACAGCCTGAACCGTAGCAGAAGGTAGAATAACGTTGCCGCCGTCAAAGTTCCACTGCCCGTTGAAAGTCTATCCTCAATGTTAGTACGTGCTCTTCCATTGCCTGAACCAAGCAAACCATGGGTTCCAAGATGCAGTCGGGAATGACGACTTACGATATGAGCCTGCTGCAACGGTCCAAGGTACTGCGTCCAGTCATCAAATAAGTAAACGCCGTCGCTCCGCAAAGTCTTGACAGCAGCAACCGTCTTGAGTCCCTTGAAGGTGATGGGGATCTTCAGGTCGGCGCCCGCAATGGCCTTGGAGCTTGTTGCGGGCACCACTGGAACATCCCATTGCACGAGCTCGACCTGCGACGTCGCCCCCGCAGAGAAAACCAACGTCAGGTTCGTCTTGCTCCCTGGTGCAGCGGTGGCACTCAGATACTTGGACAAGAAGGCGGCCTTGAAAGTGATTGAGGACGCCGATGCGGTATAATCCGTATTCGCTGCCAGCGTAGTTCCCGAGATAGTCTTGACCGACTGCAAGGTGTTGCCGTTGAACAACCAGGGAAGCGTCTGATCCGCCGGCGCAGTGCCAACCTTGTTCCAAACGTATGCGGATGATGATTGCGTCGTGGCTGATGCATCCGTAGTGCTATCGGGCAACGAATTCTTCGTTCCCTTAACGGCGGTATTCAGAATGGCCAGCGAAGTCGGGTCCCGCCAGGCATGCGCACTGCGATCAAGATGATCCAGCCCATTATCCCAAATCACAACAGCAGTATTCAACTCCGCCGCCGTCCTCACAAACTGATCCGTCCACTTCCACCTCGCAGCCGGCTCAGTATTCAACGGACTCGCATCAAACTCCCCAATCACCAACGGCACATCCGTAAAATTTCCCCTCACAATCGCCATCTCGTTCCTCATCGCAGCCTTATCCGCATCCGAGCCCCAAATTGTCTTGCCCCACGCGGAGAAGATGAAGTCGTAGGGGCTGTAGACGTGGTAGTGCAGCACCCAGGGGTTCTTGATGCTCGCGGGTGCCTTGAACCACTGCGTCGTCTTGGTGGCGTCCATGCCGCCGCCGACGAGGTTGACGACGCGGCGCGTGTTGAAGCCGCCGCTGTCGGCGAGGGCTTTGAGGAAGAGGTCGTTGAGGGTGTTTATGCGGGCGCCGTGGTCTGCTGTTGTGGCGGGGGGTTCGTTGATGGATTCAAAGGAGACGAGGTTGGGTTTGCAGGCGAGCTTGCGGCCGATTTGGAGCCAGAGGTTGTAGAATTTGTCGTTTAGGTTTTGGACGTCTGCATCTGAGGTTGCTTTTGTCACGTCGGCCCAGTTCCAGGAGTCTTTTCGTGATGTATGAGCATATTTAGACAAAAGTGGGAACGTACTGAGTGGTCTTACCATGGTGGACGTTCGTGAGAACGTAAAGGCCCCGGGCAGTGGCCATATCAACTACGTCCGACACGCGCTGCAGCCAAGCCGCGTCAACGGTGTAGTTAGGCGCTGCGCTGGTGAAGTGGTCGCTGTAGGTGACTACCGGACCATTAACATCAACGTTTACTGACTGCCGAGAAAGATATAGACTTACCTGGGATACGAACGCTCTTGAATCCGGCAGCCTTGACATCGTCAAACGTCTTCTCGACAACGGGTGGATTGTTCCAAGATCCCTCGTTAGGGATAGCATCAAGAGTGTTGCCCAGGTTCCACCCCGGGCTCATGGCCTTCACGTAGTCCGCCCCTGAGATGTCGCTAAAGGAGCCAGAACAAGCCGTTGGCGCGGCACTGGCGGATGAAGATCTAACAGAGCTTGTCAACTGAGAGGAGCTTGACGCGCGTGAAGTAGTAGTTGTTCCAGCAGCGGGGGGCTTCGAGGTTGACGTTAAGAGAGTGGTCGGAGAGGGGGAGCCAGATCCCTCGAGACATTGCGAGTACCCTGGCACTGGGATTAGATGTTGTCCATAAGAGATCTGGGCAGAGACCTACAGTCATTTGCCTTTTCACAGTGCCATCCGGCTGTACACGTCGTCGGTCCCGTCCAGCCGCCGCCACCGCATTGGCCGTACGGCGTTTGCTGGGCAGAGGTTGTCTGGGCTAGTGCCACTAGCACGGCGAGGTTGATGTCTGGTCTCATCGCGAAAGATCAAGGTCCTCGGTTGCCGCGCTTACAGAATCACAGGACCATGAATTCTTCGGGGTGTCTCCAGGGAATGTGGCAGATTATACATGGAATGGCGGAGCACTTGCGTCTTGTTGATATTCAAACACCATTCTTCATCACGGACCGGAAATACACTTACAAGCCCAGGCCTACTGCCAAAACACGCACCATTGCGCTTGGTGGAAAATTGCATGCGATCATGATGACCACGAATCTAACGAATGGAATGAGTCGAAAGCTGCAATGGCGTCGGCGAAGAGAGCGGAAGGTGCTCCGAAACGAGGCGATGAAAGGTACGGGAGGCGCGAAAAGAAACCGTACTCAGCATGTGGGCGAAGACCATTCTCTTTTGAGGGCGGAGTGTTACTCTCAGAGTCCCCGAAGAGGAAATATCACGACACCAAGGAGGGTTGTATCACGTAGACTACCGCTGGCCGAAAGAGGCAACTTTACTTGCTTGCCTCCGTCCTCCGACTTACCCCTCAATCAGAGGCCAGGGGCAGGCTGCGCGGATTGAGGTCGCGGTTCGGAGTCAATTTACGCTTGTTTGAAAGCGAGCGGGCATTGAGTTGCTTAATTGGTTCTACACGTTCGACCCTTGACCGTTGTCACCTACTTGATTCACAATATGGGGACGGAGAGATTGAAGGAGCCCGGATCTGGAAAGCTTGTTTTTCTTTCTTCGGATCATAATTGCTATTCGCTACTACCTATCCCAACGAGGCAATTATTCGCCTAGCAATGGAGGAGGATATCTGCGAGCTACTCGGTTTCTTCCGAGTCATGGCCTGGGATGCAGTTCGTCAATATCAGACGAATACACTCGGCAGCTCATATGTTGTAGGGTGTTCTCGGTATGCCCATCGACCCGATTTGCCGGCCCCGCACCGAAAGCGCCGAGCCGTAGTGATTCGATCACCCATCAGGCAGCTTTTCTCCTACCTATCTACAACCTCATGAGCTGCAGTGATGGGTATCTAGAAGCCTGCCGGTCTCTAGATATTGTATCGACAGCACATCGTTTGATAGGATTCGATGGTCCCTCGGAGTTGGCGTGATGCTTTTTCCAATGATCCAGAAGTAGGATATCAATAGCAGACAAACCGTAAATCGCTGCATCGTAAGATGTGATGGTTGAGTAGGGTTTCGGCACGTCTCTATGCCTGATGAGGGTAACGCATAAGCATTGCTTTATCCTCCGTTTCGGAGGCTTCGTCCGTCTAGCCTCGTTAGACCGTCATGTCTGCACTGAGTTGGCCTGGATGTGAAGGCCAAAACCAGCCAGACTACATACAGTCTGCACTCCCGTCTCGTGAAGATGCTCTCAGATCGTGCGATTGTGTACCGCTCTCTCGGATCGAATCATTCATCGCTTCGGCGGCCCCGGCGGAGGCGGATTCGTCGTTCCTCGGAACTGGTTCTTCAATTCCTCGATGAAATACTGCAAAAAGCCTCGGTCTGCAGGGTTTGCTATAGCCCAACAACGTCAGCTACCCTCTCTTCAAGTGACTCCCTCCCAGCGAGACCATTCGATTTCAACGTACCAGTTGCCTGTCCTTGCCGCAGCGGCTCATGCGGCATAGGCCCATTCCGCTTCTCGTCGACGTATCGGTGGATTCGGCCGACGCCGCGATGGAAGCCGGGACTTCTAAGGATCTGTAGTTTGGGAGTTCGAGGTTAGCTTGCTATGTATGGCGCTGATGATGTGGAGGTCGCATACCTGGCGGATAATCACGTCCTCGAAGGCCACGAGGGCGCGGATTAGCAGGTTCAGAGGCGGAGCCATGTTCAATGCGTTATTCAATACCAGAAACTCATGAAAGAACTTAGAAGAGGGACTGGCCCCTTGCGCGACAAGATGCCAATTGATAATCCTCGAGAAGCTTTGAAGCTTCGAAGCTTCTCTGCCATAGTCTGCGCAGGTGGCGATCGGACCATCGGCAAAATAAAGTGGAGATACTTGAAGATTAGTCATCGACATGGAAGCATCATGCATTTGGCCGCTCATTGGTCCAGACACATCTGCGTATCTCTCCCAGAGTACGTACCTAAATGAGAATATTCACAAGTTTTCGCAAACCTCCTGGCACGAGCATACTTGGGCGATAGAATTGCGAGAAAAGACATGAGCAGCGTCTGATGTGTCCATGACCTCGTAGTGGAATGGTAAAGCGTAATGGGTCCCGAAAGGGCTGCGAGTTCGAATACAAGTATACTTCCAAAAATTGGTGGTCCAACATAATGCCACAGACAGTTCATTTTTATTTTCAATTTGTATTCTATCAATTTCGCTGTCGTATGGTCACCGAGAGAATGTAGATTTCATTCGCTTGATCCTGATGATGTGTACCGACTTGAAAGGTATGGATTTCATGATTTCACCAATCTTAAAATGCGAGGCGGATATCCTATGACATCGACTTCTACGGAGCACCTCGTGACTGTCTACTTTTCCATTCGCATCGCCCTTGGTATGTGGGACATCCCCCACTTCCGCGAGTTGATGCCTTTGACGATTACAAAGATACCGTGCCTGGAATACCCAGAAACCATATCTGGAATGCTCTCTGGGCAATTGGAGTCTCATCGGCGGTTGCTCATCAGGAGGTGAACCTGTAAACAAGATAGCAGCCATGCATGTCCTGCGAACCCCCCAAGACCTTCGGGCTTGCTGCGACATAGCTGCGTAGCGTTCATGCCGGCATCATGAGCTTAGGATGCGGAAGAGATAATGGGTATAATAAGTCTCTGAGCTAGGTAACCCTTACATACCCTGGCTGACAGTCTTGCGACAGCTTTGACATCTCAGCCAAACGCAGTGCTATCCATGCATCTGTGGCGCGGGGAAGCTGATCACTCGGTGTGGGAGAACGAATCATGCAAACCGGTAGGCAGAGAGGAATCTTCAACCAGCAAATTGATCCCACTCGCCCCAGTTGAGGGGCAGCCCTATATCGAGGTTAGCCTCCAGAGCGTTATCGACTGCCGACAGATTGAAGCTCGGGTCGAAGTGGCCAAAGACATCTAGATGCGGCATCGCATCAACAATCGAAAAGTCAATGGCTTCCAGTGCCGGGAGCTCGGCGGTCGACGCAGGAGCCAGGGGAGCCGACGGCGGCTCGGCCGGCGCCCCGTCAACCACCAAAGGCTCATCAACTTTACCATTCGTAGGTACGTCGACAATAGCAGCAGCTGGCAAAGCCGCTCCCCCTTCTTGGGCAATGGAGTTTGCGGCCCGCTCCATCTCTCGCAAGATACGCTCGCCTAGCCCTGCGACGACCCGTGCGCTCCAAAAGACGTCGCCGAATCTCTTCATCAGCTCCGAGTTAGACTTGAATGCGCTGCGGGCGCGGGCGCGGAACATTGGAAGGGCGCTGTGTCGCATTTTGCGGTACTCGACGCTGAGAGCTAGGGAGAGGGCGTATGGGACGAGAGGGACGGGACTTAGATGGTCCCGGCGGATGGCGGAGGATATTCGCTCGGCTGCCAGGGAGCGTCGTGCGTTTGCTGAGGGCGGTGGTACTGATGATGCGTATTGTGCTGGAGGCCCGGGTCTGGATAAGCGGCATGAGAGGATAATGACGGCGTGGTAGAAGACCTCGATAGTCGCTGTTGAGCGTTAGCACCTCATGCTGACGAGTGTTAGAAGAACAGTTCTTAAACATACCAAGAAGCGGGGTGGGAACCTGTAAAGCATTGGCTTCGAGGATCATGGGCTCGAGGACCGGCAGATCGATAAAGGGCTTGGCCTCCAGCGACTGAGCAATGACACCCGGACGGTAGAGTTCGATCACCTTGTCGAGCCACTGCACGACCGATAGAAAGAGTTGGAAGCAGGGTGCTTGTCTGCGGAAACAGTCGTCTAGCCCGGGACCGATGTCACCCTCGTGCAGAACGCAAGGTCTCCCGTACGTCGCCGCATTGATTCGATCCAGTGCCCAAACAGCGCAGAAAAGGGTGTCGAGAGAGTCATTGCTAGAGTGAAAAAGGTGTAACCCGAGGGTCTGCGAATGATGCGCCGCCCTGGCGCCAAGTTGAGCAGGCAAGTCTGCTTCATCAGCACCGGAAGGCTGGGCATAGAGGGATAGCATGCACAAGGCACGTATGTGTATCGTCCGGTCCGAGATCAAGCTCGTATCCAGGATGGCCCGTATAGAGCTGGACAGCGTCTGGGAGAAGTCTTGGTACGAGAGCCTCTTGTTTCCCTGCGTAGCGAGGCGCAAGTGGCTTTTCATGTCAGGGTCAGTGGCAGCAGCCAGACACACCACTTGTCGCATGACAATAGCTGCTGGGGAATCGCCATCATCCAAAGCCTCGTCGGGGATAAGGCCGAAAATAGGATGGATCTTGTCTCGGTACACCTTGTGGAGATGTTTGTAGTCCTTCTCCGGCGGGATACAGGTGAGACAATTCTGCTTGACGTAAGGCAGCAAGACCTTGTCGATAATAGCCGACGGACGCGAGACAACCGATGTTGTCGACTGGGCCGAAGCGGCGTTGAGTGACGGAAGCCAGACACCCACCTCGGCCTTCTGCGTAGGGTTAGCGGCCGGATCTGAGTCGGCGGCCTCGGCGAACATGCCCTCCGGGTTAAGATCGCCAACGAAGCGCGTCTGTGGAGTCTGCGCTGGCTCCGAATGTCCCGCCGTGGCAGATTCACGGCGGACAGGGGTCGTGGACAGTACGGCATCAGCGGTCACGGACACCGAGTGACGATGTTTGCTTGGTGAACCAGAGCCGGCGACGACATGTTGTCTTGGGAGAAAGGGTTCAGTCAGCTCAAGAAAATCCCCAAAGTTGCCTGATTAGGAAACCAACCCAGCGTTATCTGGCGGCGAAGAACCCGCACACCCGTCATGCGCGGGCTCCAACGGCGGAGGTTCCCCGTGGATGCAGCGTTTCTATAATTGTCATGTAAGAAGAAATGCGTCTTAGTCGAGTGGAATTGCTTTTGGTTTGAGCGGACCTTCTTTCTGCGACATGATTCGCAGGCTTGCAGAACTTGCTTCCGCTTCAAGGGAAGCCCCGAAGAGTCGGAGCCGACAAATTTGACGCCTTTGGCGGGGTTGCTCATCGTCCCGACGCAATGGTGACTCCGAACGGAACAAGAGATGGAGAGGTGTTAAGCGAGCGAAGCATCATCACCGCAGATCGCCGTCACGAGGGGGGAATCAAAAGTGAGTTGTAACGCGTGAGATGAGAGACGGTGAAGGACGGGTGCTTTGGTGTAAGGCGGCGCAAGCGGTTGACGCAGCTAAACTGACTGGACTCCATGGTGTGGGCGGCGGGCGGTGCGGGCGGCCGGGGGACCTGCAAGGTGTGACTCGACGCGGAGCTTAGTCAGACGCGGGATTTCTCGGTGTAATCTCGGTGGAACCATCACACCTTGGCGACACCGAGGTGAACAGTCACATTTCAACAAATGCATGACAAGACGTCCATGCTGCGTAACTGCCTTTGTCAGGTCATTAGGCTTTTTGAACAGTGATATTCATGAGAACCAGTCTTTTTTTCCGTCCCACTTCACATTCCAGGTATAATTCAAGGGCATTGCCCAAACGCCAACGCTATGCTGAAATCAACCACTCATCCCTGTCATGGGATAAAACACCCGTCAATATCCTCAGGAGGTAGGAACGTAATCACTCTACTCGGCCGCCCAGGCCGCTCTTAACACCTTCCAGCACCACTCCCCAGCCACCTCCATGGTTCTTGTCCTGCACAGCTTCGCTTAGCCGGCCCGTCACCAGCTTTCTCACAAGGAGTGTGTCTCGCGCTCTCTTGAGCTTCTTTCCGTCTTCGCGAGAAAGGAATGCCTCGAACCAGGCCTCCTCCGCGGCATCGAAGGGCAAGCCAATGAGCTCGGTTGACCGTGCGGCTGTCTCTTCGTTTGCAGGGGCGCCAATCACGTTAGAGACAAGCTGGCGGAACAGCTGTGCCCTGACAGCATCGGCATGGGTTCTGGAGAAGTAGAGGGCTTCGGTGACGCTGGTTCGTGACATGGCGTCGAAGAGAAGCTCGAGAGCCTCGGATGTCTTGAGAATTGGCTGAACTGTGTGGAAGTATGATAGAGGCAGCGTATAGTCGCCGTCGGGAGCATTGCGCACAAGTGCTGTCATGATCTCGTCGGCGAAATCGGTGGTCAGAGAGGGGTGCGCAATGTACTCGAGTGCTTTCTGTTGGTAGTCCGAGGCGTCAGTAGGTGAAGTGTTTGCTGGTGACAATAGTTAGGTCAGGAGAGCGTACCTCGAATTGTTGATGGTCCAGGAGCCAAAGGCCCTTCATGAAGATCTGATAGTTCTTGGGAACACCGGACGTCACGGCGAACTTTGACGATGCCTGAGATCTAGTCTGGCTCGTGTCAAAGTCCAGCAGGATGTAGTAGAAGATGGAGAGTCGGTGGTGCGTTGACATGGTGGCTTCGCATAATTGTTGGTGTAGCGTGCGCAGAGCATTCTCGGTTTTGGGAGGATATGTCTTGGCTGATTTCCAACGTCAGTCATAGAAGATCTCGAAGCGGTTGGGAGGAAGCATACACTTGGTGAGACCCAAGGCTTTCAGGACCCTGTCGATGAATAGGGCGCCATCGAGGCTCTTGCGGTAGGTGTCGATTTCCTGAACGGACTTGCGATCGTAAGGGAACTGCTCCGCCCCGAAGACGTGGTCGAAGTTGGTGTAGTCGAACATATTGAAGTGTAGTGGGTCAGCAATGTCTCTGCAGGATGTTGGACACGACAAGCTTGCTGTAGATTTGGGCCGAGTGTTTTGGTCTTTTTTTTTTTTGAGTTGGCGGGATGAAATGCGACGGCTTTGCGCCGGGGAAGATCGATGCAGAGCTTCAGCCACAGCAACGAAAGAGCACCAGCCACAGTCGCGACTTGACGTGTCTCCGCAGCCTTGTGGCGGGTGGGGGCGGGCGGTGTGGCTTGTTTGTTTACAATCGGCCTAATCGGTGAGCGATTCAAACAAATCAAAGTGGGGGAGAAAGTGTGGAAGCAAACAACACAATTGCGTTTTCCCTTTTCCCTTTTCGCATTCGACATCACCAAATTCTGTTACCGCGGCACCACTTTGCGCCTGCTGCGTTTCTTCTTTCATTCTTGCTTGGCTTTTTGTCACCTTGATTGAGATACCCTGCGCACTTTTGTCTTTGCGTTCATTCGCTTCACACACCACTAACCAGCACCCTTACCACAAGCATAATGTCGGCCCGCCCACGCCGTGCGACGCGCCGCCAGGCCATCGTCGACTCATCCGACGATGACGAGATTGCAAACACCACCGTGAAGAGGGAGGAAGAGAGCGAAGAAGAGTTCGCCCCCGAGCCATCAAAAGGCCCAGTGCGCCGACCAACACGCGCCCGCAAGAGCGCTGCCCCCTCGTCAACGCCTGCTCCGACAGCACCTCGCCGCCGCGGCAGACCTAAGAAGAATGCCGACACTACCGTGACTGAGGAGACTACGAAGCTTGAGGAGGAGGCTTCGGTTGCGGATGTAACGTCCATCGCAGAGGCGCCTTCAGCAGTGGAGGAACCCTCTGTGGCGGACGAGACCTCTATCGCCGAAGACCCCACGGCGCATGATGTTGCTCCTTCGATAGAGCCCAGCGAAATCTTCGACCCCGACCAGACTATTAGCAAGAAGGAACCGCCCTCCTCGGCCCGAAAACCCTCTCCGAGAAAGCCCAGGATGAGCGCTGCGCCTAGAGCTTCCACCAAGTCCGCGACACCAGCATCCATACGCAAGCCATCCGCTACTCCCGAGCCCTCTCGGGTCCATGCCGAGCCTCTCGCCGATATCACAGCTTCTTCAGTCAACGAGCAGAGACCTGTTGCAGATGAGACACAGGCAACATTCAAGCCTGTTCGCGCAATGGACACTGTCATGGAGAAGCCGATGGACATTGTCTTGAAGTCGCGCACTCTGACTGTGCCCGTGGTCGAGGACACAACCCCCAAGCCTCGCCTGGTCATCTCTTACCTGATTCTGACCAACTTCAAGAGTTATGCTGGTCGTCAGGAAGTTGGTCCTTTCCACGGATCATTCTCTTCCGTCGTTGGACCCAACGGTTCTGGAAAGTCTAACGTTATCGACTCCCTCTTGTTCGTCTTCGGCTTCCGCGCAAGCAAGATGCGTCAGGGCAAGCTTTCTGCTTTGATCCACAACTCAGCTCAGCACCCTAATCTGGATCATTGCGAGGTCTCTGTGCACTTCAGAGAAGTCATGGATCAGGTTAGTTGCGTCAAATGTTGCGCACAAATAGTCGCTGACCAGACATAGCCCGGTGGTGGACACGAAGTCATTCCCGATTCCGATCTCATCATTTCTCGCAAAGCCTTCAAGAACAACTCTAGCACATACTATATCAACGGCAAAGCCTCCAACTTCACCACTGTTACTACTCTCCTTCGCGACCGCGGCATCGATCTTGACCACAAACGTTTCCTTATCCTTCAGGGTGAGGTCGAGTCTATTGCCCAGATGAAGCCCAAGGCCGCCAACGAACACGATGACGGTCTTCTCGAATATCTGGAGGATATTATCGGCACTTCGAAGTACAAGACGCCCATTGAGGAATCTGCGACCGAGGTCGAGACTCTCAACGAAATCTGCATGGAAAAGAGCGGCCGCGTTCAACACGTCGAGAAGGAGAAGAACGGCCTCGAAGACAAAAAGAACAAGGCTATTGCATACATCCGCGACGAGAACGAGCTCACAACAAAGAAGTCTGCGCTGTACCAGCTCTACATTGGCGAGTGCAACGACAACGTTGCTGTTACAGAGGAGGCCATTAGCCAGATGCAGGCGCAGCTCGACGATGAGTTGGAGAAGCACCATGGCGGCGAGAAGGTCATCAAGGAGCTCCAAAAGTCATACTCTCGTGGAAGCAAGGAGTTTGAGGCGCAAGCAAAAGAAACTGAGGCCCTTGTTAAGGAGATGGCTAAGTTCGAGCAAGAGCGCGTCAAGTTTGACGAGAAGAAGAAGTTCCTCAACGACAAGCAGAAGAAGCTGGATAAGACCATCGCCAACGCCGAAAAATCCGCTACCGAAGCGGATGAGACCATCGCCCAATGTGCCGAGGAGATTGAGACCCGTGCTCAAGAGATCGCGTCACTCGAGATCAGAGTGCAAGAAGAGGAGGCGGAGCTCGCGACTATCCGTGACGCCCTCAAGGGCAAGACTCAAAAGTTCTCCGACCAGATTGCAGTCAAGCAAAAGTCATTGGAGCCGTGGAAGGAGAAGATCAACCAAAAGCAATCGGCCATTGCTGTTGCAGAGAGCGAGATGAACATCCTCGAGGAGAAGGCCAATGCCGGTGCTGTGGCCATTTCTGAGACGGAGGCAAAGATTGCTGCCATTGAGGATGCTCGTGCTGCCAAGACTGAGGAGCTCAAGGAATGCCAGGCCGAGAAGGCCAAGCTGGAGGAAGAGAGAAAGGAAGCTGAGCACGAGCTGACACGATTCAATGCCCACGAACCCAAGATTCGCGCAAAGGTGTCTAACGCCAGACAGAAGGCGGACGAGGCTCGCTCAAGTTTGTCTAAGACGCAGACTCAGGGCAACGTTCTCACCGCTCTGATGCGCATGCGCGAGTCCGGTCGTATCGACGGATTTCACGGAAGACTCGGTAATCTGGGCGCAATTGACCAGAAGTACGACGTGGCCATCTCCACAGCCTGCGGCGCCCTCGACAACTTCGTCACCGACACCGTCGAAGCTGGTCAGCAATGCATTGAGTACCTTCGCAAGACCAACTTGGGTCGTGGTAACTTTATGTGTTTGGACAAGCTGAGAGTCCGAGACATGAACGCCATTCAGACCCCCGAAAATGCGCCTCGCCTCTTTGATCTGGTCAATCCCAAGGAGGAGAGGTTCCGGCCAGCATTCTACCACGCCCTTCAAGATACCCTTGTGGCCAACGACCTGGCCCAGGCCAACAGGATCGCCTACGGTGCCAGGAGATGGCGTGTGGTTACCTTGGCCGGCGAGCTGATTGACAAGTCTGGTACCATGTCTGGTGGTGGTACAACTGTCAAGCGAGGTCTGATGTCTTCGAAGCTCGTTGCCGAGACTTCCAAGGAACAGGTCTCGAAGCTTGAGGAAGACCGCGATGTTCTCGAGGAGAAGTTTCAAGACTTCCAGGAGCAGCAGCGTAAGCTTGAGACAAGAGTGCGTGAACTCAACGATCAGATCCCTATGCTCGACACCAAGATGCAGAAGATCACTCTTGAGATCGATAGCGCGGCTCGGAACCTGGCCGATGCTCATCGTCGCATCAAGGAGCTGAGCAAGGAGCACCAACCCTCCGCCTCGGATAACAACCGCATCGCGGCTCTTCGCAAGGAGATTGCTAAGCTCAACAAGGAGGTCGAGAAGCTCCATGACGAGACATCTGGAGTTGAGGAAGAGATCAAGGCTCTCCAAGACAAGATCATGCAGGTTGGTGGTGAGAAGCTGCGCCTGCAGAAAGCCAACGTCGATTCTCTGAAGGAGGAGATTGTCTCTCAAAACGAGGAAACATCCAATGCCGAAGTTCGCAAGGTCAAGGCTGAGAAGCAAAAGACTAAGCTTGAGAGAGACCACGCTAAGGCCACCAAGGATATTGAGGTGGCGATCCGCGATCTTGAGAAGCTCGAGCATGAGATCGAGAACCAAGGCGAGAAGGCGGAGTCTCTTCAAGGCCAAGTCGACGAGGCCGAGGAGGGTTTGGCAGCTAAGAAACAAGAGCTCACATCCCTCAAGGCCGAGCTCGATGAGAAGACCGCCGAGTTGAATGCTACTCGGGCTAGCGAGATCGAGATGCGCAACAAGCTTGAGGAGAACCAGAAGGTCCTGACTGAGAACCAGAAGAGACTCATGTACTGGAACGACAAGCTGTCCAAGCTGGTGCTTCAGAATGTGGACGACCTGACTGGAACCTCCAACCCTGCTCCCAAGGCCACCCCTGCTCCGACAGCTGCCGAAGGAGAGGATGACGCAGAAGCGGACGGTGACAAGACAGTGACCCAGGACGCCGTCACTGGCGAGGACTCCCAGCCATCCGCCGAAGCCGAGGATGAGGGCGAGGAGGAAGAGTCTGACGAGTCTCAGCTGCCATCTCAGCCAAGCAGTCAAGCACTCGAGCTTCCCGTCTACACTCCTGATGAACTCGCGGACATGAGCAAGGAGAAACTCAAGGGGGAAATTGCAGCCCTCGAGGAGAAGACACAAAATGTCAACGTCGATCTCGGTGTTCTCGCCGAGTACCGCCGTCGTGTTGAGGAGCACGCCGCCCGCTCATCCGACCTTCAGACCGCCGTCAACCAACGCGACGCCGCCAAGAAGCGCTGCGACGAACTCCGTCGCCTGCGTCTGGAGGGCTTCATGGAGGGTTTCAGCACCATCTCTCTCCGCCTCAAGGAGATGTACCAAATGATTACCATGGGTGGTAACGCCGAGCTTGAGTTGGTCGACTCCCTCGACCCTTTCAGCGAGGGCATCCTCTTCAGTGTCATGCCCCCGAAGAAGTCGTGGAAGAACATCAGCAACTTGTCTGGTGGTGAGAAGACGCTCAGCAGTTTGGCGCTTGTCTTCGCTTTGCACCACTACAAGCCGACGCCTCTGTACGTCATGGACGAGATTGACGCTGCCTTGGATTTCAGAAACGTAAGTTCATGCCCTCGCCAATGATTCTCTGCCACCCTTCATCCTTGCTAACTTTGCCCTTTTCAGGTCTCAATCGTCGCCAACTACATCAAGGAGCGCACGAAAAACGCCCAGTTCATTGTCATTTCGCTCCGAAACAACATGTTCGAGCTGGCTGCCCGTCTTGTTGGTGTCTACAAGGTGAACCACATGACGAAGAGCGTGACGATCGAGAACCAGGACTACATCGTGCGGACGCGCGTGCAGGGCCAAGGTCAAGGCCAGATACAGCAAGCCACGCAACAGACGACGATGGCGCGATGAGGCGACGTGAGGAGGAGAGAAGGAGAGTCTTACGAATGATGGGTTCATTGCTATTTTGCGCGCGTTTTGAGTTGATCATGCCTGTTAATATTGTCGCCCCCTTGGGGGGCCCTGGGTTGGTTCTTTGTGTGTCATCGGTATAATGACTGTACGAGGGGAGGCGCATCATGGATGTAATGATTGAAAAGAAAATTGGAGGCTTTTCTGGCTTTGTTCTACATGTCTTGTCAGACTTGAGTGTGTTCTCATCTTTCGCCTTGGCGCGTGATTGCTGTGAGTGAACCCCTCTACCTTTAGATTGTGTCGCCTTTCGCTTCTTGGGTTATTCTTGTTGAACCTCAAGTGCGTGATCTTGTCCCCCTCATTTACTCTTCTCTGTCTCATTCTGGGAGATGACACAAGGTTTTGATCGAATTTCCGCTTGATAAGGAGATGTGAATCAGCAATATTCGCTTGGCGAACGGCACTCATGCCGAGACTGTTTCTTGAACTCTCACGAGATGGGACCGTGGGCTTAATGATGAGGATGGCTGAAACGACAGTTGTCTATCAGCCCGATCCAACGAGCGCTTAAATTGGGCCTCGTGGGCATGAATCGAAGTCTATCGAAGACACAAACGTGGTAGAATACGGTGATTGAATACGAGCCGTAGTGCAGCTCGGCGCTGTCAGTTTGGTACCTGCATGATCTTGATGGCGTACCACGTTGGTCTCGGATGCGCATACAGCTGAGCAGCACGAGGTGAGTATGGTGTACCGCGGAAGAGCTGGGCCCGACGTTGGACAGTACCTAGTCAGTGGTACTGTAATGCTTTGGTGGCCGATTTCTGGGAGCGATGGCATCACAGCGACAGTGCTTCGTGTTGTTGCTATTGCTGACTCCTAATCTCTCACCGAGGCACTGGAACAGGGCCCAAAGGATGAGTAGTCCAATGCTCGTGGTTGTCTCGGCATTGTGGTCTACTCTCGGAATAGCGGCATGAGAGAACCAACTTGCGATACGTGAAGGTATTGTGAGCCGAGCTCATTACATCCTGTATAAAGGTCTCAGGAGAGTTGAGGTACTGAAGCCTGAGGGCGACGAGAAAACCTCAACGGGATTAGAGGCCGACGAAGCTCGACAGCCTCCGCCCTCAACCCTCGCTCAGTTGGTCTCTTTTCTTTTTCTATCTGACTGCTCTTGCCTCCTTTTCTGATTTCTCAGCCTGAAGCCCAAGATCATTCGTTATCATGCTTGTCTCATCTCTCATTCTTCTCGCAGGAGGCGCGGCAATGGCTGTGGCAGATGGGTGCCACGGTGATAACCTCCTCCGTGCCATGGAGCGGCATAACGAAACGATGTACTGCTCCATGCTCCTGGAATCTGGTGACGCCACTGCTACGCTGAGTCTACCAGATCCTATCCCGACGAGTTATCCTGCTCTCTCCGTGACATCCGCAGTAAGTTGCATTTTCCTCATATGAGAAATCAGTTGTTGTGAAGAATCAAGTACTAACAAGCTGCAGTGTTCCTGTCTTCTAGCTCTTGAAGAGACGCCTTGGGCGCCTTGCCATGCAAATGCGACGGCAACGCCGGCAGCCGATTACTCTACTGAGATCGATGACCCTGGATCAACTGACGCAGCTTCAGCCACGGTCGTTTCGAATACCCAAAGCATCCCAACCGCCCACGCAACTTTCGACGGAGGCTACTCGTATTCCTTCCCCGGCCCAGCCATTCCATCCGAGACAGCTCCAACATGCGGCTGGGGCGAGGTGACCGCCACAGTCCAAGTCACGGAGACGCAAGTCAGCACAATCTACATCTACAGCTCAGGAATCCCAAACACAAGCAGCGCGCAGAGACTATCGTCCGTCAGCGATGGTGACAGCGGTGGCAGGCCTGCCCCGCTTCCTACGACGAAGACTATTACTGGTGAAGCTAGCGGGAGTGCGCCGGGGATCGTGTCGACGGTGACGTTGATCGGGGACTCTACTGTTGTTTTGCCTACGCAAACCGGCAAGACGATTGAGTCGACTGCAGCTGTGCCGAGGGTGACTACTATTATCAGCGGGAACTACACGACAGTCAATACCATTTCTGGAGGCGAGTCTGAGTCGAGTTCTACGAAGTCTATGGTGAGAATCACTTCGGTCATTAATGGGGTTACGACGACCATCACTGGAGCTCCTGAATCGTCTTCGATCAGCAGTCTCACGAACACGTTACCTGATGGAGCGTCTTCTTGGAGTCTTTCTTGGATTTCTAGCACTCCTGGTGCTCCTAGCCACCCAATAACAGTCGGTACGCCCATTGTTCCACCTGCAGCCACCACAATCACGAGTAATGTCGGCGGTGTGGCATCGACTTGGGTCATTACGCTCGGCAGAAGCACCAGCGTCGGTCCATTTGCTAACAGCAGCACACCTACTCAACCTCCGACCCTCTCGGAAACCACTTCGGGTGCCTTGACTGTCTTCACAAGCATCATCAATGGGGAGGCTTCAACGTGGACCGTGATAGACGGCTCGACTTTTGTCGGCTCTCCCGATTCGACCTCAGTCACGTCCACGCCAAGCCCCTCTCAGACTGCTGAGGTTAGCATCATCACAAGCGTTATTGGAGGGGTTGCTTCTATCTGGACGGTGATCGGAGGGTCAACCGTTGGATTTCCGTCAAATGGGAGCGCAGTTCCAACGCCTAGCCCGACTTCATCTGCAACAGAGACTGGCGCATTCAGCGTCATCACAAGCGTGATTGGTGGTGTCGGCTCAACTTGGACGGTCATCGGAGGTTCAACGCTCGTTGGCTCTTCAACTCCAAGTGCTACCCCATCTGTAATCACGAGTATCATTGATGGAGTCGCTTCATCGTGGACTGTAATCGGAGGTTCTACCATCTTCGCAAACCCCAGTGGCACACCACCGACTCCAACGGTATCTGGGGATGCCACGGTAATCACGAGTGTGATAGGAGGGGTCGGGTCAACCTGGGTTGTTATTGGAGGCTCGACTATCGCGAACCCAACAAATGCCACGGGCTCGATTCCTACACTGACCACAACTGGAGATGCTGTGGTTATCACCAGCATCATCGGAGGTATCGCCTCTTCATGGACGGTCATTGGAGGCTCAACAGTCAGTCCCGTACCAAGCGCTACGACTGCTCCATCTGATCTGCCACCTGGTGCGAGCGTTGTTACCAGCGTCATCGGGGGAGTTGCTTCTTCATGGACGGTAATCGGGGGCTCTACCATCAGTCCGATTCCAAGTCCACATTCTGCTTCGGGCGAACTACCACCCGGCGCAACTGTCATAACGAGCGTTATTGGGGGCATCGCGTCGTCCTGGACAGTAATCGGAGGCTCAACCATCTTCGCTTCATCCAACACCACTGCAGGATCTCCCACCGCAACCGCTACTCCGACAGTCTTTACTAGTGTCATTGATGGTGTGGCTTCAACGTGGACAGTCGTCGGCGGTTCGACCATCTTTGGTACCCTGACGCCAGGCTCTTCGAATCTGATAACACCGACAGCTATCAGCCTGACCGGCGGCGCCACGTTCGTGAGCACTCTCAATGGTACAGCCCCAACAGCGGGTAGCTCATCATCCACGACTGGTTTCCCATCTGCGCCAGCAAGTACCTCGGCGACCTCAACTTCCAGTTATGACTCCGCTTTCACGGGTATCTCGGTCGTTGTGGCGCAGAACGCGACTTCGTGCTACGCCCTGCCTACACACACAGCATCGCTGCACGAGTCACTCCTGAACGTCACTGACCGTACTCCTCCATACATCAACGCGTTCTACCTCAATGAGACTACGCACTCCGTTCAATACCTCCGCCTGATAGACAATGCCACCAACCCAGTTCTTGTCGACGTCTCCGACCCATCAAGACTTGGAATCGTTGACAAAGCCGGCAACGTGCTCTCAATCGACAGTGAGGGCTTGCACTTTGCCTCCGCAAATTGCTCGCCCAAGATTGACGTCTTTATCTCTGTTTTCTTTCAGCAACTCAACACCTTGACGAATTCAACCTGTAACAACACAACCGATATCCCAGTCAACGGCACAGATCCGCGCCGTCTTCCCGTTTTCAAAGGGACGTTGGCCGAGATGGCACAAGACGCATTCGACATCACTCTGCATCTCAAAGACCAGTGCGGGAACCCTGCCCGTGCTGATCTACCGGTATCAGTCGCGTTAGGTGATACCCGATGCATTGTCCTCCCAGGTGCCGCGGGAGAGTTTGTCGCAAATTGCGCATTCCCCGGAAGCGGGAGCGATTCCATGGAGTGTGAGACGTCGGTTCAACAGACTCTGGATCATTTGACGCAGGGATCTCTGGTGGGGAGCTGTCCGCCCCTCACATCGGTATGGAGTCTGCTATTCCAGCAACTAGGCAGCGTCGTCAACGTTGACGAACTTCTCCAGCCCTTCGTTGATGCTGGATTACAACTTCTGGCTGTCATTGATAGCTTTATGGATCTTTACGACTTCTCGGCTGCAACGTTCAAGAACTCGACTTCGGGCTCTGGATCGGGTCTAGGTGATATTGTTGAGGGATACGGTGTCACGACTATCAAAACGGAAGTCTGCCGTTCTCTCATCTCGACTGAGACGTTGAACCTCACTTTCACGGCCGGAACCTCCGCAACACCCATCTCACTCGCAAACATAACGGCCCTACCCTCAACGGTCTCAGAGTACGAGCGCAATGTTACGGATCCGACAGCACTTGCATGCTGCCCGAATGCAAACGCTTGCATCGTTCACGATGGGGAACGATTTTACCCACCTGAAGCCTCCATTCCTGACTCTGACTGCCTCTGCGGCAAGACTCTGGAGGGCGGGGGTATTGGGTTTCGGACGGGAAGATGCGTCGGGTATGATCAGTGTAACTCGACGTCTCCCTGTGCTGGAGGTGGTGTATGTCTGGTTGAAAACTGTTGTGGCTTTAATGTCTGTGTGAATGGGACGGAGTGCTCTGCTCCAAAGGCCGGTGGGATGCGGGTGAATCTGTTTGGGACGGAGACTTCCGGAGGGCTTTTCTGATTGTTTAGTCATATTTAGCACTTCTTACCATCTTACTGATTTTGCAAATGACAAGTACAGCTGCTAGAACGCTTCAGGCGAGGACAGGACACAATCATCTTAACCGAGTCCTTTCTCACTTGTGTTAGTTAGCTCATCTACTTCTTGTAAAGTCGTTGCACGCAAGAGCTCTTGTGGCTAATATTGAGCCGCTGCACCCATAACGATGTACCTTAGGACAAATATCCGTATGCACGTCGATTTAAGCTACCCTTTTGACACTGGACCGATACCCCATTCGAGCGATCGGGTTAGCCCGCAGCTACATGGTCTGCATGCGGTAAGACTCATGTAGCCCATGCAGCTGACGAATCCACGACATCCTGGACTGGCATCGTCATTCTCCCCATGTTGTTTCTAGCCAATAGAGCAACAGCATTGGGTGCGGATTTCTAAGCTGACAGGAAGCCTGCAGAAACGCGCTTTTGTCCGTTTGCCCGGCACGCGAGACCTGTCGCTTCACTACACTAGGCCAGGGGTAGCATCCTTTCGTTTGCAACCACCGCGAGATAAGATTGATGAGCAATCATTTAGAAGTCCGGCGATTGAGCTGTCGCGAGAAGCGAAGAGGCGAAGTTGAATATGCACATTGTCTATTTCCAGGATGAAAATTGGCTTTCATGCGTGATGATTTGGAGATATAAGGAAGATGATGTCTCCTTGTTCTTCCGGGTCTTTTGAAGGATTATCAACAACTTTAACATCATCTAGTATCAATACATACACTACTACCACTACTATCATATACCGACAATACAAGCAAGTATTCTTACCAAGTGTCGACAAGCAGAACCCACACATTATCTCTCCAACCATGTCTAGTGATTCGCAGTCAACTAGGGCGATCCTCGTGACTGGTGCAACCGGCAAGCAAGGCGGCGCCGTCATCAATGCACTGCTAGAGTCAGAAACTGGCAGCTCTTACAAAATCATCGCCGTTACTCGGAATATTGCTTCTTCCAAAGCCAAAAGCTTAGCATCGCGTGGGGTCATCGTCGTTCAAGGCGATCTCAACGACGTTCCTGCTATCTTCTCCGACGCCAAAGCAGCTTTGAGCTCCTCAAATACCGAGATTTGGGGCGTGTTTAGTGTGCAAGTTCGTATATAAATCCTAGACTATTTAGTTTGTGTTGCTAACGGAAGTTTAGACGGCCATCGGCAAGGGAGCATCGGCAGAGCTCGAAGAAGCCCAAGGCAAGGCGCTAGTCGATGCGGCTCTATCCAACAATGTCAAATTCTTCACATACAGCTCCATAGACCGAGGTGGAGACGGCTCATACGATAACTACGTCCCTAGTGTATCTCACTTCGTCAGCAAATATCGCATCGAACATCACCTAGTCGAAAAGGCACATGGCAAGATGGACTGGACCATCCTTCGACCTGTTGCATTTATGGAAAACATGGAGCCTGGAATGGGTATCAAGATCATGGCTACATCGTGGCGAGTCGCGGTTAAGGAGAAGCCTCTTCAGCTGGTTTCGGTCAAGGATGTAGGGCGAGCCGCCGCGAAAGCATTCCTCCAACCCCAAGACTTCGCCGGCAGGGAGATTCCCTTGGCTGGCGACGAGCTTACGCTGGAAGCTGCTAGTGCCATCTTCAAGTCTAGGAAGGGGACAGAAATCCCAGAGACGTTCCAGTTTCTGGTCAGATTCCTGCATTGGATGATCCCCGAGTTTGGTGCAATGTACAGATGGTTTTACACTGATGGCTTTGGGATCGATATCGCAGCCGCGAAGCGAGAGAATCCAGGGGTGCTGGATTTTGGTTCTTGGGTTGAGGAAGAATACGATCAGGATGGGAAGCGAGTCTGATATAGAACTGGGCACAGGTCCGAAATACTGAGACTGAGAAAGAAAGAGCGGGATGATTTGTGACGTTCAAGTAAGCTACAGCCAAGGCGACGGGGGTTAATTCATGTTCAACTAATGATAGAATAGCGCTTGATTTGTATCCTTGACATGGGGAAGTCGTTTCCTTGCTTCGTAGCCAGTCCCAGTGATCCATTCAACTTGATTCCCAACACAAGTTCAAAGATGATGCGATATGTAAATTCGGGGGAGACACATCAGATAAAAACAAGACTGCTTAATCTATTCGATACTCTGGCGCCAGTACTTGGCGCATCATGTCACATTCTTCCCTCCAAACCCTACTGAGATCCGTCGCGTACGTTCATTTCTCCTTTTCTAGATCCGAAGCATCCAAGGCCCGCTGATCTAATATTCGGCCAACATGGGTTTTGTCTATCGATTCACAATTCCTTCGAACTTTCATCAATATCGTTTTGAAGAACTGAATGAGGGACCCCCGATTCATGATTTTATCCGAATCAACCTCAAAACCATCTAGGGCAGCCATATGTGTATCCTCCGAGTCCAAGGTAAGGAATCTTCGCAAGTCCCGATAATCATCCATCGACTTGATATAAAGCTGACCGGAGAAAAGGTTGAGCTCTGTTACTAGTTGTTGACACAGAGTCCGGGGAACTGGCTGGTGCGGAACAACATAAAGATCCAACCCATCCAAAGGCCGGAAGCCCAGATTCGGTCGCGCGGCGTAAATATGAAGAGATACCACACTAGATCTTTCAATTTCGGGCAAAAGCTCTTGGGCTTCGTGGGGACTGATGATCGCTGCAGCTGTGACTTCCGCCGTCTTTGACGCACTGATGATAATCCATTGAACTGACCTCTGGAAAAGATCTGAGACATAACCATTGCCCAAAGGGACGATTGGCCGGGCAAAGTCTGCGGTAACCAAAAGGCCCCGTGGGATCCGGCGGACGTCGTACTCCTTGGCAGCACTAGTCTTTGCGAAAGACTTGAAGGCAGGCAGGAATCCCCCTGACTCTCTTTTGACCACTCCATGGGAGACGAATGCGCGGACGTCGGGGTGTATGGCGTGCTGTGCAGGCTTTGCTGCAGGCGGTCTCTGAACCTCCCTTTCCTGCTCCACTTCTGGCGACAGCTCTCTCTCTTGTTCTTCTCTAAAACTGGTAGATTCCGGATTTAATCCTCCGAATTGGAGTAATCTTTCGGTAATGGCGTCGACATTGCCTCTATGGCTTTCGTGTTCCCCTCCTGATGCGGACTGGCAGATAGGCTTGTATCGTGTTTCAAGTGTCTGCGCTTCTTCTTCCAGAAATTTTTCTGCGTGTGTCTTGCTCAAAAGCGTTGCGTCGTCCATCATTGCTTCCTCCCAGAGAAGCTCCTGGTTTTGATAGCGACGGCCTTGGTTCGCCCACAGCCATATCCCACGGTGTAAGTCTTTGAACGTATCCATAATGGACCACTCTAGTATGTGATCCACCTGCAAGATATTGTTGCCGAGATGAAAGGCAGAGGATATCTTCTGATTGATCTCGTCTGGGACGCAAAATACCACAGACTGACCTTTTCCCAACTTCCTCATTCGCATACAAGCTGATCCATTCTTAGTAGTCATCCAGACAATTTGAAATCGCCTAGCAATGCTCACCTTGAACCAATCTGTCCTTCGTTAAATTTGCTCCCAGTGTAACCGCCGCTCGATAGGTCTCCGGGAGTTTCAAGTCTGTGCCTCGAGTGTGAGCTTCGTCGAGAAAGACTAGACAGACGTCGGTCTGAGTGGCAAAAGGCGAGGTCTGGAAACTTTCGATCCGTCCTTTGCGGTCAACAACACGAATGTGATCATCCTCGTCGCAGAAAATGACAGCTTGTGTTTTATCATTGTCCACTGTCATCTCGAGCCACCGTTTTGCAACCATGATGTTGTCAAGTTCCAAAATCTGAGCCCCGACGTCGAGAATGACCCGCGCCGGAGGTTCCAGCTTAACGACCATCTCTAAGAGAGTCTCCGCATCTGACTTCGATGCTGCCTTTGTCGATGGCATCAACGCCACGGAGTTTTCTTCCTGAAGAAGGCACTCCAGTACTAGAGCGTTGGTATGCTTTTGGTCGGGGAGGTCAAGTTGTTTGACACTCAAGGGAAGGAAAGCACGAGAGTCGTTTGTTCCACTGAAGCCTGTGGTAGGGTTCGCCGTCTCCTTGCCGATGTCCCAGCCTGAGGCTGAAAGCTTGTAGGGGAAAGCCCTCACCTCCTTAGGGAACACAATATGCTGCAGGAAGTAATCAATCGTCCCTTTTGCGTAGCGGATGCAAGGAAAGATCTGTCTGACGCACTGACCGTCATCTAGATTGATGCCTGATAGCTGATGGAATGATGCCGGCAAATGATCGCTGTCCTCCACCCAAACACAGTATTCCATGTCCGCCTGATCAGAGTGCAGAAGGTGCTCGAAAGTCTGATGAAGTTGTGCATCATTCAGTCCGCCGTAGTAGTAACTTAGCGATGTGAGCGTGATGATAACGTCCGGGTGGCTGAATTCAGATCGAGCGCTCGGTTTGTCTTTAGCCTTGTAAGGTACTGCAAGTCTAGTTCCCGGCTCGCGCGTATAGTCTAAACCATATTCAACCCGCCATCGCTTTTGACAAAATACAAAACTGAAGATCTGACAGGCAATAAGCCCTCTGAGTAGAAGAAGGGTGTTTTTGGTGGCTGGTGACCAAATCATGGATGACTCAACCTCCAAAGCTTCCGCCGACGTTAGGTTGAACTTGGTGATGTATGTGTAAACAGCTTGCTGCAGTGAGCGTGACTGAGTACTCATTGGAAGACCAGCTAAGCCAGCTTCACTGAGATGACGTGCAATAACGCTGAGCAAAGCATCCCTGGCGCCTTCCCGCAAGATGCGTGTCCGAGGGAAGCCGCCGTTATGACTGCTAGACACTTCGATCGAAGTAGGATCGGCCTCCCGGGCCGCCGAAAGGAACCTTCTCATCACCCCAAGAACTTCATGGATGCACACCCACCGATTCGGGCTGTGCTCTACTGGCTGCTGAGATCCCATCGTATAGACCAGTTCGAATTTGACATTGAAGTTCTCGTCGCTCTCATCCACGATGTTACGGGAGAATTCGTCGAGAAACTGTTGCGACCTAATCAGTGACTGACTGACATCGCCTTTGCCTGCGATAGCGGTTTCAAACCCCATGAGCTGGAAGGAGAGGATGTGTTCGGGCTGAATGAGAAGAACGCCCTTGGACTCCATACACCGTTTGAAGAGTGTGTGAATGGTCTTGGCTTCAGAAAGACCGATCTTGAGTGCCCTTGAAAACGGCATGCGATAGACTTGTCGTTGGATCAAACCGCCCCCGAGCGTGTCGTCTAACATTTGATCCATCTGCTTCGACTGAGCCTTCGCCACAATGGTTCTCACCATCTGTGAACCGTTGGCGGTAGCGGCAGCGACCATGGGAAGAATCACTGAAGACTTCCCCTCCCCCATGTTCAATTGCATTACTGCATTCTGCCCTGCTGGAGGGTCCCTCATCTGGCCAGCAATCCGCTCCTGGACATCCCGAACCATGATCCCGCTCTCAATTTCCAACAACAGGGTATCAGGGTGGTCTTCAGGGGACCAATTCCTGTGGCCAGAGTTCTGTAACTCGTTTGTCAATGCGATGGCATCTCCTGAGGATGCTAGCATGCGCTCGGCTCGCTGAAGTTGTGTGACAGCAATCCCATATTGAACAATGTACTTCCTCCATGTGATTGGAGTGCGATCTCGATGCAAATGATTGAGCCTTCGCAAAAGTAGAAGGGGTGAAAATCTTGGTCGTTGATAAAAGTTGTGAATGTTTGTGGCAGAATTAGCGCCGTTCTGACCAAAAAGAGCGATCTCGATGAGATTTTGAAGTTTCTGAACGTGACTTTTGCACTTGTGATAGTAATCCAACAAAGTAGGGACCACCGCCTCGTAACATGGCTTGATAAACACCTCGGTCGACTGGTGATACTGTAGAGCCTCGAAGCTTGACCTCAGTCCAATGACGTATTGCCTTTCGTATTGATCAAGTTGCCTATTCTCAAATCTGGAGAGCAATTTCGGTAGCTTGAACTCCTTTGCAATTCCACGTGCATGTTTCTGGGGCTCAAAGATAGAATCGTGATCTAGGATAATGAGTCGCTCACTGACGGAACATGGTGTCGTTTCTCGGAATAAATCGTCTTCGTTCAGGCATCGCTGATGTCGAACTAATACGCGAGACGTTATCTCTGGAGTTGACAACCGAGGCTCCACGAGCAGCACAGGCCTGACGTCGCATGGTAGGAGGCCAGCGATAGCGCTCAGATGGGCATCGAACTGAAGATTATTGTACCAACTCTTAAACAACGCTGTAATGCCAGGGAGGGCTGCGTCCACGTGGACGTACGTTTCCCACTTCTTCCTGTCGGGGTGATGCCGTGGTATCGTAGGAACACTGCAAGGCCACTGTGCTTCAAGAAGTTCTCCCAGGACTGCGACTGAGTTCTTTGTTTTCCGACTGTAATGTTCTTCCTGTCGTGCCCTGAATTCCCAATTCGACTCTAGATCTGATTCTTTCTGCTTCATCCTGGCTTCAGGGCATTGAGAGAGCGGGACGAGATGTTTTTGAAGGCAACTTCGAATCCTCGCGGCGACAAAGCTCCTCCCCTCAGAAAGATCAAAGTGGTCTGCAACCGGTGACACTATCTCGGCAAATTTGCCTCTCAAGTGGAATGAGGCTAGGGCCTGGATGATCGTCATATCTGCTTTCTTGAAGAATGCCACTGTCGCCAGCCATATCATCAGGCGGTGCTTGTTGACGTCCCTTTTCAAAGACTTCTGCATCGTCAGGAAATTGCGTGCGATGAATTGAGATGTCCTAGATAAAAGTTCGGGATTGTAGGCTATCTCCTTGGTCGACAGAGCGTGGGCGCCACCATTTACTGGACCGTTACTCTGGAGGAAGTTCCATAAGTAGCCTTGGAGTCCATGAGGCAAGCGCTCGACAAGAGACGGGGTCTGGCGGGATATTAAACTGGCTACCATGAATGCTTGGGATTGTCGCTGAGAGCTGCGTCGATCTCTGGCCGAATAGTCGATGTCGTCGTGCTCTAGGCTTTGACTCTCAGCACCAAATCCAGATACTCGGAATGTCGACGAGCGAAAGTTGTCACGCTCAAGGAGGAAGCGATCTGTGTGATCCAGCTTTGGTGGACTGAAATATAGCTGAGGATGGAAGAACTTCAATTCTTCTGCTTGTTGAAGAATAGAGTGGACAGAGTTATAGAATAAACCATGCTGAGACAGAAAGCTCAATTCCGGCGACCATCCCACAGTCTGCATGACCCGTTCATGTGCAGGATAGTATGTCCTACTCGGCGTCAGCTCAGCAAGTTGGCCCAGCAAAGCAACATTCTCGCGAGTAAGGACGTGGGAGGACCTGATGGATGCTGAGTCGAGAATGTTGAGGGCTTCCTCTGTGCCAGTTTTGCCTGTCAAAGGGTCTGGTATTCCAAATGATGTTAAAGCGTGGAGATAGCATAGGAATAGCTTGCTCTGCAGGTTGCCTCTGAGTACAAGCCTTCCAAGTCTCGCGTCCACGTCGTACTGGTGCACACAAGCTGCCTTGCCTTTCTCGATGCAGACCTGGACGTGCTCTCCAGACTTCTGGTGGGACACACGTCCCTCAAGAACGAGAACTTTGCGACCAGGAGTGATGGCAGCATGGCAAGGCTGGTCGACCCGTAGAACGAGCTTGTCTTTTAGGCCTACCAAAGTACCAATGGATTGATTCGCGTCCACGGACATCCCTCGGTACTGTCTTGACATCAACGATGTCTCCCCAGACTGGCACGTAAACTCGAGCCGAGCTTTGGTGAGGTCCACAAATAAAGATTCATCCGTCTTTCTGTGAACGATATGGATTGAGTACTGGTCTTCGAGTGGGCGAAAAATTGTGGATATTGCCTTGGCGGACTGGCTGTTGACATCTATCAAATATGTGCCGTCTTTCGCAAGCGTCCATCTATCTTCAGGAGCTGGGACCAGTCTCCAGTGCGATTGACCATGTTTCCATGGATTTGATTTCTGGCAGAACTCTACGCAGTTCCTATCGTAGTCGTACCAATGGACATAATCGTCGACAAACTTGGTGGGAAACTTCCCCGCGAGAAGGCGTCTTGGGATCAAATCAAACCGTTGTTGATTGTGATAGGCCTGCACCAAGAGGTCAGACTCTCCGTGCCTGAGATTCTGACTGATGCCCAAGTGTATCACATGGCCCGCATACTGTCTTTTCGCCGAGAACCGCATCCCTTGAATCGATGTTGGCATGATCTCTAAAGACATATGCCCAAACAGGCCCTGGTAAGAAAGGTGATTGAGGTAACTCGGCGGAAGATGGTCCAGTGGAACACCATTAACCAACAGTTCCCCAGTAATAAGGTTGTAGCTGATTGCCATTTGGCCAGTTTGGGAAGTAGTAGTACTGGCCAACCAAGAGCTGTGTTTCTCTGAGAGGGCATTCCACTTATGGCTAGGCTCGTACGCGGACCATGCTGCAGAAATGGCATCGTCAAGTGCGAAGCTCTTGCAAGATAGGATCATCTTGGCCAAGTAGCCCCAGTGCAAATAGGAAGTCTTTTGCCAACGGCAGTAAAGTTGTCGAACAAATGCGTCTGAAGACTTTAGGAGTATCTGCGAGCCCTCTTGTATGGCGAAAGAACACTGGAAGAAGAGTGAGGTACTCCGAGTCGTCGAAAAGATTGCCTCTTGAAAGTTCTCATCGACGTTGAACGAGTCCGCGCATATCAGCGCCACCTCTAGCGATCGACGTTGCAGGTTGAGCCGTTCCCTGTCGCCAGAAATATTCTGACTCATGATCTTAAGGCTACGCGCCCATGAAAATGCAATGTTTCTTGCTTCCGCCAAGCACTCAAGACACTTCTGTTGTATTTCCGTATCCTGAGACAGTGAGAGCAGACGACGAGATACTCCCGTGAATGACGCCAATGCTGTTGACGACTGCCAATTTTCTTTAAACCGCTGCATTGCCTCTGTAACGCCCTCCAACATTATGCTTGAAAATAATTTCTCTCTGCATATTGAATGAGAGCTTCTCAATGCATCTTCTCCTTCCGGCCCAGCTTGATAGATGCACTGTTGAATTATGAGCCCTGTCTCCCTCTTCTTGAAGTCTATAGTCGACGCAAATAGTTGACGAAGAATGTTCATCCACTGGATGCTGTGACCAAGTGGAATTGAAGCAAGCTCCTTATACTCTTCGAGTGTCATTCCTTCGGGACAGTCCTGCAGCGTTGCGATGACGGTGTTGGGAGTCGGACCGCTTGGATTTGAAGAAGGGCGGAAGAGAAACTGTTGCAAAGCTTCGGAGGCCTTTGGCAAGCGATATGTGCATTTCTCAGCCACCTCGTCGGATAACTCAAAAGACGAGATAAAGCAGCCTCTTCTGTCGTCGAAATAGGCGAGGTTCAACCCATTGTCAAGTAGGACACTGGACTCGGTAGCCGTTCCCAGGGAGACTGATCTCCTATGCGTTGACATGTGAGGTTTGTCTTGAGACAGAAGTCCTATGTGCTGTGACTCGACGTTGTGATTATAGAATCTCGAAAGAGCTTGATAATTCCTCAGTGGGAAGTTCGCACGGGGCCGCTCCGATGTTTTCATGTGTACCTTGAGAACGTTGAATAGCATGTACATGCTAGCCTCTCGCCAGTAGCCGAATGACTTTGGGACCGATAACTCAAATACTGTAGACTTCGCCGTAGTCACGTTCTTAGGCAGTGGCCACTCGTGAACATCGATTTTCAGTCCATCAGCCTGCTTTTTGTATGAGCAACGTGAGCAATTTCTGCTGTGAACGTCGACGTATGTGTAGTGCCTGCTTGAAAGCGTTCGGTGATAATCGCAAGAAGTGTTCCGGTGCCGTTGCATCAGCGACTCATGATGGCTTTTCAATTTTCGCAACTGTTGTATTTTGGCTTCTCGATCGCGAGTAGCCTTTTCTTCGATAGAACTCTTGAGTTGCTGATGTAGATACGAATCATCAAAGAACCGCGCTGCGAAACAGTTCGAGCTTCTACATTCCCTGTATATAGATGGACCGGACGAATTGCAATGCCGTTGGTTCAAGTATAACTCAGCGTCTCGTAGCCTGACCATTTGGCCATGAGTGGGAAGCAGTAGGTTCTGAAATGGACCTCGAGGAATCTCATGATCAAACGCTGCGAGAAGCGGGCAGAGTCGCACTGCAGCTTTGTCACAGGCGACCCAGAGCTCCAACATTGTCAACAGCATGATAGATGTCGTCTCAGGATTCTCGGTATAGAACGAGCTGGCAGATTCATAGTAGCTTTCCATGGCATGCCGAATCGTTGAGCATGCGTCATTCGATGCGTTATTGAGCTGTTCTTGAAGCCAAGACTGAAGATGTATCTCAACCCAGCGTTCGAAACAAATTAAGTGAAGATGGAGGTGTTCGTTATCGGGGGTGCGTATTGCCCGCTGTAACTCGGACGGACGGTAGCTAACCAGTGACCAGGAGGGTGTGAATTCATGGTACGTGGCTGAGGTCGTGCGATTGCGAAGAGTGCTGAGAAATGAATCGAGGTCTTCAAGGCGCATGATGGAGTCTCGATCGAAGTCCAATGTTCGTAGAAGGTCTAACTTGGGACCGAGGGTAGAAGAGTCCTGCTGCTGGATACGAGTCCATCGCTCAGAAATGACCTTATTCGCGAGACACATTTTTTCCTTCACGAAGTCGATTGCAGCCGGGGCAGGCTGAGCCTGGAGTTTGAGAAGCCTCCTTGACATTTTCGAAACCATTGCGAGCAACATATCAGACGGTAATCCGATGGTCAGAGCGCGATCAAGTACTCTAGCCATCAAGAAGACCATGAATGTCTTGTACAGACAAAGATGCGAATCGTCTCTTGTGACCGCCCGGGTAAACAGGAGTTGCAAGCTCACACGTATGAGCAGCCAGGTTGAAGAACGATGCCATGGGAGCAAAGCACTACTCCAATTGACCTCCTCGCGAGTATTCTTGAGAATTCGTGTTGTGGTGAGAGCCTCTCCGTTGGCGAGAAGATACGAATACATGAATTCGGTTATCATTTCGGGGTCGGCTGTATCGCGGCTTTCGTCGAGGAATTGGCCCGCTTTCTTCGCGCGTGGTTGGGTCCCACCAATCGCCTGGGAACTCATCTTTGCCAGAGTGGCAGCTAGAACATCTTGGAACCCCGGCTCAAAGAAACGCTTGGCAGGGATAGACACTCCGACTCCGGGAAAGCTCCTGCGAAGACGACCTTTCGTAGATATGACTGATTCGTTGGTCGGAGACAATTCGAACGCCTCCACGTTAATCGCCTTATCAACCCTCGTGATCAGAACTCCGGCATTCTGGACTCTGATGTTGAAAGAGAAGGTGCCCACAATAGGCTCTCGAGGGCTATTAGCTTTGATAAGTTGGGGTGAAGCGGCACTACACACCTTTCTCTCCGGAATCATCAAGAATTTGGAGCAGTTCAGATTCATCGATGACGACAGTCTCTCCCAGCGGTTGATGGAGACGAACCATGGCCTGCATCAATCCAATGGCAATTCCCACGGAGCTTGCTTGACTCTCAGGAACGTACTCTCGAAAGCCAACAACAGAGTCGCGGACGAACTCAAGTAAGGCGCTCTCGTTGATCGGGCTGAAGTCATCTGATTGAGGCAACTGAGGAGGTAGAAAAACGTGATGATAGATGTAGACACTTGTTCGGTCTGCCATTTTGCTTAGAGCTGGAAATGTAATGAGACTGAGATGGTGTAGTGATATTGATGAATCTAAAGGTTTGTAGGTAAAGGAATCGATTTAATAATACATAAGTCCATGGCTGCTGGGATGATCTGTTCAGTATTAATAGACAGATACCGTTCTGAAAGTTCCCAGTACCCATACCACTGTCTTCTGAGACACTAATTACGTTCCGCTTCGCATGCCAAGAACCAGTTTCTGCCGGCGGCGCAGGTATCAAAGCTTGGGAATCTTTCAGGTTGTTGCAGGCCTCAGAAGTATCTCTGCGAAGGATACATACCTTCATCACAGCATGCTCCAGGATCAAATGATCGGGCATCCCAGTAATGCCATTAGATAGCCTTCTGCCTAATAACTCACTCTCAGGTGACAAAGTAGCTGATTAATATGGGATGAAAAAGAGTTCCGAGAAAGAGTCTGAACTGTCGGAAACACAAGCTCGCGGCATGCTGAGTGAAGAATGTCGGCAAAAAATAGATAACAGTACTCATTCAATAGTGATATCCGACATATGACGACTCCCGGTAGACTCAAATGGCGGTCTTTAGCACACTCACCCTGTCCAATCCGATAAAGTTGTTTGAAACATGCAGAACCCAACGCGGGAGGCCGTCTTGTTGAACTGTCAATCAGGTAACGTATGCGGGGTTGATTGGTAGCCTCGCAAAGTTAGTCCAAAACCAGTGCTGCTCGTCCACATGCCCCAGCACAGTCATTTATCTGCCGAGAGATGCGAAGTCCGGGACACGCCAACATATCATTGTAGGCCTCAACTATGCCACTCGGAAATGTGCGAGGTGTCCGCATCTCGCGTCATCATTATCTTGAAGCCCGCGACATTGACCATGAAAGAACAGCTTTAGTCGGCCTCCGACTTCTCCTGAAACATAGTTTTTATTTTCTCAAGATAAGGTACCTCAAAGCGAACGTCTTCATATTGGATTTGAGATTGTTCTCGCAGGCAATATCGAACCTTGGTCCATGGCTTGAACGTGCGCGTCCCGCGGGAGACTCAGAGAGAGCGCGGTCGAGGTACCTGCCTTCTCTAAGCATCCTAAGAAATGCTATCAGATCACTTGACCTCGGCGATATTTACTTACCTGGTGACAAGAATGGCATTAGAGCGCCTCGTGAGTGTGGAGATGGCGGTGAAGATGACGGTGAAGACACGGATGAAATGAGAGACTAGGAGTGGGGCGTGGGCGGGCAGGCGATCTTGCTGAACTTGCACATTTCAAAAAGAGGGATGGAAGGAGTTCGAGACTTGTGCTTGCCTCATCCTTTGCTGAAAGTCTCTCGCACTATGTTAACGCCTGCGGGTTCGACTTGAATATTGTCCATGCCATACGCCTCATAGCCCTTCAATGATGGTCGCATTTGTCTTCTATCTTGTTACAGAGGTCTAATCTACTATTAACTTGCTCAGATTTTATACAACATCTAGCCGATGGTACAATTTGTGTTGAGCTTGAATTCCCGAAGGAAAGGGGTCTGGATGCGCCTTCACACATCCCCCTCTCATACATCCCCTTTCACCTTCCGCTTTCTTTCACCTTTCCTCCCACCTCCCCTCTCTCTCACCTTCCCAAGTTTTTTCTCGCCTCTCTTATCATCTTTTTCTACTTTATCCACGCTTGAACTTCAAGCCCTTTTCTCTTCCACTCCATTAAACCCCCAAACTTCCACTACACCCAAACCGCTGCCGATACAATTCTCGCGGCCGTTGCATCATTCGGAAATATTCCAGCACAAGTAGCTTGTCAGTAGCCAGTCGATACTCAACACATAAACTCACCGTCTTATTCATAATTGTAGACACCCATCATCACACCTTTCAGCCTCTCGCGACGCTTTCTGTGGACCCACGCACAATCAAACTACCATGCCGCCAACCACACCTCCATCCCTTGTCCCCCGTACAACTTCCGAGACTGCCATTCATCCATTACATCTGATCATGTCCACGTCAGACCAACGAGCCAAGGTCCGGTGGCCGTTGAAATTCTATGATGATCTGACAGCGACAGAAAAAAGCATCCCCGACATCTGGATGGAGAGACACCACGAGTGTTCTCGTTTGTGGAGTCTCAACACGGCGGAAGAGAAAGAGGCTGCAAGAGCCAAAATTTGGGAGCTGGCATTCACCAACTGGGACACCGATACGCCAGTTCCTCAACCCGCTCGTGCTGTTGCTAGGAAGACCAAGGATAGCATAGTCAAGATTGGAGTCTTGACAGAAGACGCCAAGCCCTCCAAGAAGATTCATGGGAACAGTACCAGTATCGCCGCGTCTGACCCACGCCCTCGTCGTCCGCACTCTTGTGGTGACGACGTCTTTTTGAAGGTCGAAGTCGATTAGGAGCTCGAGTCTCTGAAATTCAAAGCTTGCGACGCAAGAGGTTCACACTTTCCCTTCGGCACCAGATATGAGCAGACGCTTGGCTATCCCATATTCACTACTAAGGAAGATTGCATTGCTAGCTGGGACCGTGACGAACTCCGCCGGTTGGGTCGGGCCAATACTCAACTCATGATCTACTGGACAAGGAATGCGCTGCTACTGTCTCTCAAAAACGGGTTGGGAACCCATGGGAACATAAAGCAAACAACATTGACGATCGATGAGACGCCACCCGACCTCGAGAAGTTGACTCGCGTAAAGCTTGTCAGCGATGTTTGGGCGAAAACCATCGACGCTTGGCTTCTGTCGCCACTGTCTGGGACATTATGAGCACCCGCCCTCTGTAAGTCTACAATCATGACCTCGTATATATTTTGAACCACTCATTGACGTTTCCCAAGATTCCTAGCCTCTTGAACACCGTTGCCGCCTGTGCACAGCAGGGGCGCAGACCCTTGAATTATTCTCCGCTTTGCTTTTGCACATGACGAGTCACTCGTCTTCTGCTATTTTCACAACAAGAGAGGTTCGATTCGCTTTCAATAAGTTGGCATTCCTTCTGTAAATTGCACTTTTGGTGGAGGCTTTGCAGGGTCCGAAGTCTTCTCTGGAGACAGAACCGATCACCATGTCGCTATTCTCATAGATCCAATTCGCAGTAACACCATCGTTTATCATCATAAAGACGGCTTTGATACCGAAACTTTATTTCATTGTGGTGACATCAACTACTTACTCGGCCTCGCCGCCTCCCCCGAGATCGTGCCTAGATCTCTAAATGAGACACGCCGAGGCCTACTTTACAAAGAAAGCCTCCTTGATTAGAAACAAATCTGGCGGTTGATACAATGCAACTTCTTTGACAAACCACTCGCAGAAAAACTTCGCGGAGGATTCTGCCCGCCAATAGTCGCAAGGAGCATTATTGATACTGAATCCCTCCGCAATCCTTTGCGGGTTTCTAATGTGGGGCGCCGGCCCTGATTCGGCGGTTCTCGGGTTTACAGGGCCATTTTTGTGTTATAATCCCGAACCGGATCGGCTTTGGCATCCACCCCATTTCAAAACTTTACCGAATCCTGCCCGTTGTCGGGTCAAGCCAAGAATTTGGCCCGATAGCCCAGCCGGAGTCTGCTTTGTGGCTTCAGGCACCTCTGATTATTGCGCGGTCATGATACTGCTGAAGGCTAGGGACTATGCTTCCGTAAGGCACTATGGCTCCGAGGAAGGATTAATTAGAGACACCACGACACGTGTGTCGTGCTGTGCAGAGATGAGAGAGACACATTCAGTATATAGACTCAATCATCTGGGGCTTCGTAGGGTAGGTCCAATTCAGTCCAGCATTAGAGGATTCGGAAATTGGAGTACTCAGTGCCTCATCTTCACCTCCTGCATTATTCAAGAGTCACCACATTGTATCTTAACCCTAATACTTCATCCGCAATCCACGATGTTGCATCGCAACATGAACCAACTTTTCCCACCCCAACCCACTTTCACAGAACAGAATCTACCAGACCAAGCAGGCAGAGTACGTCTTGCTTTGCAAATTGCCCTGACATATAACATCGAAAATTAACGAAAGCCAGGTATTCATCATCACTGGCGGAGCGTCTGGCATTGGACTAGAACTCTGCAAGATCCTTTATGCAGCCAACGCCACGGTATACATCGCGACCCGCTCAAGCGAGAAGATAGCCACGGCAATCAATTCCATCAAGGCCCTACAACCATTAAGCAGTGGAAAGCTCCAGCCCCTCGTCCTCGACCTCGCAGATCTGGCAACGGTAAAACCGGCTGTCGAATCTTTTCTTGCCAAAGAGTCGAGATTAGATATTCTAGTACACAACGCCGGCGTCATGATGCCTCCTCAGGGCAACACAACAGCCCAAGGTCACGAGCTACAGATTGGCACAAACGCTCTCGGCCCGTATCTTCTAACGCGGTGCCTGGAGGAGAGATTACGAGCTACCGCTCGGCTGGAAGGAATGCCAAGAGGAAGTGTGAGAGTAGTCTGGGTCGCGAGTATGATCTCGCTCGGGGCACCCAAGGGTGGTGTGATCTGGGATGACGTCAAGGGTGCGCCAAAGCTCTCTGGGGATTCTATGAGCGATTACATGCAGGGGAAAGTCGGCTGTGTCTTTCTCGCGGATGAATTTGCAAAGCGAGTGAAGGATGATGGCATCATCTCTGTGGTAAGCTTGAATTCCCCACTTGATCATATACAACGGATGCTGACTTGAGGGACAGAGTGTGAACCCCGGACTAGTCAAAACAGAGTTGCAGAGACACGCTCCAGCAGCAATGGGCGTCATCGTGGTATGTCCAATAGTCTCTAGTATGGTAATTCCACCAAAAGCTAATCGAGTCTCAGGGTGTTGTGTTCAAAGGACCTAGACATGGCGCATATAGTGAGCTCTTCGCGGCTTGTTCCCCAGACGTTTCGGTAGAGAAGTCTGGTTCGTACATTATTCCGTGGGGAAGGTTTGGATGTATCCCAGAAGACATTGCCGAAGGGATGAAGCCTGAGTCAAGCGGGGAGAAGTCTATAAGAACCAAGTTTTGGAACTGGTGTGAAAGGGAAACCTTATCTTATCAATGAAAGTAGTTGAGCAAAGCAACCTAGCAACGTCTGATCACGTCAGGAATCGGGGGTCAACTTCTACATTCTCCGTCGGGTCCCGACATGCTTCTCCCCGCCCAGATTTGATTGTTTCTGGAGTGCGCTTGCAGCAAGTGACGATTTTGATGCCTAATTTCTGTCATCATGTTCACCATTACTGCTGATCTTCATGACCGAACATTCCCCGAGCCTGTTTCCAATTTGACATGTATTTTGGGAGACAAGACGCCTAGAAGGGTGTAGAAATGTGGAGTAGAATACCATAGGACGTAGTCTCGACACAATGACTACAAAGCTACACAATAACTACAAAGCTACACAAAACGGCTTTTCAAGGACGTTAGCTCTAGAGGAAAGCTTGTTGAACTGTACGATAATCGTTCTCCTTTGGACCAACCGTCGAAGCGATTGTTAAAGCCCTTCTGGAAGGGCTCAAGTTACCTGGGGATGATAAGGGGCCCAAGCAACAAAGAAGTAATTCGACCAGATACACAGCACAAGGTGTACACGTCGCTGAAAGCGGCAGATTTCAACAATTCATTTTTTTTTATTTTAATTCTGACAGCGATTGGTCTCTGTGAGCCTTCACCCTGTGTCATCCGCCTAATTGACAGGGATATGCAAGTGGGCTTCATATGATGACAATGTGACGTGGGAAGGCAAAGGCAAGCAAGACAGACGTGGGATGAAATAAGTATGCAAAAGAGGTAGGAGCTACATGAGCTCATGCCCCATGCGTCTTCCGCATCTAGGTCTCTGGATTCCAGATGTGGGCGAATTTTAGAGGGAACTGAGGACACTGAGGTCGATGATGGAATACGCAGAGTGAATCATCCATCAACGACGTCGAGAGAAAAAAGTCCTTTCGACGCGACGTGGCTTCTTTTTCCCTCCCTTCCCTATTTTTCTTTTTTTTTCTTCCCTCCATCAACAAGCCGCGTTCCGTCACAATCGAATCTTGTCTACGCATCCTGCTATACCCAATACTTCATAATACCTACCTTCCAGCAATCTTACGACAATTCTCTTCCGTTGTCATCACGACATTTTACGGAGCGTTCCCAACAGTAAGAGATTTTGTTGCCAATTAAAGTCTTCATTCGAGTCTTGCTGGAGAGAAAAAATGGAAACTGACGGTCGTAGTTACATATGGTCCGAACTACCTCGATTACCACGAAGCCTTTCCCCGCCGTCGCAGGTCCCCCAGCCACGGCATTCAGGCGGCAAGAGGAGAGCACACACTCCCCTAGATGAGATCCTTCGAACGGCCCGAGCAACCATAGCATCCGGCGTGGCCAGATCCGACTCATTGCGTATTCTATCCAACTATGACGACCTTAGCGACGCAGAAAAGGCCATCCCCGAGCAGTGGATGGAGGCATATATAGAGTGCACCCGCATGAAAGATGCGGATACCCCTGAAACCCGGAGAGCTGCTCTCGATGAGTGCATTAAGGACCTTTGGGATATCGCCTTCAACCGTTGGAACAGCAACATGACGGTTCCTCTCCCAGTCTCTGCCGCCAAGCGTCAAGCTGGGCATACGACCATGGCCGTCGGCACTTTGAGAGAGGACGCCAGCGCGTCCGCTGAGAACAGGGCTCGCCAGAAGCAGGGCCATGCTATTCCCGCCGTCCCAGAATGGCGCCGCCGCGGTGCTACTATCCACCTTAAGGTGAACCTAAATTGGGAGGGAAACGACCTGACATTCCCTTTTGTGGATGTGAAGGGGGCGTCCTTCCAGGCGTCCATCAAGTACGACCTGGCGGAGAATATCACCATCGAATACGCCAAAGGGCTTCTCTCCACCAGTTGGGACAAGGCGGAGCTTAGCCGCCTCGCAAAGGCGAACACCTCCCTGATGGTGTACTGGTGCCGAAATGCCCTGCTCAAGTCCCTACGACACGAGGCCCGATACCCCAACCCGAGAAGCCCGATGCCCGCTAGCGCCTTTCCCTCGGCGTCAGCTCCCTCTTCCGCCGACAACAGCGCCACAGCCATCCCGCGTGGAAGGCACAACCCCGATCGGACACCCGACCAGCGAGGGGTCACCATTGACGAAAGGTCTCCCGATTTTTCCAAGCTCGCCCACATCGAACTCTGCAAGGATGTCTAGGGAGCCAACTTACGATCGATCATGGTAGTTATGGAGGAGTATAAGCAGGGAGCTTGTGTATGGGTCGTGGAATGCTACAAACTACCGCTTACAGCAAGGCAAAGCAGAACGCGATAGGATGGTGTGCTCCTCAGTAAAGCCAATCCTCTGTTTAAACTACTGTTGTAGTCTCTAGAGATATATTCCTACTAGCTCTATTCTTATTCTCATTGGTATTACTAGTATTTCTAGCAGGTTCTCTTCGCGTATACTGCTAAGAATACACGTCAAGCATCGCGGCGAAGCCACAATAGCAATAGAGATTCCAGAGATAGCGTAAGAAATAGGGTTAAGAGTCTGATTGGCAATTGGAGCTTGTATTACTCACCGATCAGGTCTTCGGATTGCGGATGAACTTTCTCTACTTTTGTGTCATTCTTATAAGGGTGGTAGCTGCCCATGAAATCTCACGGAAGCCAAAGTTCGCCCCCATTCAGTGAAGTTGCTCTATAATCTGGAAAAAACGTCTTGCGCGGAGTACCTTTTGAGGTCAAGAAGGGTTGGTAACTGGTCAGTATGGTACGTGAGCGACACTAGAATACCAAATCTAGGCGTATCACATTGGTGTCCAGTCTTTGCCGTGTGTGGGCGGCTGAGACGTCTGTAGCAAGAAACCAATGCTTTTCCTATTTTCAATATGCGCTAGGCATCATAGATATGTACGAAATAATATGTTCACGAAATTCCCGGGTAAGTATTGCCACCCTAGCAATGGATGTCAAAGTTCCACCATAACCTTCCCTTTAGCAAGTCGTCGCGCCGTTGCCAGTGAAAGAACCGGACTGGTACGCGCCGCTGGCATCATCGAGACATTCAGCTGGTGAAAAGGTTAGTTACCGGCTACATGAGTCTACTCGCACACTTCACTTACCGACAGTGACCAGCTTGAGGTTGTTCTGCTTCGCCCAGTTGATCAACCACGGCGTCAAAGTCTGCACCGTGGTGGCGTAGGTCTCGTGCATGAGAGGGATGTGTCCGTTGCCGCTCGCGCCAGCAGCAGTGAACTTGGCCTCGCTCTGCGCCGGCGTCTGCCCGTTCCAGTCACCCGAGTCAACGTCGTCGGTAATGACCTTGTATCCCAGCGTCTTCATCGTCGAGAGCACGGATCCGCCGGTGGCGAGGTACGGGGGGCGCATGTAGGCGGGCTTCTTGCCGATGATGTTAACCATCGCCTGCTCGAGCTTTTGCATCTCGGTCGTGAGCTGCGCCGTGGTCAGACTGCCAAAGGTAGACGGGTGCGTCCAGGTGTGCGAGGCGATCTGGTGGCCAGAATCAAAGGCCTTCTTGACAGCGGTGCGCTGGTTGTAGATGCAGCCGTACAGGGTGCCCGTCATGAAGAAGGTGGCCTTGGCGCCGCCGTTGTTGAGGATGTCGACGAGCTGGGAGGTGTACTGGTACGGGCCGTCGTCGTAGGCGAGGGCGAAGACGCCCGGCTTGGCGCACTTTTGGATCACGACGCCTGCGCTCGGGGCGCGCTTGATGAGTTCCATGGGGTTCTCGATGGGGACGGCGGCCGCGCTGGCGGCCATCAGGAGTCCGGTGACAATGGTATCGAGAAGCATGATGGGCGAATCGAGCTTTCCGTCGAAGGATGTAGAGTAGCGAGGGAACTCGTGATGGTTGTGGACATAAAGCTTTAGAAACAGGAATGACCTGGCTGGGAAACCGTCTATATATGCTTATTCGACGGGCGCACTCAACAGGCGATGATGAGCCCACACGCAGCACTTCAATCTCGTCACGACTAGAGAACGAAAAAGACGGGAACACCTCCTTTGTGGGGTTATTGGACATGGGGTGAACGGCCGGATGCGACCTCTTCGGGAGTTCGCTTCGTGGCTCAAGACGAACATTGCTTCTCCCAGGGGCAAGATTCACGAGTACCACGGCGCGAGGCCGGCAGTGAGGGGCCTCTAGGGGGCTCGATTCGACTACATTAGGTCAGGAGCAATCTAGATGAGTGTGCGGGAGGGAAGCGGGTGACAGCATTAATTGAGCAGTCTCATTTAGGCTCTTTTCCTGGTCGCGGGGTGCTTAATCTGGAACGGAGGGTGACGGTCAAAAGGGAGAATTTTTTGGCGGGGGTCTGATGGGCCACCCCGGCCGAGTTGACTAGGGTATATCAGGGCGGCTGCTATTCAGACGACGATGGTTTCTCCGCATATTAAACAGAACCAGACTCTTCAGCTCTTTGGATGCCGGGGAAAGATGTCCACGTGCTTTCTAATAGCGGCTGAATCGGCATGGCGGCACCGGGTGTCGCCAAGGGTGAGATCTCCCGGAACCTGGGGAAGATACGATTCTTAACCAAATGAAGTTGGTGATGTTACCATGCGACTGTTCGTCCCGGCTAAATAAGAAAGCTTGAACGCCAGCGATCACTGACGCGCTGAAGTTTGCACTAGTTCAGACTACACATGGCCGGGGGAAGGGAGCGCTCAGGGGCTTGAGGTCATGTCTGAATGCTGACTCATCTTCGACTCATTGCTAACGCCAGTCATCTCAGTCTCGTCTCAATCATCGCACTGAAATGTTCATCTCACCTTACGGAACCGATGGGTGAGCGAGGCGTATCTTCGCGAACACTCAAGCACGCCAGGTAATCTCAGTAATCAAGAAGTTGAGCTCAAACTGGTGAGCGCTCACGCGCCTGCAAGAAGCCAGCCAATCAAAGATGACGGCTTAATCGAGGCGAAACCGGCTGATCGTTGGCGCCCTTCGCGTGTCAAACCTGAACAACCATCACAGCATCCTTCATAGTTGATAACAATTCTAACTGATTTCCATTTCCCCGATTGAAGAACAATCCAATTTCAATGCCGACATCATCACACCTAGGAACTTAGCAACGCAGCAGTCCTGACTTCATCCAGCCAGCCATAATCAAGCATCCTCAACTCGAAATGGACGTGTTATGCCAATGTGGCACGGTCACATTCAAGACCCCAGCACCAGTGCCCCTTGACATCTACTGCTGCCACTGCTCACAATGCCGCAAGCAATCCGCTTCGGCCTTTGGTACATCGGCAATCTTCCCCGCCGATGGCCTCTTCCCGCTCATGGATGATCTCGAGTCAAAGCTCCAGGTCTGGACTCGTCCCACAAAGAGCGGCGGGCACATGGACTGCTACTTCTGCCGGCTATGCGGGACCCGGATCTTTCATCGCACTCATGATGAAAATGGCGTACCCAAACCAACAGTCAGTATTAAAGGAGGACTGATTTCGGGGCTGAAGATGGACAATGGAAAGCATATCTGGACCAGGGGTGCGGTCGTGAAGGTTCCTGATGATGCCGAGAGGTACGACGAATCACCGCCTGCGACGCTCGACAGTAGCAAGGATTGAAAGACTTGCAAGACCCCAAAGTCAAAAAATACATCTGCAGTTCTCGTTTGGCTGTTCAAAGAAACTCATCTCTTCAGGCAGGGTATGTTCGCATCCCAGATCTAGGCACACATGCTCCTAGTTGATGTTATCATCGTCTCGTCGACTGAAATAAATCGGATGTAACACAGACTGGATGCTGTGTAATGTTGACAATCCACGCTCCTGTTAGGTAGTTTAATGCTTATCCCATTTTACTCATCGATGAGCCATCTGGGTCATCACTTCACAGTGATGATGCGAGCACCTTAGCAATTCGACAGTAAGCAAAAAGGCAATTTGATACTTCGGGTCATGGGTCGTTGTCTCTCAACAAAATATCCCTTCAACTGCGATTGGCGTCAATGCACATATACGCACTTTCCTAATAGACAACAAAGAATGATACATCAAAAAGGACACTGCCCTCTATTTAAACGGTAATGCAGAGTTTTTAAGGGCCGCAAAATCTGAAGAATGACGTCCTGACGCAACCTAGCAGTCGCTGGGTAAAGCGGCCTTCCTTGGGCGATGAGGAGTTCGGGTCTTTGACAATAAGACGATATCAGCGCAATAGACTCACTAGATAACTTGCAAATCACCGTAATTACGGTTGAATGCAGTTCAAATCTCTATTTTTACTACAATTAACGGCTTGACTAATAGGCAACCAAATGACTAACGCTACCACAAGTGGCATGCAGATAGCTGCCACTCGAGCCGCATCCGCGGCTAGAGACCGAAGCAAAACCAGTGAAGATAACGATGGCATGTCGCTTATCGGGGTTGTAATGCAGACGAAGGCTTCCTAGCAGCGAAAGGGTATGTCGCAGTGCAGAACTGGAGATCCTGAGAAAGACATACGCCCCCCTGGCCGCGCAATATCATGCAACGATGTAGATAGTATGATGCTGATTATGGAGTCCACTTCTCCGTTTCCCATGGAGGGAAAGCGGGAGAAGCAGACGTGTCGGAACAACCCGATACGAATTCCACACCGGCTGGCAGTGGCATATTGAGGCTACCGGGACCGCCAGCGTTGAGGAACAACGCGCGAAAAGGCATGTATCTTTCAGAGTCACGTACAAGGACGTTGGCAGCAGTGTTCCTAGCTCGACCGAACCCGTCTGCCATGATCTGAGCGGTACGAGCACCATAGGCTCCGGCCACAGTGGATGATGCGGGGCCGTCAAACCAAACATAACCGAAATCATCAGGCACATCAATTTTTAGTAACCAAGTTTTTGCTTGGTTGAACTTTAGGTAGCCTCGGTGTTGAATCAAATCACACGAATTGCTCCACGTCGTGCCCGCCGGGCCACGTACTCCGTAAATGTTTGTGGGACCTGTTTCCTGACTTGGGCCATTACTCCATGAAACGAGCGGAGTAAAGCCTGTGCCAAGAGGCGTTCTGCCTTGTAGCACTGTGGTCAAATTCAAGTCTGACGCGCTTTTGGTCGAATCAAAGTACACCCGCAAGAGCTCTTGGCAAGGTACAGAAGTTCGAGGAAAGACATAGGCAGCGAACTCGACACCAGAAGTACATGCAGGCGCAGCACTCGTGCTTGAGCTACTATACGAGGAGCTTGAGCTACTAGACGAGGAGCTTGGACTAGCGGTGGTTGACGAGCTTGGGCTGCTAATTGATGGCGGAGAGGTCGTGCTTGAGCTGCTCAACGGGGAACTCGAAGTAGTGGTAATTGAGGGGCTTGGATTGCTGGTGGATGAAATAGAGGACAGACTGGTTGTTCCCGAGGTACTTGAAGAGGTATCAGGCATGTTTGTCGAAGATGTTGATATCTCAACAGTTGTAGAATTCAAGAAGCGTGTCAGGGTGGAAGATCTTGATTCTACAGTCGTCGAAGTCTGGGTAAGGAAGGTCGATGACGATAATGACAATGAGGGCGAGAACGAGGGCAATAAGGACGACGAAGGCGACGAGGGCGACGACGAGGGCGACAATGATGATGACGAAAAAGCTTGAAGAACTGTGACCGATGCCGTTGACGTTGGTATGCTCGAGTTGGCTTTCAACGTTCCGAGCGATTCGACGACAACGCTAGAGGCTGTCGACATAGAGCGGGACGATGTAGAAGAGGCTTGGAGTGACCCGCTTGGAAAAGTTGCCATGGGATTACTTGTGGCGGTGATTGAAACTCCCACCGGATTTGTATTTGCTATAGCCGACGTCGTGATACCCTGACTAGCCGAGCTAGGAAGTTGTATTTGGCCGTTTTGACACAAGTCGACTATCCCATGTGAATGTTAGCTTCTGCGTCGTCAAGGTAGGTAAGCTAAAGTTATTGGTGTACTTTACCTCCATATGCTAAGAGAGAAACTGGATCGCAACCAGGCGGTCGGGACGTAAAGGTGACATGGACCTGTCCAGTAGCATCCTGACAGAAGCTTGCCTGGTTACCAGGGAGAGATGGATGGTAGAATCGAAGAACCCCATCCCAAACGTCGAATGTTGTTGTAATGGCGTTATTCGGTCGCGTCCCCATAGCATTGAGAGGTTTATGGCTATCACCTGGAGAGTAATGCACTGGTACGCCGCCGTCTAGTAACTCGCCAGCGGCCAAGGAAAACACTGTTGCGGTGTTGCATTGCTGACGATCTGCAGTGGTGTTGTGGTTCACGAAACCGCCCATCACCCTCTTCTTTACATTTCGTTTCAAAGTCGTAGATGGACCTGGTGCAACGAAGAAGATCACAGTTTCAGCAACTTGTGCAGATGTCGACGTGAATGGACCGGAGCTGGTAGCAGTGGTCGGGACTAGTCTGTCCGAGGTCAGACTAGCGGAGGGAGATGTGGTGAGTAGAGTTGATGAAGTATCAGATGCAGCGGTCGACAACGGAGAAAGTCGTGGAGACGAAGTAGGTATCGTCAACGGGGTTGTCGCCGGCGCATCAATCCGTCCCGTGGCCGAAAGTGAAGTGTCGAGAGAGAAGCTTGGCGTTCCGGAAACCCCAAACGTAGGATTCTCGGAAAGCCCGATGTTTGTTCCCGTTGACAAAGGTGCGGTAGCAATGGAAGTTGAGTTTGGTGTTGTCTCAAGCCCTGTTGAACCAGCAGCCATCGTCAAAGGCTCCAGGTAAGTCGATAGGTAAGTGAAGCACCATGTTGTTGGTAAGTCGTTCTCATGGTCAAAGGATGACACAGACGCTGAGATCGTTGGTGGTAGGAACACCAGATTGAGTATAAATTGAGGCTTCATGATGGTAAGTTAGGATGATGCAGCAAAGTATGACACGGAATAGTGAAAGCTCTCCAACGCAAGGGGAAAGGGATGGCATTATTCACAGATACATATACATTCAGACTCGATCGCAGGAAGCAGAGTGTTGCTCGTGTTTGGAGCAATCAGAACAAAGAAAAGATTCATGTTCTCTAGAATATTACAACGAGACATCAATTATTAGCATGCAAATTTAAGCATTCAGAGAATGGACTGATAACAATTGCGACAAGACTGTGTTGGAACGTGGTGAAACGTGAGGCACGATGTAGGTATGCAGCTAGACCGAGAAGAGCCTTATAAAACGCCACGATCCGAGGCTGGACGGTCGGCATCCCGCAATCATGGCTGAATCTGATATGTGGACTGAATCAAAAGATCAGATCTCAGCTCGCCACCAGTCGGCTCAAGTACCCGGCCTGGACCCAAATCAAAAGTTGTCGAAACCTGCGCATGTGTAACCGAGAAGGAAGAGGCACACACAATCGTTCATAAGCCCGCCTCTGCGAACCCCAAGCAACTCTAGCAAGACCGATAACCACCTTCTGACTGACTTGCGAGGTTGAACGCTTTTGCTTTCCACCCTTCTTCTCAATTAAATTTGCATCTGGCTAAAAAGAACAAATCCTCCTGTTTTCAGTCATACATATCGTTGTCACAAAAATGGAATTCTCCTCCCAAACGACTCTTCTTGCGTGTCGCACTGCGACCATTGTCCAGTGCTTCACCAACCACCCCTTAGCTCCATTATGCGGCAGCTGCATGGCGACTCCTGTTGTCCGCTTACCAGCCGCCACAGGACAGCCCATCACTGTTCAAGTACAGGCTCCGCATTGCAAGAAATGCGGATGCGATACCTGCATCCACACAGTCTCGTACACGACCGGATACGATATTTTTTGTTCCACAGGCCTCACTCAGCAGGTGTATGCTGTCACGGAGACATATCGTGGGATGGCTTCAAGACCTACAGTGGCATCTACAAACATCCCCTTCGGCTTTACTGCAGAAGTTCAGACCTGCACGACGTGTGGGCACACTCCTGTCGTCGCCACAATCACACGTCCTGTGTCGGACGTGGTGCAGATTACCAGGGCGGCAGGCATTATCACCATACCCGCTGGCATAGATCCTCAATACTCCCTGTTCAGTATGACCGAATTCCCAAGCGCAGCATTATCATCTGAGTCTACACGTGCTGTTGATGCCCAACACACGCAGGGGTTGGTTATGCAGTCCGGCTTGGCCCCGGGCGAGACTCTGCTTCTGAGCAAGAGCACATCCCAAACGGAGATCCTTCACGAGACAGTGACGGCGCACGACTCACATCCAGTACAGACACCAACTTTCGAATCACTTAGTTCGAGTTTGATATCTTCAGTTCCAACCACCGCTTCACGTGAGTCTTCTGTTTGCTGTTTGTTTCTTGTCGAGGAACTAACAGATGGAGTAGGTCCAATTGCAAATGCAGTGAGCAGCTCCGCCAAAGAGCACAGCCCAGTTTTCGGTTATAAGTGTATGATGGCTGTAGGATTGATCTTGATGAAAAGTCTTATAGGATGAGACACTCACAGATGTGATACACAAACTGGGACTTTGAACAATCTTTGGTTCTGGGCCCCTAACCATTATTAGTCTTAAGACATGATCTAAGCAGAGTGGCTGCTTGAATTGTACGCAGAGATTTAGATTCAAAATTATATAGCTCTACTATGTTGATCTTTAATTACATGCATGTACCTACTTATGCAGTCGGTCTGTTGTGTTCATGCGGCTGAAGAAATCGAACCTTTTTACCAGTTGGCAAGATCCACAGCCACGGCAGTAGACGTCCCAGTGCACCCCGCTGGCCTTAAGAAAGGCGCTACACGAAACAATTTGATTCTTACAAGCTGACGGCTCGGAACACGACTTCTGCGGAGTGTCCCCTTATTGAAGTTCACTCTATATGAACGCGCGTCCTTGGCATAGATTGCTTTGATCTGTCACTTCAATCATCATTTACAAATGATTCAAATATGTCGGTACAGAGAAGACATCTGGCTGTCATTCATCTACACTTGGATTTGGTAACTTTTATATACATGGAGCTCAACATTGTACAGGAGAATGAGAAGGGCTTTGTACACTTAATGACCCTCCAAATAATGCTCACCGATATCGCCAGGGGAACAACCTTGGTGACTTGTCTTAGTCTACTCAAGAGTAAGGTCTAAGCATACCCCTTTAGGCGCGACGAGATTGAGAGCGCTGACCAATGCTGCGCTTGGCGCTCATCATCTTGACACTCTCATCGTAGTCGGAAGTGCCATTGTTGGGATCGGCATCCTTCTGTATTGACATTAGCCCTACTCATTCTCCATCTTGCGTTGAGAGGATCACTTACTGCGTTCTCGGCGCCGCACTTGGAACCAGCATTGTATTTCCCATCGGGTCCATCGACACCCGCAAAGTCGCGCTTGCTGTTCGCCTTGAGCATATTGGTAGCAGCCTCGGGCAACCACCCGTTGATAAAATCGCCGTGCGAGCAGAACGAGTTACCGCACGCAAGCTCAAAAGGCGGCGTGCCGTTCCAACCGTCCGGAAGCACCTTGCGGAGATCGTAGCGGATCGAGAACCGGAGCTGCGGCTGGCGCTTCATGCCCTCGGGGCATCGGTTGGCGGGCTTGAAGCCGTCCTTCCAGTTCTGGGTGCCTGAGTAGGCTGACTCAAGTGTCTGCTCATTGACACAGTCGTGGAAGAGGAGGAGGGTTTGCAGGTGCGTGGAGCACGTCTTTGTCGGCCACGCCGCGACCTCTTTGCCCTCTTCCGTGGGGTCGCCTTCGCAGAACCATTGAATGCCGGCGAGGTCCTCGACGTCGGCTTGTGTTGTTCCCTTGGAGTTTCCGGCGACGGTTTTGTAGTTCTGGGGGATGGCGACCTCGGCGCTTTCGATGGCGACGTAGTAGGCGCTGAAGCGGGAGAAGGGGACGGGGGTCATGCCGGTGTCGTTCTTGACGTACAGAGTTGGGACCCCTTTCGCGTTCATGTTAGTAAGAGGGCGCCTCATGGACGAAGGATGTAGCTGAGGCTCTATCAAAGGGCTGTGTTCGAACTCACAGTAAGAAGAATAGTCATTGGGGTTCTCGGCAGTTGAGCAGCCTGCCTGGAGCTCGGCAGAGGTGTTCGTATTGAGGGTGACGGCGTCGGAACCGAAGAAGGTGTGCATGTGGCTCTTGTACTGGCCCGGGATGACGACGGGATCGATGTTCTTTCGCATGAAGGGCTCAGCCACGGCAATGGTGTATGCGTTGGCGATGCCAGCACCGGCAAGCAGGAGGGAAGTGGTTGTAGAGAGCATCTTAAAATGGTTTCCGGCGAATGAGAAGAGAAGGAGAACGAAAAGAACGAATATCGCCAAACCTGTCAAAGAGAGAGACACGGAATTGGGACTGGATGAAGGAAGGACAAGCTTATACTGACAGTTTCAAAAAGCCTTTGTTTCTTCCAAGAAGGCCATCGGCGTTTCTTTAGTATCTACCACCTCTAATCCCCCGAGCCGCCCGATCTCAAATTTTGTTCGTCCCATCACTGCCGCCTCCGCCGCCCTAGCAGGCCCGCCATGCATCCCGTGGACCGTCGATCCCAGCAGGCTCTATCTTGCAAGGGTGAAGATGCACCTATTCTGCGGGGCTGGGCAGCTGAAACGCGGTGACCGGCTGGGCGGCGCACTACGAAAGCCTCCAACGAATTGAAGTGCCACCTGAATACGGTAACGCGCCTGGGATGGGAACGGTACAGGCGCCGCATGCCCATGACTTTAATTTCGATTCGAAACGTGCTTGACAGGGTGACAGGTACACTGATTTTGTCCCAGGCCTTGCTAGTACTTATTCGGGCCAACCATACAGGCCTACGGAGTGCACGGAGCTATCCAGCGGACTGGTTTGCATCAACGGGCAAAGTAGAGCGGCCTGTCGGACATTGTGCCGCCTTATCAAGTTTGTTTAATGGTGGGTGGAAATGTATGGATATGGACAACTCAGGTGTGGTAGGCAACCTGTTTCCACTGCCAACCAGTTGAGCTTTTAGACTCCAACGGGAGCAATCAACTGCTGACACCGGCACCTGTCAAGTTGGTCGGACCTCGTTCCCGCTCCCTGAGTTCAAAAATCGAGCCAAAATTACACAAAGCATCACTAGATGAGCGCCTGGCTCAACTCTATATATTCCATAATAAATTCTTTAGACTGAAGACGGCGCTAGGTACTGGCTGTGATTTTCACGGCGCACATATCTCAATCTTTGTCCTAAAATCAATCCACGATACATAAACCCAAAGGCATGCAAGTACTTCGTAGTTCGGTCTCGCTCTCTGAAAGGAGCCAGCAATCTTAAAAATTGGCAGCCCTCACCTTTAGAACACAGGACAAGGAAGGCCCCCTGTATTACGGGGAGAAGCCATGCTATCTCCATGCATCCCCTGTAACCTTCACTGCATGCGTGTTCGGAAAACTGCATCGTACACTGTAAAGCAGAGACTTTCTGCCCGCTACATTCCCAGGATCTTAATAGAAATCGATATACGCCGGGTCAGCTTCATTGGCAGACAGAACGACGTTACATGTTTACATAATCTTCGCCTGGTATCGTAGCCAAGATGTCTGATTTAAGTGAGATAATCCACAGTCCAAAAGAGGTATGCAGCAAAATTTCGCCCATAGTATTATTCAATCATGTATTAGCCGGTGACAAGTACTATGGAATTGCATAGTTGTCAGAGAAGAAGAATCCCTCTTTCCCCCTGTTCCGTGGGAGATCCCGGAACCGGCCAATCTAGCTGACGTTTGACAGGTCTCCATCTACATCAGTCCAACGCGAGGTCAACCTGGTCGGTCTGCTGCATGACGTAGATTTTGGTTCTAAAAGCGTGATTTCCGAACCTATCAACATCCTTAAGCAAACAATCAGCAGGGCTCGCTAGATCTGGCTACTCGGAACTAGCTATTATCAGAATGCTTACCAAGCCGACTCCAATTCTACAAAGATACCAGCAATGCATAACCATTCTTCAAGTATATTGACGCACAAGACAATGCCAACATTCATTAGAATTCAATACAGCGCGTTATCTATCCACACTGGTAAACAGGTGTTTCTGTGTTCCAGTACGCATACAAGTTCTTGTTCCCCTTCCGATCAATCTTACCCTGCCGGCGCCGTTCCTCCTTCTGCACCTTTTCCTCGTTCCTGTACTGCACCGCCAGTAGCGACCGCTGCTCCGATGCAGATAAGTGCATCAATGCACTTCGATCATTCGCCCTCATGTTTGCCAGCTGATGTGTAATTACTGCCCTCTCTCGCTTTTCTCTCCTCGATAGTGCTCCTGTCCCACCGCGGTGCAGAGGGTCCTCACCGAACTCCTCTTCTTCGGATTCTACCCGGACATATTCTAGCTGTGAAGGTGGGGTCCGCATTCGACGTCTTAGGTGATTGATAGATGGTCCCGTTTGTTCCGAGGACCGCTTGGATATGATCTTGCCCGACGGCAACCGAAGAGAGTCCTCATCAACCTGTAACGACTGTCGACTTGGACTTGCTGGCGCGTTCTGCACATCACACACCTCTTCGTCGCTTCCGAAGCCACTCTCTTCATTGTCTGCCGCCTCAGAGAAAGTGAAGTCGTAAAAGTCGGCAAATTCGGAGTCTTGGTCTCCTGGATTAAACCTGCAGTGACCTTTGCCAATCATGTGCTGTTGTACGGCTTGTATCGTTGCCCTCTCAGTCCCGCAATGTAGACATTCCCGATAATCGAATATGACTAGGTGCAGGTACTTGAAGAGAGTTTCCAGGTCGACGACTAGATGTTGCCGATGTGGAATAAACAGGCCGTGAGATTTTTGCATGTGGGCTACGCTGGCAAGGAAGTCTGGGGAGAGATTGGGGCAGAAGAGGCATTGCCCAGGAATGAATGGTTGCATGGCCGCGTTGTGAGAGTTAGTTGACTCTTCCGAGAAATTCAGTACGTTGCAAATATTCTGACTTGAGAGCGAGTCCATCGAATCCCAAAGTAGCGCTGTTGTTGCTGTGCTCGTTGCTGTTGTTGTTGCACCCGGCATTTACAAGTGGTTGTTCGAGTGGAATAAGCTTCTTGTCTTAGTCGTGAGAGGTGGCGGAACTGGATCCTGTTGTTGTATCTAAGAATTGAAGTTCTCTTTTCGAATGAATTGATAGAATGAAATAATCTCTACTCATATGATTTTCATGGTTATATAATGGCTTGTATTCACAAAATCTTCCGATAGCCAAACTAGACGGCGCTGTGAGCATCCATAGCTTCTCAAGACCAGAGGTGCTGGCTGAGAAGTCCGAGCCGTGAGACTAAGCCCATTGAGGCCGAGAATGTGCGCGATGAATGAGACGGTCCACTATAACTTGGGGAATTTGCCAATAATGTCTTAGCATCTCGCTGACGAGGTATGATTCATAATGAACGATGCAGCCACTTTCGTTGTTCTACCAATGAGCTGTGAGGTGACTCACGACAATACTTGAGACAAACATGAATGTCAGAGACCTTGAAACCGTTCTTTCTCTTTTCTCGTATTCTGACTTAGACTCTGACTGAGCAATATCATCAGGAGATTGGAGGATTAAGAGCCGCGACAGGCCGAGAATAGCCGAGAGTCTAGCGGTGTTCACAACTGGTGCAACTCACGTTGTACATCGGGTTAAAGCCACACAAAGACACCACTAGAGTCACAAGCTCGGAGGTGCGGCTCAAGGAAATGAGTGCATTTGACATTGACTACATTCATCTACTCTATTTGAATGTCTCTCTGATGTGATTGGAACACTGGGTAGAAGACGTCAATCATCGTCCGTATTGAACAGCAACAATCTGGCTGGACAACTCATTGGGCGGGATCTCCAACCCACAGCGACCGTCTGCAGAGCAGGTCCCTTTGGATATCCCGTCAGTGCAGGCCTGACCTGCGACGCCACCACCCTTCTTTTGTGGAGCTGTCGGCATTGATATTAGCAGGCAATTAAGTGCAGGTAGGGTTGATGGTCTAGAAAGCATTGAGTGGTAAGACGTACTCGCATTGGCAGAGACAGACAGCCCAAGGATCAAGAGAGCGGCGTTTGCGAAGAACTTCAGTTTGATAGGTAACGTTCAATGCAATGCAAATTCTTGTTTAATCAAAATGAAATCCAATGAGTTCGATGAATACTTGCGAAAGGGAACAAAAACGAAAAGAAATAGAATTATGTAGAGCAGCAAGATGTGGAACCAGCGCGAATGACTGAGGGGATAAATGAGTATGTTTGATAAGTTACTGTTCTTGCCAGCTTTGATCCTCAGGATCTTCGTCGCTATTTAATCAGTGGGCAGTTTTGCCAGTAAGATCATCACTTGCTGTAATCAACTCTGTAGGGAAGATTTCTTTTCGACCTTGAGATCTTCCCTTATTCATTCGCTTTCGGCTTCCTTGGATTTGCCTTCGCTTACAGCGACTTGCAACGTCACAAGTTTGGATGGAATCCAGGTTGACACTGCACACTCTTGCAGATGAAACTACACTGCCGTCTATTGAGTCAGCCACTCCAGATATTCGACTTCTAAACGTCCCCATGGGATCCAAGGGAATGGCACCACCCCTCGTCTGATAGACATGTGAAAAGCAAAACAGTGTAGCAACAGAGGCGTAGTATTGAGGTTTCCAAAAGGCTTGACGTTACATGTAGGTAACTAGCACCGCGAAAACCTCACAAAGGGTCTTATGGGGTTTAGAAACCTCCGTTCTGTTGAAGTATGACAGGTTTTGGCTTGAAGTTGGCCCTCTTTCCAGGAGGAACACTTCATTACCGAGCATATCATTTCGGAATCCGAGCGCTCCGAAATGCGAGAGTGATGTGCCTTCGACTAAGCGCTCATCCTATTTTTACAAGACTCCGCAAGCCTTTCCAGTATGCTCAAGTGCCACTCAAACTCCTTCACGCTAATGCTGAATCGCCGCAGATTCCGCGTCCCCACGAACATTGCCCCCTCGATATCGTCAGGCAGGATATCTCTGAAGACAGGGCACATCGTCGCCACTCGGAGGATGATTACCATGGTAAAGGTCCTGTGAAGGTGTCAGAAACGAGTTTCCACGGAAAGAGCAGTCTGCAGCTTAGGAGTTCACACTTACACCATCCCTCCAGCGAACAATCCAGTGATGCTGTTGGCAGGATCAATGTCGAACACGTTGATGAACCCCTTGCACCCCTCAAGGCACATTCGACATCGCTCCAATATCGCCTCCCGGCACGGATGCGTCTCGAAGTGCGCCATGTTCAACATCACGTACTCGATGAAAGGGCGATGAATGATGTACTGTCCCGCATAGTACCGACCCTTGAGCCTCAGCACATTCCATGGATTGTTCCCCAATTCCTCAACTCTGATGATACCAGGCGTCATGGGCGAACTCGCATACTCCGGCTGTTGCCCAGGCGTTCGTCTAGGCTGGCTCGTGAGTAGGAAATCGGGGAGATTGCGGTAAAGCGCACCGTGATAGGACCAAAGATCCTCGGTGATTCGCAGTAGCCAGTTGGCGTAGTTGGTGCGCGTCATGCGGAACTGGTCTTTGCTATCAAAGACGACGCTGTTGACCCGGTTAAGGAAACGCCTGATTGCCGCGTTGGTGCTGATCTGGAAGGCGACGAGTTCCTCGGTCCTGTCAAAAGACGTAGATGCCGGACTCGCCACATCTGCCTCCAGTGTCGCGTGGGCCATGGTGAAGTCTTTGTGCTGCTTGGGTGTTTCCGGGGCTGGATAGGGCACGACGTCTTCGTATCGCGCTATACCTGAGGGTAATGTTATTGAGATCTCGGACACAAAGTCGCCCTCGTAAATCAGAGCGACCCAGAATAGTCTGCGGAAGGCGTCCGAGAATCCGTCATTGTTTTCTGCGCCCGTGGCAGCTCTGTTTCTTTTTTTTTAGTAATCAAGTTGCCCGCAGAAAGGAATCACGAGCTTCTCGAGATAGTAAGTACCTTTTCGCGAGCCCCTCGCACTTGACGGCGGTTGCATGCGCCCAGTGGAAAGAATCTGCTATTCGTCCGTTCGCATTCATGTATAAGCTGCAAGCCATCAGTTTCGGTAGAACAATCTGAAGAATACAAACATGATTCTGACCTCGCCAACATCGTGCATTGTGCTGCTTCAAGGCTGAATTCAGATGATATGAACCCCAGTAACAGCCGCGCTTTCCGCCAAAGTTGTTCATCAATCCCTGGAAAGTCTCCGATAATGCTCGAGCTTATGGGTCTCTGGTGTTGACCTCCATCTCGGCCTGCTCTTTCATCTAATGATATGCGATAATCTCCGGTGCAGACAAAGGATCCCATGCAAAGCACCAGCAGCAACAGACAGTACCGAGACGGCGCAGTAAGGGGCGCGACCACACTCGCAGTCTTTTCCGACGCTACTGCTTCATTAAAAGTGTAGATGATGTCCTCCGGGGATAGGAGAGGAAAGAAGATGTTCACTTCGGCAAAGTACTCGTGGATCACCTCCCGATACCGGTCAGCGGCATCGATGGATACTGGGAGGCTCCGGTCTTGAAATAATCTCCAAGACTCGGGAGGGCATGACGAAGAGTCTGTAGCTGAATCTTTGCGGAAGAAGATGTCAGTTGCTTCCGCTGAGCGCAGTCCCGGGAACTCTGGCCGTGGCGGTGGTGCCTCCGAGTCCGTTCCTGATAGCAACTGCTTAACTATGGGCCACTCAAAGACATGGTTCGCATTCGCTGTATGAGATAGAGGAATTGGGATTTGAGCATCACCGTCAGGATTCCTGGTATGTACCGAGTCCAATTGGTCCCTCAACGATGTCGAGTCAAGAACTGCCTCGGGCTGTGTATGATGTGCCGATCCCGGAGTTGTGGCATGTCGTGTAGCCTGAGGTGACGGCGTATCTAGAGACGGCTGTGAAGCTGGCTGGTTCTGCTGTTGCTGTTGTCCAGAGAACACTGGTGAAGAAAGCAGACGATCTTCCAACATCTGGATACGCTCCAATAAGATCCTGGTATTCTGCTCGATGCGTGGCTGGTTCGAGTCGCGGTAGACGCACTCCACGTTCTGCGTCACGCAGAGGCTGCACTTTGGCTTGGCAGCGTCGCATCGCGTCTTACGGGCCCGACAGTTTGTGCATGCCTGCCACACACGGCGTCGTGCCGGGAAGTAATGGGCCGCGGAGAAGGAGGAGGAGGACGGCGCGGAATCGTCCATGATCGGCCGCCCATCGGCATCGGGAGCACAAGGATACGGAAGTGAGTTGTGCGATTTGCGGAGAGGGAGCTGGAAAATCCACTGGAGAAAAGGGGAATTTTGGCGGGATTTAACTGGTTAAGACCACGGTTTAAGTGACTTCAGGGGGGGCATTGCGTGGGGAACTTCCCCGCTACGCCCCGGCTGTCCTAGTGCCGTGCGACGCCGCGATCTTGCTGGAGGTCTGTCCGTGATGTTCGGGCTGGAGGACGGATTCTTGTGGCTTGCTTGTATTTCACCCAGCAATCACAGACTGCCTTGAGAACGTGTGTTTGTGGGAAACCCAGATGGCGCATGACGGGCTTAACAAAGAATTAGGTCCCACATGACAAGAACCTCGTCTAGGAAAGCCGTAAGATCTGATCAATAACAAGCAAAGCTAGGGGTCTTATGGTCAATCTTTCGTGGCTTAAGAAGCCTAAGAAACCGGGTGGAGGATATATTGCAAGTGAACTGAAAAAAGTTGAAACCGTAGTCATCATTCTATCATACTCAAATAACGCCAATGGATGCAATCCATACAGCCTCGTCATGATGTCGAGGTATATGAAAGTCTCAAAGTTATGAAGTAACAGCAATGGGAGTTGCAGTGGCCTGAGCAAGATGCTTCTTCTTCTCATCAGGTGCCAGCTCAAAAACGCCAACACCAGATACCGTCTCTTTAGGCTTTCCTTGCTCCTTCTCAACCTCTGAAGGAATCACCTTGCCCTCCAACCTCTTGTCCTCAGGCGTCATTGGCGCATATAGACTCAACAACTCATTTAGCCTCTCGCGCTGAACACAGTTCTCGTACTTCCAGCTGGCAGCAAGCTCATCGAGCTCCTCAAACGTCTTGTCCTTGAAGTAATCGGCCCATTCGGGGATCATGTACTCTGTCATGGTGATGCCACGGATGCCGCGGAACACGTGCATATGCATGCGCCACTGCCACGGGTACTTCTTGTTGTATTGTGCGGGGACGTTGTCTTCAAACCACTTGTGCAGGGGGCCGAAGAGGTTGGGCTGGAGGTGTGCGTCGTCGTAGGCCCAGCTGTCGACGGCGAGATCACGCTTCTTACGGATCATAGGGCCGAGGAGCTTCAGCCAGGCGGAGTCGGGGGATAGATAGGTCATGCCCATGACGTTGACGTCCTTGTAGGCCCAGATACTCCATGCTGTGGATGACGCTATTAGCAAATGTCTCAAGAGCTCGCATCACAAATTGTCCTACCAATGCCTTCGTCGGTATATATGGCCATTTGTTTGTCGAGCATCTTGTATCGTTCCTCGTTGTGCTCTTCGAAGTCCGGGTTGTACTCCTTTCGTTCGTAAATCGGACCGAATTCGCCTGTAACCTGATTGTTAGTAGCTGGTCTGATAAAATTAAAGGTCTTCCATACCATTCCAGATTGGCACGTTGTGCTCCTTCATAAAAGCAACCTTGCGGTCGTACATTTGGCGGATGTAGACATCCTGATCCGCCAAACCTTGGTATCTACCAATGCGGTTCGGGAAGCCAAATCCACAGTAATCGTGTACCGCGTATACAGAGTTATCGAATACCTTTGTAAAGCCGGAGAAGTCCATGCTAAATGTGTTGCCCTCAAGCCAGAGAATGTGTTCGGGATCAATATCGCGGATAGCGGGGACGATGCGATCGTAGAAGGCGAGCAGGCGAGTCCACTCGACGTCGGCGGGTTCGTTGAGGGGGTTGTATCCCGCGATCCACGGATTTCCCTTGTATCGCTTCGCAATAACCTGCCACAGGTTGATGACTCTATCTTGGAAATGCTTGTGGTCCCAGAAGGCGGCGTAGCCGGTCGGGTTGTCGGAGTGCCAATCCTGGTTTTGGCCGCCGGGAGCGGAGTGGAGGTCGAGAATCGTGTAGATTTTGTACTTGGCGCACTACAAGAAGAAAGATTAGTCGGGAATAAGACTCCGAGGAACATTAGAGGAACCTACGATTTCAATTGCGCGATCAAGATGCTTGAAGCCTTCCTCTTTGATTACGAAGGGGTTCATGTCATCTTCGAAGTGGTGATAGTTGAAGGATAGACGGATGCAGTTGAAGCCAATTGATGCAAGGAATTCGGCGTCTTTCTCGGTGAAAAAGTATTCGAGGAACTTGTCGAAGAAGAAATCGCACTTCTCCTTGCCTAGCACCCTCAGGAGTGCAGCACGGATCTGGTGCTCACGGCCGGGGAAGCCATTCATGAAGTTCTCCATCAGCATCCAGCCACCGAGGGCCGTCTATGTTTCAAATACGGGTCAGAAATCGATTCTCAGGCGCTCACATGCTGGGTGTAAAGTCGTAGACACTTACGCCGCGGAGAAGGACGGGCTTGCCCTCAGCATCGACGATGCTAGAGCCAGACGTTCTGAGGATTCCGTTTGACATTGTTGCAGTCAAATTGGGCCAAATACGAGAGAGGATGGCGGAATCAAGGGACAGAGACCAAACAACTCCAGGGGGGCAAGTCGAGCTCCTAAATAGGACCATTCACATGTGCGCAATGGTACAAAGCCAGAGGTTCGTAGGATCCATCACTCGCATTGCGGAGTCTGCGCGTGAGGTCCACACGATAGTCCCCATGACGTCCCATCATTGTCTTTGAGTAGCTCGTCGCCGGTCGGTCAACTGAACTCGTACATACGCGCCGCCGAAGCCCAACGCGCGACGGCAAGTCCCCCGCGTTGAACCTTCGGGGCAGACTTCGACGCTTCCCCGACCCCACGTTCCCAACTCGGGGGACTTATTTGGATGCCCCGCATAGCTTAGACGACGGACGACAGCAGCCGGAGGACTCACGGGACGCTAGGGGGAAGGTTTTGAATGCCCCGACGGGGTCTAGACACGACCGGGGGGTGCATTTAGTTCCCCCGAGAACTCATGATTCGTCAATCTTGTAGAAAAGAGGGATCAGGGATCTCATATGCACTCCACACTATTGTCGGCCGACGCTACACAACTTATGTTGCTCTCACTAGTCTACACGGTTTTGCTGCACTCTATTATTCTACGGAAACAATCGGACGAGTCAGACGAGCTTCACTTCATCCGCAACTTCTAATCGTTCGTTTCCCCATGGAGACTCGTCCAAACAACTTCATCTCGTGATGCCCCGGATGTGGGGACTGAGTTTCCTTTTACCCCAACCCCCGGGTCTTCTCCGCATCCCATCATCCGACTTAACCTGCCAACCCCTGTCATTGTCTCGATAGTTCCCAGGTCTTCCTCGGCAGGCAGAGCCTTTGCGTCCCAGGCGTACGGTTCTACCATCATTGTTGTGTGTGGGTGTGAAGTGCTAACTTCCCGCGCCAATGGTAACATCGCTCGATCGGGAAGCTTCTTCTCCTAGACTCAGATGCCGCCCTCGTACCGCCGTCCCTGAACCAGAGTATTTGACACCAATTCAACGAGCAGAATCCGGTAGAGTCCCAGAGCGTTCCAGGAGTGTTATTGACATCGTTCCGCCTCGGCAGGCTACTTTAGCTACGCGCATATAAGAACACACGAGATCCTAGCTATCTGGGCCCGTTGTCAACTCAGAAGTTCATCTCCACTGCTGAGCCAACCTTGCCTCCTTTCTCCCGGCTGAGCTATTCTCAACTTCTCTGTTCTTCCCCGCCATTGCCACAATGAACTTCCTCCGCCAACGCCTTCCTGCTCCGAGGCAGGACCAGCAAGCCCGACGAGCTCGCCAGCAAGGCGGATCGGCAGCGGCGAGCGAGAGCTACCAGCCCTCTCGCATCGCTCAACTCGCCCAGGAGTCTCCCACCTGGTACAAATCCGCCGCCCGCCGAAAGCTCTACTTTCTCCTCTTCCCCGCCGCCGTCGTGTCGTACGCCACGAGCGGCTACGATGGCTCGATGATGAACTCCCTTCAGACCGTATCCTACTTTGACGACTTCTTTGACAACCCGCGCGGCGCGGTTCTCGGCTTGATGAGTGCTATCATGGCTCTGGGGAGTATCTGCTCGACGCCCATCGCTCCGTGGGTCGCTGATAAGTTTGGAAGACGATGGGGTATCACGACGGGAAGCTGTATCATGATTATTGGTGCAATTTTGCAGTGCGAGAGTACCGCGTTTGCCATGTTTGTCGTGAGCAGGTTCATCCTCGGATTCGGGCTTTCTTTTGCAACTACTTCGGCTCCGAGCTTGGTTAGTGAGCTGTCGCATCCGAAGGACCGCGTCACCATCACGGCCATTTGCAATACTTGGTATGTACTGTCTAAATTAGCTATTTGGAGAACGACGAGCATCAGGAGCTAACGACGTGGGTTTGACAGCTGGTATGTAGGTAGTATCGCGGCAGCATGGATCACCTTTGGTACTCGAAATATCCCTAGCACCTGGTCTTGGCGAATCCCGTCTCTTCTACAGATGGCACCCAGTGTGGTACAGCTCGCAGCCATCTGGTTTGTCCCCGAGTCTCCGCGATGGCTTATTTCACATGATCGTGGGGACGAGGCCATGGAGGCTTTGAAACAATACCACGGTGAAGGCGAGGAGACGGAGTTGGTCAGACTGGAGTTTGAGGAGATCAGAGCCGCTATTGACAATGAGAAGAGTAAGTCAGGAGAGCCCATGGATTATCAAAGCATTCTCTAATGGTCGTCAAGGACTTGGAAGCACTACTTGGGCATCAATGGTTAAGACCAAAGGCAACCGATACCGCATGTTTCTTGTCATCTGTAAGAAAATCGTCCAAGCAGTCAGGACTTTGTCCCATTGCCCAACTAACGCTGGCAATAGGCATGGGTTTCTTCTCGCAGTGGTCTGGTAACGGGCTGATTGCTTACTGTAAGTAGAAGACGATCCACGTTTTCCATGTTTTTTTGAGTAGGATGTGAACATTAGCTGACACGGACTAGACCTCTCGAGAATCATGGATACCGTTGGCATCACAAACAAGAACACCCAAGCTCTGGTCAATGGACTACTCAATATCTGGAACTTCGGTCTCGCCTTGACCACTGCATTCTTCGTCGAACGCATCGGACGCCGACCTCTCTTCCGCATCTCAACTTGTGGCATGCTCGTGGTCTTCATCGGCTGGACCATCGCTTCAGCCCGTTTCGCCGAGACCAGTGCCAGCTCCGCCGGTATCGCCGTCATGGCCCTCATTTTCATCTACCAGATTTTCTACTGCATCGCCTTCTCGCCCTTGCCGGTCGCTTATTCTGTGGAGGTCCTGCCGTACTCCATTCGCGCCAAGGGCATGGCAACGTACGTCTTCTCGACCAAGGCTGCTGTCTTTGTCAACCAATACGTCAACCCGATTGGCATTCAGAACATTGGGTGGCGCTTCTATATCGTCTATGTCGCTATCTTGGCTGTGGAGGCTTGCATCGCTTATGGGTGGTTCTTGGAGACTAAGGGCAAGGCGTTGGAGGAGATTGCTGTCATCTTTGATGGTGAAGAAGCGAATGTTCGGATTGCGGAGAATGGGAAGGGAGATGGTCCTATTGACGTGGAGGAAACGGAGCACGCAACTTCAAAGGTCTAGTTCGAGCGGATTTGTCTACTTAAAGTAACCATGTACGCGATAAATTTCACACGAGGACAGACTTGGACATGAGGGCATGATAGCAAAACGGCCAGAGTAAGCAGATTAGATCACTACACGAGAGACAAATTCTTTGAGAGTCTGTGTTTTTGAAATTTAATTCATGAAAAACTAACTTGAGTTGCTTAAGTATGAGATTGATGACCTACATTTGTCCCTTAAAGGCCCCAATCATGCCAGAGCGGACCTGATGAGGGCATGAACATACATTCCAGTCTAGAGCCAGCTACGACTAAAAAGCATTCGAAGTTTATACTTTGGTTTCCTTCCTGGCCGGCAGCTGTCTTCGTCGAAGCCTTACATCCAAGCCTTTCTGGGAAACAAACCAGCTAGAGCAATGGTCAGCAATCCATTTAGGTACATCACTCATGATGCGGTACTTACTAGCATTTTTCCTCCAAGATTGCCTCGGGGTCAGTAAGCTCGAGATCGAAGTGCAGGAAGAGGGTTGGGATAAGCTGTATGGTTACCTCGTTAGCAGCGGGCACAATCAGGGACGTCCAGGGATCGGACCTTGGCCATCTCCATCCAACTGATATCTACGCCATTGAGTTAGCAGAACTTTTGGACTCAATACTTGCGAGATCACCTACTTCGACCAAGGCACACTCGAGCTCCGGATCCAAAGGCGAAGAAGAAACGATCTATGAAGAGTTTGGTCAGAAAATGGAGACAGGACTAGCCAGGGAAACTTACGCATGTCGCTATTGTCCTCTATGAGCCACCTCTCAGGCCGAAACGCGTAAACATCTTGACCATACACTTCCTTGCTACGATGAACAACCCAAGGGTTGACTCCCACGACAGACTAATAGAAATATAAGTTAATGGCAGGTTCCAAAGTGCAGGATGACCTCGAGGTGTGGAGATGGAGGCCATGCTTACTCCGGCTGGCATGTGGCAGCCAGCAATGTCATAGCCACCTTGGGGCACTACACGAGGAAGAGTCATGCCGACCGCAGGGTGCACTCGCAAGCCTTCATACATCGCCGCTTGCAGGTAAGGCATCTTCTCAGATTCTGCAATAGTAACCGGATCGCTGAGCTTCCCTTGTCTCCAGTGCTCATCGACTTCCTCAATGAGTCGGCGTTTCGCTCCGGGGTTCTTTAAAAGATGATAGATGATTGACCTAATCGAAATTGCGGTTGTGTCGCTTCCAGCAAAGATGTTTGAATTGGCCATGGAGACCAAGTCGGAGTAATCAAACTTTTCGGGTTTCTCTTTGTGAACGGCGAGTAGCTTTGTCAGAATGTCATGGTGGTCAGATCCCCGGTCTTGTCTGGCGGCGACCTCGCGTGCAGCAAATTTGCGCAGGCTTCCATGGCGAGAAGCTATACCCATCCACGTTCCAATGACGGGAGATAAGTAGTCAAAGATCCAGTATAGCCATGGCACTTGGCCGATCCAAGCGGCAGATCGTAGCGCAGTCTCGATTTGTTCGAAGGAGCCATCGTCAGATTCGACCTCCATGAAACCGAATCGCTTCGAGAATGTGACTTCTCCGATCACATCTGCGGTGATGTACCATTAGTAAACCACTTCTTGGTATGTCGAAAAGTTTGAGGAAAATACCACACCAAAAGCAAAGAGTTGAACCCAGTTTCCCAAATCCACTTGTCCCCCAAGCATACCGCCCAGCTTCGCTAGAAAGACCTGGATGGCGTTGTCCACGTATGGCTCGAGCTCTTTCAAGGATGTCATTGCATATGGCCTACTGATGAGACGACGCTGGGCCGAGTGAATCCGATCATCTCGTTCAGGAAAAATGTCGAATTTGCGCCTCCCTTGCCAGACGCTGTAAAAGTCGGACTTGCGGAACTTGGACCCCGCGCCTAAACGTACTCATATCCAACGTTAACCTCCACAAGGACGATGACGTGTCGAGCCCTTACCGTAAATTATCTTTATGGATGTGAGATCTGAGATGCTCCTAGCAAAGAAACCCCCAAAGGTTAGCTCTGGATCTCGAATATTTTACTGCCCGCGATGCTTACACTTCGCTTGGCGCAATGCGTACAACCTTGCCATGGACCTCATGCAGACGCATCGTCACAATGTGAAGATCGCCAGTGTATGAGTGATACGCAAGCCATACTCTAGAAAGACTGGCCCAGTAAGGTCCGGGAACCCTGGCAAATGGCGAGAAAACTCGCTGGTAGAGAAACCAAGAGAACAGTAAAATTGCCGGTGCTATCTCAAGAGCCGCCAATGGATACCCTGGCTGTTTTTGGTCGTTGAAGATGATCATTGTGTGAAATTTACCACCAAGCGTCGGAGAAGGATTTCTATAGGTGACGATTGGATGGATAAGAGGATATTATAGCAGAGGTCCCGGACCTATTCGGTGACTTCCGATTTGAATCCGACTTACATCAATGGCTAGAGGCAGGTTAGAGTTTGATGTTACGCATCTTTCTCGGGTTATCCGGCTGCTCCCCTTGGGGCGCCTATGCTGCATGAAGGCGATCACGGTGACGTCCTGCGGGGTAGACCCATCGGACTGAAGAGACGGAAGAGACGGAAACACTGGCAAGCCAACGAGGGTTGATCGAGATCATCGCGGCACATGGGCACGGTAAGCTGAGTGCCGGCCCCATTCCGGCCGGCCCCGCTCCCTTCTCCGCCGTGCCGGACTTAACTCCTCGTTCGAACCTTTCCAAGAGAGCAACGAACGACGTAAGTGCAGTTTCAGTGTTTTTATCTCCTGATTCAAGTACATAGTATAGTTGTCTCAAAAGAGCAATCAAGCCCATGACAGCAACATGCTTGGAATTTGGAGGTAATATCAAGACCAATCCTGGCCGTTGACGACACAATATGGTGCCAGGGCTCCCTCGCCAATCTCCCCGGCTTCACACGGCTTGACGCAACCCTCGTAGCGTGTGCAGATGACTCCAATTTTTGCGAGACAGTAGTTGGAAAGAGTAGCAGTATCGCCATAGTTTTGATTTACCCCCACTAGTAGTCGTCAGCACGGAAGAATTTCCAAAGATCAAACACGCACATCTCCTGGCTTGAGACTAATATTTCATGTGACTTACTGACTACTCCTTGTATTCCAACAAAATTGGTGATGTTGACATGTCTCTGGAACTGTTGGCTGCAATTGCCGCATGATCGGTAGAACTTGCCGAATTTGTTGGCATAGAAGCCGTCGATGTGCAGCCATCCTTCACCTACGAGTGAACGATGTTAGAACTCTTGTGCTCAAATCAAGTGTTACGACGTCTCAGCTCTGATTACTCACCGTTATGCTGAAAGACCTTATCACTGGCCTCTTTCGCCCCTCCGCCCTTGACGTATCTCGGTCCAGTGCCTTTGAAAGTCGCCGCGTCCTCACACACATCTTCCCACCAGACGTTCTCAATAGTACAGGGGCCGCGGCAATGTACGCCCTCAGCTTGAGCAGGGCCGATGATGGCGTTTTTCAGCGTCGCTCCGCTCTCCAAGATGAATACGGCAGCAGCCTCGTCTTGCTCGGCTTGGCCTTTGCAGTCGCCAGAGCTACCTTTGCGATCAAAGAGAGCCATTTTGCCATCAAAGACGGCGTTGGCTGGGATCAAGGAGGCAGTGGGGAACGAGGTGCTTCCGGTAGCTGTGGGCCATTTCGTGTTGACCGACGGGTGTGGGCAAGATACACCTCCGGAAGCTTGCCATTTGATCGTGCTTGTTGAGGTCGTTCGCGTCGAGGTGGTTTTGGTAGACTGGGCAGATGCAAGTTCAATGGCGAGCACAAGCCCAAAGAGAGTGGTAGAACGCATGCTGGAAAATACTTCTGGACCGAGGATTAAAGCATGAGAGGGAGCTGGTTAGAATTAGGAATTTGAACTTGTACGGTTTTATACACGTGAGGTATCTGTCGAATTACTGGAATTTTGATGTCATGATAGGATAGCTATCACGTGTAATCATGTCGAGTAGCTACGAGGTCGAAGCTGGTGGCAATGTCTGGCGTTATTCGATGAATGCTAGTCGTGGTAAATTCATTATTAATTTGTCCGCCAAGACCTGCAGATGCCCTCAAACTCCATCAGTTCAACTCTGACATCGTGCTGAATCGAGGTCTGCCAAGACTTCAAGCAGCACCTAGCTGACCTCCCACCCACTGACGGCCTTGCTTGTTCCACCAATCCCACCCAAATCAGGAAGCTGAGGGATGCTCCAACGTAACACTAAGGCGATCTTATGCATACTATGTGTATGCAGCCAAAAGGCTTATTTAGATTCAATGAAAACTGGGCGTGATTAATACCACTAGAGGACTGGTTGGGCTCTTTGCTTGTCTGAGTGTTTTCGTAGAGCCTTGCTCTACACACTAAAACTTGGTGCTACTTGTATCATACCTGATTTCATGCTGTTGTCACAACGTTTATCTGAAGGCTGCGTCAGACCATGCATTCCAATGCTCAAAATTCAAGAAGTTCCAGACAACATTCGGATCCACCAAGTTTGCATCAAAGTCCCCAGGAATCATGGCGTCTCCAAGCTCGGTGTCCCCAGAATGGAGGCTCATACCCTCTGACATAAATGCGGGAGAAGTCTGCATCAACTGGCTAACATCATCATGCATCCTGAGTGCGGGCTCGGCTTCCGTGGCCACGCTCGTCTGACGCTGTTGTACTGAGTGTGTTTTCGCTGCGACGTTGAGCAATTCTTTAACAATGTCGGCACATCGTCTAGCCACTGCGAGCATCTTCATTGCTTTAAAGATGTCGAGGCTCAGCTCGATATTTTCCATAACCTCTTCGGCGGGGAAGGGGCATATGTTTGAGATCAGGACGTGTAGGAGGACCATGCAGGCGTCTAGCAGGTACATGCAGTTGTACCACCTTCCTCGAGTTAGCTGTCTTCAGGTTAAAGCTCCAATCGGCGTGAAAACATACCACGTCCTGAAATAAGGTCGGTGTAGGTAGCTTGTGTGCATAAACTTGATAGTCTCGGTGGCAGCTTTGACGCACGAGGTGACATGTCGCGAGACCGTGTTACGGTCCGCTTCTTGCGTCTTTGAAATGATGAACTGTCGATGAAGAAGTATCCTTGCGTTTAGGAAACCTACCCACGTATATTAGTAACGCTAGTGAATTGGCATGATGGGCCGGCGAAGCATACGTAGCTTGAGAACGGTCTTTTGCTTCATGGCGAATTCGCTGTCTTCCAATGATGATGTGTCAAATCTGAGCTGTCTCGGCAGCCCAGACTTCCAGTCATCCAACTCCCTGTCCAGGTTGAGCGCAGTCTGCGACAGTCGTTGGAAGGATGTGTGACTACTGTGCAGACCCAAGTTGTCCGTCATCCACATGAGAATCTTGGCCAAGTCAACCATGGGATTGATCAGACAATACGCCGAGTTGGGGAAATGCTTCATTGTGGTATTAGCAACATGTATTCGACCTTTGTTCCCAGTTTTAGACTCACCGAGGTTTTCGGGAAGGGTATTGAGTAGGAGCTTGGAGCACGTAGTCCAGATTGACGCCCGGCAGAAAAGCACATTTCGCTAGCTGGTCAGCGTTCCAAACGAACGAAACTAAGTACGGTGCGTAACCTACATCTCGTGTGAGTAAAGAGACCTGGACACGTTAGCACCACATACAACTACGAGTGTCTTTGTGAATGCCTACCACCAAAGCAAGCTTTCTGGGCTTGTCTCGGAACGTGTATTAGTCGGGATACCCATGGCCGACGCAGTTCTTATCGCCATGCCGCTGTACATGTAACAGCTATGAGGCTTCAACGCATTTTGACCGAATACCGACTGCAGTTTAAAAGTCAGCCATCTGGCTCTGAAAGCCTCCGCGTTGAATATTCTGCCTGGAACTGACCATGAGGAATAGTGTTTGCGCAGTTTCAAGCGAACTCGACTCGCAAATGTCTTCAAGGTGAAGCCTCGACCTTTCGAAAAACCTTCTCGCCAGACGTATGGGTGGGTAGAGTGCTTCTTCGTCGCTGGTTTGTCCAGTGCGGTCCAAGAACTCTTTGGTGTGGTCTTCCATGAGTAAGGATGTCTCTCCCGCAGTAATGGCCCCGATAGCAATGACAACATTGTACAGTGCCAGAAACCTTGCCTCCCGACGCATTTGCGCAGAGATGATTATGTCTGGCCTTGAAACTCTGGACCATATTTCTTCCTCACATCTCTTGAGAAAGGTCATCTGTTCGAGGATTGGGTGGATGTTGTGCAGGTTTTGGAAGTACAGGCGAACACATTCCCGCTCAAGCTCCGTCGCAAACGCGGCATCCACCGCGCTAAGGACGACATCGGCAACAACGCCTTGCTGATACGACTCCCTTCTGCCGCCATTGCTCTGCGGACTTGCCTTTGCGAACTGGTTCTGACCGAGGATTCGAGAGTCCGGGGGCGTCGAGTAGTCTGAACTATGCAGGAGATTTACGATGGAGCTCTGCTTCCGGTGCGTGCCGACTTCCGGTTGTTTCTGTGTGTTCGCCCGAGAGCGAAGCCGGGCGAGAAAGTAAAATGTCCCCGTGGGTCCGTAAAACTCGGCACCCTCGGTATGCTCGTTGACCTGGCCAAGGCCGTCTACTTCTTGTTCTGAAGATGTTGATGAGCCTCTTTCCATGCGGCTTGGCTCTTGCGGGTTCAGCTGGATTGGGTTCTCGTGCTTGATTGGTTCATCTAGGCTGACTGGTGATGGATGAAGATGCTCAGGCAATGATGGCTGTGGCTGAGGAATCAGCTGAGGTTGAGGCTGCAACCGTTGTTGCAGGCGGCCGGTGGGATCGTATGAGGATGACCTCTTACTCGGTCTGTGGGATGAGTTAGTTCCAATCAAAACTCATCATGTTCACATCACATACAAGTCTTCCGGTCCTTCTTTGTACGAGCACGAGAATTCGTGTCCTTTGCGGAGACCATGTCAGCCATCAACAGCATACATCCTAAGAGAAACAACACACTCACGAACACAGTTGGAGCATGGCGAACTACCATCACACTGAAGGGGATTTGGTTAATATGTCTGTTCGCTGAAGGCATCTTTAAGCTGCACCGACCTTGACTTTACGAGCTCGACATGTACCACAGGCTATCGGCGCACGAGGTCTTCGCTTCCTCTTGAGATTATTACCAGAGTTCGGGTTGTCCGAGGATCTAATGGCTGCAGTGGGGATCTCCGTCTCCATTCTGATAAGATCGCAAAAGCGCGGAGATTTTGGAACTTTTGGTAAACGTTGAAAGAGGAAAGTACAAAAGAGAGACGCGAACCATGAGCGGGGCTTCGGGGCTATGAGGCTACAGCTCACTAGTACAACGGGCTGAGCGGAACGATCATCTGGGGCGTGCCATGCAGGGGGTTCGCCTTTGAGGGGTGTTTGTGAGACAAGGAAGCTTCGGCCAAAGTTTCTAAGTAGTGAGAGGATCACAAAGCGTCATGAACGTCGACGTCGCTCAGACGTTTACCCCAGAAAATTAGACGAATCGGAATGACTCGTTCGGAACCCACGCTTCCAGCGAATAGGAGGCTGTCCGTCGGAAAGCATCGCGCCTCGGGATGAAGCCTCCCAGCATATCCCATCGGCGTTCTTCCGCAATAAAGATGACCTTATTGTCGTCTTTCCCCATTCTTTCAGCAAAGATAGTTCTGTCTTCTATAACAAACAGTTTGGCCGGCGGGAATGATGCTTGAAATCGCCCAGCCATCACGCCCAGAGGGCGCCTACAAGGTTGACTTCTCATCTTGTAATTTGAAACCAGACAATGTTCAAGTAGGAGATGTTTCAGTCGAGGTACCTGTTCTCATCGCAGGTGGTGGTCCGACTGGTCTGTTCACAGCATATATGTTGTCTAAACATGGTGGTAAGCAATGTTACGTAGGCCTGTGCTGCTGTGGGCTCTCTCAATTTGATGGGGTAGAACGCTAACAGCTTACAGTGAAATCGCTTCTCATTGAGAAGTATCCTGAAAGGCTGGCTGCACCTAAAGCCCATGCACTGAGTCCAAGAACCCTTGAGATATGTAGACAATATGGACTTGACACGAGAGCGATACGTCAGTTAGGGTCGCCTCGTGATGATGCCTACTGGGTCAACTTCTTGACGAATCTCACTGGCGAGAAGATTGGAGTCCTTCCGTACGAGCGGATGGATCCCGGTGTTCTAGAGAGTACACCTGAGGTATGAAAGAAGTTGTGTGCTCCTCGTTCATCGCACTTAAAGTCAATCACTAACATGCCTGTCACTGAAGATGATCCACAATATCCCGCAACCTGATTTTGAGGAGTTCGTCGCAAAACATCTAGAAAATGATCCGAATATAGAGATTCGCAAGGGTGTTGGTTTCGTTTCGTGTGAGCAGGTGTGTTGACCAGATGATCTAGGAGCTCCAAAAGCGAGATACTGACTGCAGTACAGCGAGGCGACAAGGTGACGACCGTCGTTGAAGAACGTCTCACGAAACGTCGTTGGATGGTCACCTCCAGGCACGTTATTGGCTGTGATGGAGCAAAAAGCCAAGTTCGTCAATTTTTGGGGATTGAGACTGAGGGAGAAGATGGATGTAAGTTCTCCTCTGTATTTTTTGTCATTCAATTGGGCTCACAAAGGGGACTCAGACGAGACAATGATGACGATACACTTCAATGCGAATCTCCGACCAATTGTAAAGAATGGCGTAGGCATGCTGCACTGGATCGCCGACCCTGCATGCTCTGGTTTTATCATCGCATACGACCTAGATGGAAACCAGGTTTTGATTAGCAATTTTGATGTAAGTCGGAGCATTCTTGTTACTCCAAAGGCCTCTTTGCTCACCGAAATTATTCGGACTAGTCGAAAAGACATCCTGTGGAAACATGGACGGAAGAACTCGCACATGCCACAGTGTCGGCCGCGATAGGACAAGATATACCGATTCAGATTATGAGCTTTAGACCGTGGGTGCTGAGCCGCAAGGTGGCGAAGGAATACCGTCGTGGAAATGTGTTCTTGTACGTGTCAACTCCAAGTTTCCCTGCACGATGACAATGCACTAATCTTCATCATGACAGAGTCGGCGATGCTGCACATTCATTCCCTCCAACCGGTGGCCTGGGTCTCAATTCTGGTCTGGCAGACGCGCACAACCTTGCTTACAAGGTCGCTGCCGTACACCAGGGTTGGGCGAACCCACGCATTCTCGACACTTATGAGACTGATAGACGACCCATTGCCGTCATTGCGGCAGCGCAGAGTGTCAAGAACGGGAAGTCCATCTTTTCCTTCCTCAAGGCCATTGGGACGGCCGATGTTGAAGACCTCGACGAGGCCCGGAAACGGATGTATGAGGCCATCCACGACCCGGCCAAGCAGGACTTGATAGCCGAGAAGGTCGAGGGACAACGTGAACATTTTGATAATGTGAGTGCATCGCCATCAAATTGGGTACTTGATCCATGTATTAACACAGTCTACTTCAGCTTGAGATTCACATTGGGTATGTGTACGGCGACACGAAGCCACCAACGAATGCGTCGGACTTTACGCCAAAGTTCCAGGCTGGCGCCAGGTTGCCACATGCTTGGATCAAGTTCACAGAGCCGAACGAAAAATGTGAGACTTCGCATCAACCCATCGACACGTCGTATGTGAAGGAGCTGTCAAGTGAGCAAATCGATGCTCGACGCTATTCCACGCTTGACCTAGCGAATGCAGGGACATTCGCTCTTATCGCACCGAGTCGAGAGGCTTGGAGCCAACGGGTGGAGGACTGCAAAGAGGCCCTGGGGAAAATATTAAGTTCCCGCCTTACGCTTTGGGTTGCGGACGTCGATTTCAAGTTCGCTTTTGACAGCCACCGGGAAATGTACGATACGAAGGGTGGATTCTCTGAGGGAGGTGCAATTCTGGTCAGACCAGATCAGCATATCCTGGGTTGCATCAGTCCAGATGCTTCTGCGAGTGACATCGTCACTCTCATTGCGGACCATGTTGGCATATAACTTTAGAAGTACATACTTACGATGAACAGTTTTGGTACGGTGACCAAACGACCTAGAAGTCAATGATACCAAGACTGTTCCAAGTGGGATTAGAGACAATTACTTTCAACACATCATGAAGCGGGTATGACGCGCAATCTTTAGTCTAATAATTCAATAATTTGTCAATTCTCAGTATCATTGTTCATGTCCTTCCTCGACTGTGGTCCTTCCGTCATGGGTATCGAACACGTCGGCAAGCCACTGTACCTGCAGCTCTCGCCACAGTCCACCCACTATTCTTACATGATGAATCAAGGAAAGGAGAAATCATATCCGATTTGCGGTTGACCACCGGACAGCCGGTGCCGTCAGGTAGCTTTCGACTTCAACGACAGGCATGTCGCCAAGTGTTGATGAGCTTGCCTGTGAGTCAAAAGAACGGCGGTTATCTGAGCGCTGAGCCATGACTCTCTTCGTTGCTTTGGAAGCAGGAGAAAGAGAGAAGGAAAAGCGCTTGTTTGAGCTGTGACATGTTGAGGTTAGAGTAAGTCCTATTAATGGTACTTGCTGGGTAATTTTCACTGGTTGGGTAAGACGAACTTGTGTGCCATTATCCTTAGCAATGGGTTCTTCGATTCAAGGTTAAGTCGGTTGACGATATTAAAGTCGAAGGTTTGTGTTATTTTCGAGCTTAGGGGAGTTTACTAAACATGATGTCCAACGTTATGCAACCGTGAGATCTGGAGTTTTTATATAGTCCTCGAAGACCAGGGAGTTTCCGAGTCGGTGAGTACTGCCACTGCTCATGTCATGGAACAGGCAAAAAGGTACGACAACATCCACGTCATCTCAGATCCCCCGAGTGGTTTATAATGAATATCGCTTCCCCTAATAAATATTTTGCCTGGTCCTGGATCTTCACTGACTGAAGATCAAGTCACCGAACGTCGTCACGCCTGATCGCTTTCCCAACCAAGGATGGCCACCTCAAGCCATGCCTTGCCATGAGGATGGCTCAAATTAGCTTGCACCATTTAGAATGACGCGGGGTAATCGCTTGTCGGGCGGTAGTGGTGGGAAGTTCATAAGGCCCAAGTTCACGCGGCACGGCGCAGTCCAATCATGCACATCGCAATCAATCTGATCGACAAACCCCAGACTACTTAGGATTCTTCTTGCATCACTCTGTCGATCACTGCACGCTAGGTTGCTCAGTGAGATAGTCCTCTTGCCATTTTCATGTTCAAATGAGGTTTATGGCAGATGGTGAGAAGGAGGGCCCAAGCAACTAATCAGAAAACATAGATTAGTTCCCTGAGAGATTTGAAAATGCTGCTTGGCGGTTTTCAACATTGATTTATTCGATTGCTGCTCCTCTTGTGGGACGTCACTGGAATATTTCGTGGCGAGCTTTTGGCCTCGTCGTTTTAGTAAGTAGAACTCAATCAGGGAAAACAACGGTGATCTCTGTTGATTGCTTACCAAGAAGGTAATAACAGCCGAGTTCGAAGAAGTCTCCGGCGACGAGAGCACTTCACAATAATCGCAGGGTTTAAGTCCTCTGGAAAATCAATGCCTTATCAGCCTCGTTTATCCGTGGGATGCACTTACCTTAGGACCAAGAACTATACACTTGCGGCCGTGCCTACCTCACCGGTCTTCCCAAACCCACATCGGACCGCCTCCGGGATCGTTCGGCACCGGTGACCCCACTCCTTCTCCGCCTTTCAAATTAGTCATCCCTGAAAACTTTGCAGTCCTGCATCGTTTCTAAGACAGGCCAACGGATAACACCCTATAACACGGACAAGAATTATCTTGCAGCACGTAAAGTTTTGCACAAGAATAACCTCATAATCAACCATGGACCCAAAGACTTCCCTCTCAGCACCTGCTGCACCAGCGCTACCGCCAAATGTCACAATCTTCTCGCCATCCAAATCCAGCACAGCAAAAGCCCTCCTCAACGGCAGTATCTTTACACGACTCACAGCCAATGCCCAGACCGAACCCTCAAAGCTCAAGGCCGCTCTCAGAGACGTCGCTAGACCCGAGGTCAACGACACCTTCTGCTTCAGCCACCGCAATATTGTATTGATCTTCGACGGCAAGAAAGATGGGGACGATGCTACGGATCAGCACCACGAGCACTTCCGCCTCGTCTGCTTGGCACTCAAGGACGCTGATATCAGTCTTGATGTTGCTGGCTGCATTTTCGATGCTCCCGAGGTCTTGCAGGCTGGCTTCCAGTTAGATACGCTCAGCTCGGGTTCTATTCTGGTCATCGACTTGATGGGCGGGGACGATGACGATGATGATTCTGACGAGGATGATGAGGCTGCGGCTGAGAGGTTGCTTATGAGTGGGGATTCGGGCGCAACGATATCTTGAACCGAGAGGCACTGAATTACGGAAGACGAGCTTCATGATTCGGGGGCTGCCCGGGTGACACTGAGATGACTACTTAGTCTAGCCGCTACCGGAACCACGAAAGCAGGAACGCCCGAATCTCAGAGGAAAGTCTTCATTAAGCTTGGCCCCAGGATCAACGTCGAAGGCATAGCTCTTGTATCGGTGGCACCGGAAGCAGGCATCATCAGCTCGAGTATCTCAGGCACGCTGCGAGATCGGCAAGCCCAACAAGAATGGCAGCTCTTGGGAGAAGCTGGGGAAGGCAAATACAGCCTTTCTGATGCAGCCTTGAGCGTTGGACCCATCGAAACGAACGGGCTTAAATTTGAGTCTTTCCGGAGCGTCGATGAGCGGATGGACTTTACTAGGTAGACCGAGACTCAAATCCCAGCCCCCAGTACCTATTGGTCAGGGCCTTGGGTGTGCCCTTCAGATGTTGAGCCAGTCTCTCCATCTTAGACAGACTATCTATAGTCTCAAAGATAGATCTTCATCAACTCAGATGGCACGTAATTTGTATCTCAATGCAACTCATAGAGATATTCTATCTTCGAGGGCTAAGTCTGATGCCTCATGAAAGTCAAGGTACGGCTCCTTTACAGGTTACTATTGGTGAACGGATGCAACGGATATTTTGCATCGCACGAGGAATACGCCAGATGCTACACGGGGTTCTGGCCGGACCAGAGACATTGTGCTCGGCGCGTTAAATCAAGGTTCCCGGTCTTAGGCTCTTAGCTGATGCGGGGTTTCAAGCCACCAACCAGATACTGAGCGAGCACCAGAAACAGTAAGAAGGGGGGCGATGCAATGAGGCAACTTGCAGCATCAAGCAGGCCTACCCAAGCATCTACGGATACTTCTTGTTCGGAGAAGCGGAAAAGATTTATAATCGAGGAGACAATCTCGTGATGGGCTCGCGTTCGGGCCAAGGACGCCAAGCTCAGCGAACGTCTTTCAATACATTCTTTACGGATATACTGGGGAAAGGGGGAAAACTTCAATCTTGGCGAAGCGCCACCCTCCCAAGACTCTGGGCGACATCTTCTTTTGACGTGCATGGGGAATACTTATGCTACCCCAGGCGCCCAGACCAGACTTCAACGTTGCGACGAAGATCTCAACCAAGTCCTCGGTCGGGAACCACGTTTTGTGGTGTCAGAGGAAATGGCACTGAAACGTCATCCTCAGGAATGCAGATAAGATTTGCGACCACGTGAGCTAGTAGTTGCTTGGTTTCTTCATCTTCCACCCTGGTGTTTTGCCTGGGCGTCGAAGTCTTGACGGCATCTGGGCAGCAAACCTCGGAAAAGGCAGGAGATTTCGAACATTTCGAAACGGGCTCGCTCACGTCACTATCGTTTAAACTCCGCAAGACTCCGCGCCACGTCGTTGGTCGAACGCAATCCTTGCCGGCCACACATCCCGGAAGAGGAGTAGAGCGCCGACAATCTTGACCGTAATTAGACAGGTCTTGCTCAGTCGGTGAGGACTTCATTGGACGATTCCATTCGGACCTTTCCCCACGCTGCCCACTTTGTATCTCTCCTCATCCCCCAATCCCCGTCCCACCACGCGCGGAGAAAGATGCTTGACACGCTTGAGTCTTTTCCAACGCCAGCCAGACGCAAGGCGATGGATCTCAACCGGCACTTGTCGCGAATTGGCGGCCAGCTAGCGGGACCATCCGGTGGAAACCTCGGTCCTACCTTGAATCAAAGACATTTGACCCCCAAAGTCGCGCGACTTTTGGTCTTCTCCCACTTGCAACTAAAGCCAAGAGCCAAGAGCAGAAACTGTGGGATTCCCCTCGGGGTGAAGCTGGGGACTGGAGTACGGGCAAGAAAAAGTTGGGGGAGCGCTATTATCCCAAAGATTCCACTTCGGGGCCCTCCAGAACTCCAGCTGACCGTCAAATCCCGGGCTTTTGGGGGCAACGGGGGCAATTGGAAGCTGGTTCGACGGGTTCGTCCCCCCCGGGATGCAAGGTGACGTTCCCCGCGAACGGAGGCGAGAACGAGCTCCGTGTAACGCGCGCGCTGTCTCTATTCGAGGTTTTCGAGTTGTCAATCTCAACCACTCCAAGAGTCCAAGTCACTCACTCCGCCGTTAACCCCGACCTGCATTTCCCTATGGATTGACTTATCCCTCCCAACGTCATCCTGGTGCGGCCGAAGAAGCTCCATGTCCAATGCAGCAGCTTTCGCGTTCGTTCCAAGCAGCCGCATGCCGCGACTCTGGGCCGAGATTCTGGACTGCAACCGAATTGGGGGACTGGGGACTCGTACCAGATCCCGGCCCATTTTCCAAAATTCTTACCTCTCACGCGCGTATGGTTCTTGCTGTGATGGGTGAAGCTGGTTTCACCCCACATAAAAATGTTGTTGAGGGGCGCTGGTTAAGTGTTTCCCCGCGACGATCGGGACTTGCCCGAAGCCTGCCACCGCTTTATAACTTATAGCTTTCCCATCGTCCTCCTCCCCGCGTTAAATTCGAGTCAATCCAGACGACCTCTCGATTCCTTCCTCCCGTCTCCTATCCTCCCTCCAGGTCTCCCTCTTCAACACACTCTCCCCTAGTTGTGTAGAGATCCGACAGGACAGTCGCAAAGATGGACTCGACACAGAACGACAAGATCACCCCAGGCGCCGACTTCAAGGGCGCCGACGTCGATAATGTCGAGAACAACTACACCGATCCCAACGCGCCCCGGGCTATGAGCCCTGAGCGTCGCGCGGCAGTCGAGAAGAGCATGAAGCGGAAGCTTGACATGCGATGCTCTCTGTTCGTGCTCATCTACATCATGAGTATGTTTCACTCGGCAAGATCTCGTCTCACTTGATCGCGGATTAGTGAACTAACGTGGCATACCCTCAGACTACCTCGACAGAAACAACATCGCCGCTGCCCGGCTCCGCGGCCTGCAAGATGACCTGCAGCTGGACAACAACGAATACGCCACCTGCCTGAGTATTCTGTACGTCGGCTACATTCTCATGCAGATTCCCTCCAACATGGTCATCAACAAGATCTCCCGCCCGTCCTGGTACATCGCCGCCGCCATGTTGATCTGGGGCATGATCTCAACCCTCTCCGGCGTCACCACAAACTTTGGAGGCATGGTCGCCACCCGTTTCTGCCTGGGCTTCATCGAGGCCGCCTTCCTGCCCGGTGCCCTCATGATTCTGTCAAAGTGGTACACCCGCCGCGAGCTCACCACCCGCAACGCCATCCTCTTCTGCGGTAACCTCATCTCCAACGCCTTCTCCGCCCTCATCGGCGCCGGTGTCCTCTCCAACATGCAGGGCGTCCTCGGACACGCTGCCTGGCGCTGGCTCTTCTGGATCGAGGGTGCCGTCACTATGGGTGTCGCCATCTCCGCCGCCTTCATCCTTCCCGACTTGCCCACTAACTCTCGTGGCTTCACCGAGGAGGAGCTCTACGTCGCTCAGCTGCGCATGACTGAGGATGTCGGTGAGGCTGACGCCGACTCGGACGACATGGGCCCTCTCGACGGTCTCATCATGGCTGTCAAGGACGTCAAGATCTACATCATGATGCTGACCTTCACCGCCTACGTCGTCGGTCTTTCCTTCAACGCCTTCTTCCCTACCCTCACCCAGACCTTGGGCTTCGGCTACGTCCCTACCCTGCTCATGAGCTCTCCTCCCTGGGCCTTCTCCTGCATCATCTCTCTGATCAACGCCTGGCACGCCGATCGCACCCAGGAGCGCTTCTGGCACATTGTCGGCCCCATCTGCGTTGGTCTGGTTGGTTTCGTCATCTCCATGTCGACCCTCAACGTCGCCGCGCGCTACGTCGCTCTCTTTCTCCAGGCTAGCTCCTACGCCGGCTTCATCGTCTTCTACTCCTGGATCTCTTCCTCGTTCCCGCGTCCCCCCGCCAAGCGTGCCGTTGCCATCGCCATGATCAACGCCTTCTCCCAGCTTGGCAACGTCGCCGGATCGTACGTCTGGAACCTTAAGGAGAACGGGTTCCGCAAGAGCTACGGCATCGTTACCGCCATGTTCGGTATCACCATTGTCGGTTGCTACATCTTTAAGGTTATTCTTGACAAGTTGAACAAGGAGCTTGAGCAGAGCGAGGCGGCCGATACCGCCAACAGCACCAACGCTGAGGAGGCTGAGGCTTCGCACAGGTTGGGCAAGGGCTTCAGATACCTTGTTTAAGCGCTGTGAGTTATCATGTGAAGTTCATGACATGCGGTTTGATACCCAAAGGAGCGTAATGTACATTAAAATCACAATCTTGCCATGCCTTTTGAGGCTCGTGTCAATCACGGGATGTGGCAAGACTTATGTCGATGGAATGGATTAATGCCATAATGAATTGAAACGCATAAAGCGAATCAAGTAAACCTACCACTGAACACATAACTATCTTGTCCGCTATTGTAAATCCAGTCTAGTGTTTAAATTGAACGTGAAGCCCGCTCTAGCGACTTGAGCATTTGAGCCATGGAGTAGTCAACGCCCCAAGCTGCAAAGGGGGCAGAATTGGAGTAATTCCCCAAACCACAGGAAGAAAAAACTCCAGGAGCAAGTGGAGAAGAGAAAAGCTCAACTTTGCCAAGTATCGTATGGCCAACTTATTCCACGTCAGCTTTAACTCCGACCATATTTTACTTCCGACAAAATGAAAACCAATCTCGCGATTCCCACTCCTCGCCCGGCCAATCCCCGCGTTTTCCCAGATCCCGCACTTTTTCTTGACTAAAATACGGATACCTGGGGGAAGATTCCGGAGTCGGCCTTCCCTCGGCCCTCCACGCCCTCCACACCGCCCCGCGTCTTGGGTTCGGATTGTGACCGAGCACGAAAACCGGACGGTTGTCTCGAAGCAAGGATCTACTCCATGAACTAGACAGATGGGTCTTTCGCCCCGCCATCACCTCTTCTCCAAATTCTCACTCTCCTGGTTCCACTTGGGTTTGCCGTCCGGATGAGAATCCTTGATTAACCGCGGGACTCGGGAGGCTGGGAGCCCTGTTGGCTTCCACCCATACCACAACCCCCGACGGGAGCTCTGATAACCAGACAGGCATATTCAAGTGAGACTCTATACCTGCAAAGCTTCCGGCAAGACGAAGTCGCCTCTCAAATATTTGTCTGTTGATTATTTCGTTTTTCTGATGAGAATGCTCAAATACCTTGGATGGTGGATTTTCCTTCAAGAAACTCATCGCGGGATAGGACCAAACAAATTTTGAAATGAACCAGAAAGATTCGCTGATTCAAGCCAAGCTCAGTTAAACAAACAAGTTTTAACAAGGTCTGAGTTGAGTCTATATCTCAGCTCAATCTCACCGTTACCTCCTCTTGGATCTATCCTACGTACTTGGAAAAAATTCTTGAGCAGCTTAATATCCTTTGCGGCATTGAACATGATCTGTACTAATGATATTGAAGGCTAAGCTTTTGACATTTCAAGGGGCAGTATTCCGGCTCCAAGGCACCGGGACGACACCTAAGCCACACAAATGCACCTTGAATCGTTCCATTCGATCAACGCTGTTTGAAACCCGGTATGCCATTGAGAGGTAGTATACAGGGCCATGACTTGCATGCTGCATGACCATCCCGCTGGCATTGGCTGACGTAGATCACCGAACAAAGGCCCCTAGAGTAATAGCCGGCGGATGCTGGGATGTTTTACCCCTCTTTGCTACATGAACGGGAGTATCCGTAGACGTTTACTGATAGATGATCGATCCTGCGGCTCACCTTCCCTTCTTAAACCCGGAAGCCACATGGTGCTGTTTATGTGCAGACAAGCATGATGTGCTCTTGAATGGCGCCTTGGCTGATTCAGCCTTATGTCTTGGCTGAAATTGTCTTACTGGCAGCCCAGTTGACCAAACCTGATATTGTTTCTGCCGGAATAGTTGTTTTGATTGTCCGATGGCTGTTCACTACAGTTGATTGACCATACGCGACTGAAAGATGTGTTTAACCAGGGCTTACTGATATTCGAGTACTTCAACAAAGGCAAGGTCATTCTCATGTTTGACGAGTAGTACCATCTCTATGCTGTAAATCATACCAAGTCACTTTCATAGGTTATCGGCTCCTCTTCGGGTGGTCTCAAACCTTGCAAACACTTCTATGATATATCATCACACTGCTAGGCCAAGTGCAAGGTCCTCAAGTAATGAGCAATCGTGGTCGACCATGCATTGAGGAAATTGTGACTCATTTGGGATCAGAATTTAGCCGGTTTTGTGATTTAAAAGGCACATGTTTATCCTCGGTCTAGGATAACCCGAAGACTTATCCGCTCTCTTGCTTCTCAACTGGGGCTCACGTTAATAAGACCGGGGGTCACCAAACCCCACATCACGATGGCATCTATGTACAATTGCTTGCCAGTGAAGAACATGGCGAGGTGCCTGCCTTCAAAGATATAGATTTCTCCAGACTTCAATGGTTTCCCGCTCAATTATTCAATCCTTGATGCGTTGTGGAACTGAGATGAGTGAACTTCCGCCCTGGAGCGGGGTGGTGCACAGTACTGAAACATTGTAGGATTGTGGTCATATACCTGTACTTATTCCGCTCACTCTCATCAAGTGCTGTGACGTCTCCTCGCTGTACACAAAGTCAACTCTAAAGCCCAAGCTCTGTCATCTCTTCCTTTATATCGGTATCCGAAAACATCACGGCGGTGGCTCGAGGCGTCACAAATGAGCTTTCGGCTGATGTGCGCGTCACCTGAACTTTTGATCGCCGACGGGGGATCACTGGCAGCGAGCATGATGCTACTGAGCCCTACCAGCTTGCATGCAGTGACAATTTCGCCGTCGTCTTACGAAAATAGGTTTATGTATCGGCAGTCATGTTTTCATAATACCTACCCAGCTCGGGATTGAACCTGCGCCGAAGTTGTTCGGCCATGGCTCGTCACAAAATGGTGGCGCCTCTTCCCCGAGAAGCTGCAGCGGTCCATCAGTGAAGCTCCTGATGACAGACTTCTGAGTAGTAATTATAAGTTTTGAAATTCATACCGCTCTAGTCATCTAGGGCTCGGCTTTTCCAGTGTCTAATACATTCCTGTTCGTGGTTTTCTCCTTCACCCCGCCTAGACCGTGGAGGCGTGTCGGATAGTCCCCGATAAACACAACGTCAATGCTCATACAACGGCCAATCGGCCATGATACTGACTCAAAATCTAACGGCAATACATCACTGCACCGTTGATAGATGATGGCCTACAAAAAAGGTAGTTCGGATGACGCACGCTGTGACCCGAAGCAAAACTCCATCACACGCACTTGAGGCTTGAGCGCGTCGCTATATAACTTCGGGTTCCATTGTGTCACTGTGCTCAGAGAGAGCCGTTCGTTGTCTGTAAATAACCAGCTCCACGGAATTACTCTAGACACTGCTCATCATCGGAACAACACCTCGATATCTTGCATCTATCGTCGTATCGGAATCCCTGTCTAGAGACATGAAGGCGCTCTCAGCACTGCTCATTCTTGCAGCAATAGTCATCCATGCATTTGCTGCACCAACAGCGGATGCGAAAAATCTGGTATCAGAATCAAGTCTCGGAACAAAATACCACACATCCTGGGTAGAAGACCCGACCGTAAGGAACCTACACCTCTCGACGTCGCAGTTCGCTGACACATGATAGCAACCATGGCTTCGCAAAAGGGCTAGAGGACAAGGAGATCCTTGTGATCCTGGCAGAGGCGAGTGTGTGACAGGCCTTGGGTGTTACGGATGTGGGGGACACTCGCCAGTGTGCCAGCGTGGGCCTGGGTCAAATTTGTGTTGTCATCGAGATGGCCAAGCTTCCGTGGCCATATGCGATAGAATGAAAGGATGAGATGGTGGCCGAGTGTTCCAATAGGTGTTGGTTTGGACATGTTCACATTTATGATTCCTTCTCATCGTGATGGACATAGTTAGTCCATGAGTGTAGAAACAAGAAATCCAGATATTCTATGTGTACGCACACGATCCTGGTCATTATTGGGTTTCTTCGTTAAATATGCCGGGCTTGCATTCTTTCCTGTTGCTAACCCGCCGAGGGGGGACTGTTCGATATCGGTCTTGGCATTACCAAGAATCGCTATTTTGATGAAGACCACTCTCTTCAATTTCTTTCTCAGGCATATATACACGAAATACACCTTGCTTCGACCACTTCATGGCTTCACAGCTCCCTAACCCTTCCTTCACTGATAGCAGCATGTCCATCAAGACCATTGACTAGTGTTGTGCATTGAGACCAGTCGAAACTGTGGTGCGTTCGCGACGAGTGAGGCCTAGTCAGGAACATGATGCACGCATGTGCCCATGTCTTCTATTTTGGGGGACGTCTGGGCTTTCCGTTGGGCTTCCCGTTGGGCCTCCGATTATTATTGTTGTTATTGGGGCGGCGAGGTGGCTTGCCACGGGCCTCAATGGTATCGCCGAGTCCCTAAGATGGTGAAGTCAGCTGGTGGTCTAACAGTGTATGGGCCTTGACTCAGAGCTTACAGCGACAGTGTCAAATTCAGGTTGTTCCTGTAGCTTGAGTGGTCAGTTAAGAGCACCAATAGGGTACTTGGGTTAGATAGAGTCGGGAAGAACTCACCAAAGCCTCGTTCCTCTAGTTACCCAGATCCGTTAGCATTCGATGTTGCATAGCTCATTTATTCAGTCAATTTACCTCAGATAAGTCTTGGACTTCAGCCCCAACCTGGAAGTTGGGAGCCGCCAGCGCGACGGTGGCATAGAATGCAACACCGATGGTGACGATGGTTTTGACAGAAGGGACAAGCATGTTGAATATTGCTAGCTAAGTCTTGTTCGATGTCCTGAAAATCGTGTTTGTGTGAGATGTCGATAAAAAAGGCGTCTCGTTCTAGAAGCGCCTCTCCGTTCAATATTTATAGACATTAAATACGTTGATCTTGACAGAAGACAGGAGTTAGAGTATATTACTTCCAATACCATCTCATGCATGTGAACGTTCAACGTTCGTTGCCCATCACCAACGGAGCCTCATGCTTCGGTCAAAACAACATAGACTTCACCCACGAGTTTCAACAAGAAGTCTCAAAGGCCAAGACTGCACGGCGATGGGGACATCAGAGAGGGGTTCGGCGTGGAACCAATATGCGACCCCCCGAAAACGAGTCACGACATCCCCATCAACTGACATGCGAACAGAACTGTTAACCCTTGCTTACATGTAGGAACTATGCAGAAACATGGGGATCTTAGTGTCAAGATTTCAGATGCGACGAAGTCTGTTCTGGTGGTGGTGCCTGCGGCATAACTAAGAATAGTCCCGCGGACCTCCCAACCATCCCATCTTTGACGAAACATCTGCCTTGATCGAGTCTGAAGGGCAGGGATCTATTATCAGAGGCTCGGCAAAAGTCGACTTCTTTTGGTAATTGGGGATCGTTGAGCCGTGTGTTCCGTTTCGTTCGGCACGATGGCACGGTTCATGATCGCCGCTGTCAAGAAGTGCTCTTATGTAGATCAATATGAGTTTCGTCAATGATGCTCCATGAGGCTAAGTGCCTTATATTCATTCTCAGATTTCGATCAAAGTAACTCGTTGACTCAACTGTCATGAGATAAGTTACCTTTTGAAGGCTAGCACTTTTAACCCCTCATTTGCCTTGACTTCCCGCTGCACAAAACCAAAACTTGTCTGGACTCTAAGGTATCCCGCCTCTCCCGCAAAGAGCCTCTTTTGACCCAAAGTCAACGGTCTGCCCACCCTGTGACACCTTATTCTCAAAAAATGGGAAGTTTGCGTTGTTTGACAAGAAGTGTTTTGTTTGTCAGATTTTATTCAGACGAGCCTCGGCTCCAAAGTCCATTGTCTTTGCCGATCCCAAAGTCTCAAAGGGCTTGGCCTTTTGATCGACGCGAGCAAATTGACACGGCATCGCAGTGGAGCAATCCGTGAAACGAATCACCTGGAGGGGAAATACAGAATCCAATACTGCCAAGAGCGTCTGGATTGATGGTGGATAATGAGGCTTACATTAGACCCTGGTTAAAGTTGACGAGAACGATCGCGTCGAGGGGGGGGGGGGGCAATGTATGGGCCATAAACATCTCATAAATGCATTGTAGGGCTGGTGGGAGCATGAACCGCGCCCAGAGAGCTGAGGCCAAGTCTGGTGCCGAGCTTTGATCTCCCGGCCCGCCAGACCGCCTAAAACTGCTCCCGCCGGCAAGAATTTCTGGTCTGGATTAGGAAGTTGGATGAGCCCCCGGAGCGATCTGGGCCAAGGTTTGGACGACTAGCTGGAGTGCCAAGAAGGACATGGGTGATGGTGAGTAGAATACGCTGCCCGCCGACGGCCAACGCTCTTCCACTAGTAGCCGATGAGCACGTGCAAGTTGAGCAGGATGTTGCGCAACTGGTTTCGAGGCTCTAGTTCGATGTGAAAGCAAACTTAAGAAGGAGACATTCCGAACCGAGCCCAGGTCCAATGAGATCGGCAGAATTGTCCAGCTACGGAAACTTATGGCTAGTTGCCCCGCAAATCCATTCACTTGCCATGTTTGCAATCTCTGAGTAATAAGCAAGTGGCATGAGTAGGGCTCTATGACCACATTACGATCGGTGACGATGAGATGGGGTGGGGAGCCACCGTCGTTAAAAGCTTTCTTTATGCTACTCCAATCTTGGGATTCTAGCTACGATGTCTGCGATCGGGATGTTTAGCCTGGCATGAGGATGCGGACTTCTCTCATGTTCCAATAGATCCGTCTGCTTTCATAGGGATTTAAGAATTGCCGATATCTGATCTTTCTCGCATCTTGACCCTTCTTCCTGCGACACCGAGAGCCCCGAGCTCTGCGGAAGGCCGAGCCGAAGGCGTGGTGATCCAAGGCGAACGGCGGCGAGCATCAGAAATCTCTCGCAGGGAACTCGAATGGTTCTCGATCATCCTTTACTTACTCACAGATGCCTGGGCTGGACATCTGATTATCTGTTGTTGACGGAGCTCCACCTGCAAGCATATCCGTCATATCGTTATCAACCACAACTGACCAGGCAAAACCAGAATCGGATATAACGGAGTTGAATGGGGGTATCGTATTTTATAATGAAGCAATCGAACTTTCTACCATCTCGGCTATCGATAACAGATCCAGCCGCAACATCATGTTTGTTAATGAAAACGAAGCATGCCTCTAAGTCTACGACGTTCAAATTGCTCTCCAGGATCGCAATCAAGACTTTTGAAACCAAGCAATCCGTGAAGACCGAATTTGAAGTCCACAAACCCCTCGTTGCGAGGTTCTTGTGCAACTCTGGAGGGCTTCTTTCCTTCTTATCTTCACACAGTATCGCTGCTGCAGTGTCATACCCAATAGCCAGATCAAGCCGGGGCAATCCAGACACCGGCAGGCCATCTCCTTTCCGATTCGACAACTACCGGCCAGGCGTGAAACCGGAAACTTCAAGCAAGTCTAGGAACTTCTCTTTCCATACGGCTCAAAGGGAAACAGAGCGGATACGCCAGCCATGACTCCAAAAAGTGCCGCGCAAACATACAAAGGAACCGATGTTGCCGTGTTCCCGCTGCTCGCAACGAAAGCAGACACGATACCCATAAGACGGTTGAAAGCGACAGCGATACCGTTGCCCGTGGCGCGATGGGCTGATGGGAAAACCTCGACGGTGTATGCGTAGAGTGTACCGTAGTAAATGTTGATTGCACAAGCTGAAACCGCATGTCAGCTGGAAATTCTTTCAACTTTGTGAGGGCTTGGGATCGAGTTACTCACCAATCGCGCAACTAAGGCCGATGTTCTGGTCAGCAGTCGACACCGCTGTGTAGCCGAAGAAAAACGCCATTGAGAGCAAAGCACCGATGGCCATTGTGTACTTGCGGCCGATGTGAGGAAGATTGGCCAGGTAACCAGCGATGATCGGGCCGGGAATGCCAGAGATGTTGGTCAACGTGTAGTTTCGCCACGTCTCGAATGGTGTCTCGGTGCTGTCCGGCACTCTCGAGGCAAGATACGATCTATCACTCTCGGTCAATCTCCAGCACATTCTTCAAAGTCGCGTGGAAACTTACGGCAGAAACACGTAAAACAGGGGATAAGCCAGACCGATCAGCGTCCAAGACAGCCAAACCAAAACAGTGCTGAGCGTCATTCTCTTGGTGTAAAAAAGACCCTTGACGTGAGCGCCCAGCTCGCGAATCACAAACTTGAAGTTGTTTCTGCTCTGGCCGGCGTTCTTGATCTGCCCGCACGCCGTCAACTTCTCCAGCGTGAGCGAACAAGGTCGGTTGTACTTTTGCGCCATCTTTTGATAGTTGCGCACCAGGTCTTCGTCGCGGCCGACGCTGAGGAGGTACTTTGGCGTCTCCTGAAGGCGCATGACGGTCACTCGCGCAACGGACGCAACGAAGACGAAAGCTCCCGAGGTGAAGGAGACGTAGCGCCAGCCGGGGTTGTTAGACCAGTTGCAGTCCATACCCTCTGTGCAATTCCATCGCTCCTGGGCTGGGAAGCAGTCAGCGCCTAATTACCACGTTGCAAGGCCGGGAAAGCCATCGCATCTTACTCAAAAATCCCCAGGCAATAAAGCCCACCAAAGCTTGTCCGAAACCCCACCACAAGGCGAGCGCCGTAACCGTCCACTGCTTATTACTCGGCAGGAACTCGAGAAAGACCGTCGGATCGAGCACCAAGTTACCGCCAGCTCCAAACGCCGATAGCGCGGTGAAGAAGCCCCAGGACTCGATATTTGGACTCGCACCCGAGACGATTGTCGCGAGAGACGTGATGAGCAGTGTGACGTTGAACGCGATCCTCCGCCCAATGATATCCGCGCCGAAGCCCCAGAAAATCGCTCCGATGAGCAGGCCCACGTAGAGCGAGACGGTGCCGGCGTTCGAGTAGGTGGACGGTTTGCCGAGTTCGAGCATGGCGCCGGCGTTGGTGACGGACTGGACCAGGGCGATGAGCGAGTCGACGGCGTAGCCGAAGCCGTTGAGGACGAAGAGCTTCCAGTGGAAGTTTGTCCAGCCAATTTCATCGTTTGCCTGGGTTGGTTAGTTTCTGTAGTTAAGCGGTTGGCAGCATTGAGAGCTGTGTTGGCGGCGAACGTGTCTGGGTGAGAGACTCGCGAGCCCAGACTCTGGAAGCTTTTGTTTTTTTTGGTTGGTTCATACGTCATTGACGAGGTGCATTTTCATTGCGAGCACGGGATCCTCGCCCTCATTTTCCAGAATGTCTTTTGCCGAGCTGACGGAAGTGTCTTCAATGTCAGAGGCCGGGGCCCCTGAGTCGACCGTCTTCTTCTGTGTCGCCGGTTCGAACATCTTCGCGTCCGGTTCGTGATGCATCATGCAGTATGATGCTTGGTGGTTGAGAGGGAGAGGGATGAGGCGAGGACGGGGAGAAGCGGAGCGGCGAAATGAGAGAGAGAGCCAGGCGTAACGAAAGTAGAAAAGTAAAATAAAATAAAAATGTAAAATTCAGACGACTTAAGAAAAGGTCCAAGTTGTCTCTTCACTGCGGGGTGATTTTGTGAGCGAGGAATGAGCCTCAACCAATGTTGCACGGCCGAGCGAAATTGGCGCAGGGCGAAAGTGTTCCACTATTGTACTTCTGGGACCATGTCGTTGAAGCTATCCTGTTCGTCGTCTGCCGGCCCGCTTCCTATCTCATTCGCTTGGCCCATCTCATAGCGCGATTAAGCTGCATGGTGGAAATGGCATGGTTCTCTTGCGGTTACCATGCTCAAAGGCGGCGTGTATTTCCCCGAGTACAGCAGAAAGCAAAACACCA